ATATTGTTCCAGTTTGAATTTGAAAATGGATGTTGTCGTTGATGCTAACTGATACCTCCTTTCATATCGGAAATGTTGAAGTGATGGAGCATATGGGGCTTATGAATTATAGGTTGAGCGAAGTTATCAGAGTAAAACTCATTATTTAAGTAACAATTCTAGTATAAGAGAAGTTTGCTAGAGCATATTTACAATATATCATTTGAAATAAATCTTGAACTTAACTATTGTTGGAATTTTATTCTAAAATCAATATTTTTCAAATTCTTAGTTTATAAAACTTATTATTATTATTTTAACGAAAAAACGTAATGCAGATTAGTTGAAATATAAGATACTAGTTGAAATATAAGATCATTTAGAAAATATTCTCAAACAAAATTTTTATTAATAGAAACAAGAATTAGAACAGATACATTATAATAAAAATTATTTTCAACTATTTGAGACTAGAATTACTACAATCTTCTTTCTAACAGAATTAATTTTATAATTTATTTTCATTAAAGGATTACACCCCACATAAACCATTGGTCTGGCTTTAGAAAAGTTTGAGAAGTTTTTATCGAATACTTGTTTAGATTAAAATACTAAAAAGAAATATTAAGGAATATGGTCCAAAAGAACACTCTAGACAAGATTACTAATGAGAGAAGAATATCATAAAAGAAAGAAAGGAAAGTTGTCCTAAAATTAAAGGTTTAAAAGTCAATATTGTAGCCAAAAGAGATGTTACAAAGTAGGATAAAAAGTTTAACAAAAATTTAAATTAAAAGATTTTCATTTTCCTAAAAAAAACATCTTTAAAGAGAATACCCGCAAGAATATCAGGAAAATAGATGAAAAGAATTTCGAGAGGATCAAATTTAAGAATTATCTATAGAAGAGATTAATTAGTCAATTTAGAGGGCAGTTTGGATGATAAGGAAAGGAAAGATATAGAAAATTTGAATCTTTTAGAGGAAATCCTGAAGAAATGATGTGATTAATAAAGATAGATTGTATTTTGATAAGAAAGATTCCAAGAGTAAATAAAAATAGGACTAAATAGCGAATGTAAACTCAAACAAAATTGAAAAGCTGATTGTTGGAAAGAAGAAGTCAGGGATGAATGAAAAACTATATTTTGAGTTTGAGAAAGTTTGACTTTTTTTTGATAGAACAACAGAAATTAAATGATAATGGTTATGACAGATTACAAAATAAAAAATGAGTTTTGAAACAATACTTGTTCAAACCGAAAGTATGTTCAAGAAAACATTGACGGAGTTTTCAGGATCAATTGAGCGATAAGAATAATTATTTGCAATTTCGATATCAAAAGAAAAATGCAGTATTTTTATTGGCCTATTCTGTTGCAATTATAAATGTTTAACTTAGAAATAAATTTGGAGATTCAATACTCTAACTTCATTTTCATATAACTGTACTTGCTATACACAATGCTACATTTTTGAATTCTAAAACAATTAATAATATGAGAGCTTTTTAATAAACAAAAGTGTATACCTGGAATTTAGATAACCTTGCAAAATATTTCGGAGTGAAATAGGAGATTAAGCCATACTCTATTTAGCATAGGATCAAATGTAGAACTGCATTTCTACAATTGTAAGAGCCATCATAATATAAATCACATTATAAAAAGAAACTTTTGAGATACAACAAGTTGAGGCCATTTCTTTAATGAATCTAGCAAAGGAGCTGGAAGCTAGAAACTTTACACATTTAAATTTGATTTAATTAAAACAATCCCCCTCAATTTAACACATATTACCTTTCGCACTATCAGTTGGATGTTTAAAGTCTATGACACAAATAGCTTAGTTAGGGTTAAAGCTGAATATGAATCAAAAAAGATATATATAACCAGGAAATCTTTCTTATGTTGTGAATTTGCATAAAAATCATAGGCTACTTTTAATATATTTAAATTATTAGTCCAGAATTACATTTTTAGAACTCATGTAAGGCAAAATATCAATGGAACTTAAGCATATAATTTGCTTTTGCCAAACAGGTAGGATTAATTTTGGATACTCAGAACTATCTAATGTATAAAAGGATTAGCCATAAATATCTGATCTAAATTCAACAGAATCAATATTACTCTTAATTTAAGGAAGTCTACAGGAACAGCAACCTTTGATGCTCAATTTCAATATTTGACGTGAGGATTAACATAAAACAAAATTATTCTTCTCAAGGAGTGCTGCAGTTTGCTANTTAAATTAAAAGATTTTCATTTTCCTAAAAAAAACATCTTTAAAGAGAATACCCGCAAGAATATCAGGAAAATAGATGAAAAGAATTTCGAGAGGATCAAATTTAAGAATTATCTATAGAAGAGATTAATTAGTCAATTTAGAGGGCAGTTTGGATGATAAGGAAAGGAAAGATATAGAAAATTTGAATCTTTTAGAGGAAATCCTGAAGAAATGATGTGATTAATAAAGATAGATTGTATTTTGATAAGAAAGATTCCAAGAGTAAATAAAAATAGGACTAAATAGCGAATGTAAACTCAAACAAAATTGAAAAGCTGATTGTTGGAAAGAAGAAGTCAGGGATGAATGAAAAACTATATTTTGAGTTTGAGAAAGTTTGACTTTTTTTTGATAGAACAACAGAAATTAAATGATAATGGTTATGACAGATTACAAAATAAAAAATGAGTTTTGAAACAATACTTGTTCAAACCGAAAGTATGTTCAAGAAAACATTGACGGAGTTTTCAGGATCAATTGAGCGATAAGAATAATTATTTGCAATTTCGATATCAAAAGAAAAATGCAGTATTTTTATTGGCCTATTCTGTTGCAATTATAAATGTTTAACTTAGAAATAAATTTGGAGATTCAATACTCTAACTTCATTTTCATATAACTGTACTTGCTATACACAATGCTACATTTTTGAATTCTAAAACAATTAATAATATGAGAGCTTTTTAATAAACAAAAGTGTATACCTGGAATTTAGATAACCTTGCAAAATATTTCGGAGTGAAATAGGAGATTAAGCCATACTCTATTTAGCATAGGATCAAATGTAGAACTGCATTTCTACAATTGTAAGAGCCATCATAATATAAATCACATTATAAAAAGAAACTTTTGAGATACAACAAGTTGAGGCCATTTCTTTAATGAATCTAGCAAAGGAGCTGGAAGCTAGAAACTTTACACATTTAAATTTGATTTAATTAAAACAATCCCCCTCAATTTAACACATATTACCTTTCGCACTATCAGTTGGATGTTTAAAGTCTATGACACAAATAGCTTAGTTAGGGTTAAAGCTGAATATGAATCAAAAAAGATATATATAACCAGGAAATCTTTCTTATGTTGTGAATTTGCATAAAAATCATAGGCTACTTTTAATATATTTAAATTATTAGTCCAGAATTACATTTTTAGAACTCATGTAAGGCAAAATATCAATGGAACTTAAGCATATAATTTGCTTTTGCCAAACAGGTAGGATTAATTTTGGATACTCAGAACTATCTAATGTATAAAAGGATTAGCCATAAATATCTGATCTAAATTCAACAGAATCAATATTACTCTTAATTTAAGGAAGTCTACAGGAACAGCAACCTTTGATGCTCAATTTCAATATTTGACGTGAGGATTAACATAAAACAAAATTATTCTTCTCAAGGAGTGCTGCAGTTTGCTAGCTATTAGCCTATTATTTTAAAGTGAGAAAATTTTGATACCTTACAAAAATAGTTCGATTGGCATTACTATAGAAAAGATAGCTTAATTGAGTAATTTAAAATGAACTATTATCTTACATCAACTGCTTCACTAATCCATTATTGATATTAAGTATATTGATTTATAAGCTTCTTCATATCTTACAAATTGCACAAGAAATCTTTTAAAAGTCGCATAATGGAATAGTTCAATCAGTCTTTACAACTAAAGTAAACATTTACAGGAGAGACAACCGATTAGATTGAACACTTAATTTGCGCATTAAGTAAATGGAGACTAAAAGACCTAGCCATGAAGACATGTCATCAATTTATTCCAATCAGCATTAATCGTTTTCTGTCAGAATCACATTAAGCACATTTGATAGTGCGATCAGATGGATTGTTGAGTGAGTAACAGTTTACAATTATACTCAATAAACAATAGAATGCAATACTGCCATAGAATGATTTTACTTGATTTGGAAGAACTACTGATAGAATTGATTTTTCTAAATTGAGATTTTATTTATCTTAAACTTATCTTTCATAAGTATATCGTATTATTTTCAAGAATCCGTTTGTATAATTTTCTATTGTCTTGTCTACATAATTATACCCATTGATGTTCTAATTAATTGTATTATTTTAAAGAATTTTGAAGTATATTATTGGTTATTTTGTTGATTTTAATTAGTTATATATTATTAAATGAACTTATATAAAGGTGATCTTGATTCATGTCAATCGTTGTTCTAAACATTCTTTTAAATTTCCTTCACTAAAGTTTCTCTTTAGAAATATAGTAATCAAATTTTAAATGCTAAGATTTAAATTTTTTATTGAAACGTTTAGTAGTATCTTTGAGAAATTAATAATTATTTGTTAAATCATTTTGCATTTATTTTGGATTTTTCATTTATTGAGAAAAATTATTTTTTTAAATATTTTTTATAATTTAATAATTTTTCATTTAGATTAAGCTTAATCAAGATTATTACCCCTATTTAATTGCATAATTAATTGCCATTTCATGACATTTTATTTGTCTATATTACTGCCTATTGGACAGGTAGATAGGTTATAAACAGGAATGCCAAAATCAAAGTGACATAATTGATAGCCACAGAAATAGTGCAAATTAATTATTTAACTATATGTCCTTTAATTTTGAGGTATTAATTGCATTTTAAACTATAATACTTAGAATCATTTTATTGCACCTTGATATTAAGATCATAAACCTTGTAGAAATTCTAAGAAATAATTATTTAAGGTATAAATCATTAATTATTATGAAGTTAATTCTTCTTTTTGCGATGTTGATGTTAGTGTAGAACTATTGGACACCATAGTTTGATGATGGATCTCAAGTTATAGTTACATACTCATCTGGTCATATTTTAGAAAGCTAATCTAGCGTTCCAAGGCAAGTAGTTATTAATGTTCAATTCTCTATCGTTTTTCAGCTCACTCCATAAATTTTTATTCAACCACTACGAGTAGATTGGGTACGAGATTTTCCTGGAGGGTTTGCTGGAGGAGTTACATCTATCACTACAACTGGTAATTAATTTCTTAAACCTAAAGGATTCAAAATTAGTGGAATCGCATTAAGCCCAAATCCTGTTTATGAATTGCATTTTTATTGGATTGCTACTACTGATCCGAGAATTTTAGTAATAACATTTGCGACATGGGATGTTGATATATTAAAGTCTGGTTCAGGAGAAAGGGAAGTTTAATTCATAATTGAGCACGATTTAGAGGATGCCACAAACGGACTAATCTCACTAATTGGCATCAAACATCTAGCTTATAACTCTATTATAGAAATAGATGTAAATAATTGTAATTTTCTTCAATTAGATTGCAGAGATAACTTCAAAATATATTACTGTTTCAGCAAGGACATATTCCCAATCATATTTGGATTATATTAAATTTAATGTCCTTCTAGGTACTGCAGAATCATTATGGTCGTCCCCTATGTAGGCGTTAATAAATCCTCCAAATCATCCATTTGTTTCAAGAGGGAATGGTGAGTGTGATCTTAATATTTCAATTGACCGGCCGTAGATTTTGGGAAACTATCAACTTATTCCTGTTATAGCAATTAGAGGGTATGATTATAACAACGCTGAAAACATTAGGTTGAAATTTAGAAATGTTGTATTAAATACCCAAATATAATATATACTCTCAACTTGTAAAACATCCAAATTATCTTTAGGGTCAACTTCTATAGTCTATAGAGTTTACTATTAAGGGGCTATTTTTATATATGATCCAAACTTCAAAATTTTTGATCCATTTTGTGCTGAAATATTTTCTGAATGTGATTATAATGGTGATACTATCATAATTTGTTAAAAAACCCCTGATTTGCAAGCCTTAGGTTGGTCTCAACCTATCCGTTCCATTAGTGTTCCAAAAAACAGAAAACTACATCTGTTTAATAATGTTAACTTTAAAGGAGTGAAACAATCTCTCATTTAAACTTAGCAATGCATTGAATTTCAAAACATTTCATCTTTAAAATTTGATTCAGCAGTCTCTTAAATAAAAGTACTTTATCTCAATACAATTGCTGCTGACAATTGTATTACAATTACGTTCTACAGTTAATGCAACTATTAAGGGGAGATTTTTCAAATAATTAAAGGAAAACATTTATAATTATCAAATAAGATCCCTTTTGAAATCAAGTCAATTCGCACTTGCCCTAATGTGATCATAAAATTATAGGCCCCTAACTATGTTTAAGGATCTATCAAAGAAATTACTACTTCGTAATCATGTATGAATAGCTATAAAGTAAATCCATATTTATAATTGATTAGTTCCCTAAATATATTGCAAGTAATTGAACATATAAATAATTGATTAATTAATAAATAATTTGATAGTAATAGCTGTCCAATAGAAACATCAAATGTCTTAATTAATTATCGAATAAAAATTAAAAAATATTAATTGATCAAATTTTTTAATTCTTTGTAAAAAAGACAACTAATAATTAGATAATTTAACCTGGAATTGCTTCTCTTTAAAAAATGATCATAAGGAGACTTATGAAGTCATTTTCAAAAGTTCTTTCAAGGCTTTTTTTTAATGAAAACGCCAATTTTTTGTTTTATATTTTAGATTTCTTTTTTATTCTTGAATGAAATTGAATTTTCTCTTCTTTTTCATATGAAGAAGCTTTTATTATTACATGAAAATTTGCGTCTTATTAATTATGGCTTCAATAATTGGATAAACTTTCAACTTCGTTTGGGGCTAAATTTATATTAAAACTATCCCAAATATTTTATATAATTTATGTTAATGCCTATTCTAAGAAAAATCAATTATTCTTTAGATTGTGGTATTATTCATATTTACATATTCTGTTTTCATTAATTAAATGGTATTAAGGTTTTTATTATAAACTAAATGAAGATGGAAAAGATATCCAGTCATTGGTTTAGTAACATTAAAAGATGATTATTTTTTTTTCATAATTTAAATAGAAAGACATATTTTTTATTGTATAATATAATTTTATTGTTAATGAGTGAAAATTTCAAAGTGAAATGTTGTTTTTGGTTTCTTATACATTATCTTCTGCAATTTTAATTATTAGGCTACTGTTAAATTAATGGTTAAAAGATGCTTCATCTGTTGGGTTCAAAATAAATATTAAATCAAGGTTTCATAACTGGAGAATAATCAAAACATCGATCTTTTTCCAGATTATTTTCTTTCCATTAACTCTCCCCTTGCAAATAATCTTTTTATAAATTCCTCCTTCAGGATTAAGTAAATGAAAAGTAAAGGTACAACCTTTACCATGCTGATGCAAAATTAAAATCATCATTAAACCCACACGCTGTTCATCATTAAATTCTTAGTCTAATATTTATTAGAATGCATATTGAGTTAACTTGATTTATTGCCTATTTATTTATTTTAATCTTATACCAAAAAAGAATTTAGTTATATCTTTTGAAGATCTAAAATTCAGTAAATCTTCCATTGCGCAAGGTATATTAATGCCACATGGTTTCAATCATAAGATAAAACTGAATTAGAATCAATCAGATTATTTGAGTAGCATAAATTTATCAGAACTCATCAAGTTCCGTTTTCCTAATTTAAACCTGGATCCACTATTTCTACACTCCAATCACAGCTTAAGCTCCTAGACATAAGCTTAAATTTCTTTTGAAATTAATAAAGCAAAATTACTTTTCTTGGAATCGCAAAGGTAGAATAGTTTAATCTCATACTAAGATTCTGTAATTATAAGAACTTATTGGATATGGAATTATGTGGTGAATTGAAAATTCATTTGGAAAAAACCAAATAAGTAACCCTTAATGAAAGTTTTCAAAACACAATTCTGAAATTTATTAATTTCTAAGTTAATAATCAAATCAATTACAGATTTAAGAAAAAATTAGAAAATAGCAAATTCAATAGATTCAATATATTTAAATAGATGCATAATAATTATGACAAAAGCCTTAGTCAAATACAGGCATTTAAATTAAGATGAAGAAATTAATGATATCGTAGGTAGAAATAGAATATAATCAAAAATTCGTGTTACAATTTATGAACAACACTTTTGAAAAAAAAAGTATTAAGAATTCCAGAATTTTAAAAATGAGAAATTTATTCATCTTTTTAAAAATTTCTCTTAAATGGAAGAAAAGAAGTTATTAGATATAGGAACTCAAGGGCTACCTTCAGATGGTTTCCAAAACCACTATTTTTCCCCTAACTTACAACAAGCTGAATTGCATGGAGTAAAATTGTTTCTGATTAAAGAAAGCATATAAGATTCATAAAGGCTTTCAAACTGATTCTTAAAGGTGTTAGTGTTGCAATTCTCACTTGATTCAAGACTAATTTACCTTATTTTGCAATATTAAAGAATTCAAACATAATCGGGCTGCACATTTATACTTTTTACAACTCCAATAGTTTATATTTCTATTTTGCATTCCATGGTATTAAATATTTAATTATTAGTGCTATTTTTCTGCCTTATGCTTTGTATTTCAATTCTCAAGGTGATTAATGTGAAAAAATGAAAAATTGCATACCAAGCTATTATAATAAGTTCTCCATATGGAATTAAACTTAAGATTACTTTGAGTTGGATGACTTTTATTTATAAATCTTTTACCTTCTAACAATATTATTAAGCACGATAGGGGTTTATCTAATGTTATTTGGGAATAAATACAAATCATTCCTTAGCAATTCATGCTCTAGAGCCTTTCTTTTGTAATCAGTAATGACAAATTTTGTTCAAACGGAAGTTGAATTTTCAAAACAAATTGGAACATCACAAAATCATTCATATATTAAGGTGCATAGTTTAGATAAATTTTAAGAGTCTATTAAAATCTAAGCAGAAGGAAATTATCTTTTACTTCATCTTGATAAGTATCAATTGCTGTATACTTTATAGTTAATGCCATGCATTAGAGAAAGCTATATTTTAAGATAAAATAAATCCTCAATTAATACAATAAGGAACCATAATCATCTTTCCTTCAGAAGTAAATAGAGATTTATACATAGGACGAAAAAATTCGCTTTTAAATCGAAAATAATGAAATTATTGTACCAGATGGAGTGCAAAGATATATAACTTAAAATTATACAAAAAATAATTGGGAAGCCATTCTAAAGATTTTTGCTATTATCATCATTGCTTTAGTAACCATTCTATCTTTGGCGTTAAATGTCTACATATAAACAAATTATTTAAACACTAAATCTACTCTAGGGTAAGGAAATTTCCTCACAATTCTGTTTTAGATTCTATTATATTTATAAATGCATATTTCAAGTATGATAGCCAAAAGGTTGCTTCATCATAACAATTACTAATAAATATATTTCACTGTATTTATCTTTATTTAAGTAGTGTCAAGTCATCGGTTTTAAAAATATAAATAGGCTATTTTATCCTACATCCAATTAAGAAGCATATTTGTAAGAAAATGGAATTATTGATAACCTAATTGTACTTTGCTATTTGAATATCCTTTTACCAAATCTAATTACAATATTTGACTTTAAATATCTCTCTAAGTAGCTTAACAAACTGTATATGAGAAGATACTAAAAGACAAAATTAGCATAAATAGAAATTAATAAACTGTTTGAAGCAAGGCAATTATCTTTTGAATAAAAATAGTATAACGTCTTCTAAATCTGTTTAATTGGGTAAATATTTATTATCGACTTACCGTTGATTGCCCCAATTATAATAATAGCCCTTTGTACTATATATTGGATTGACAAATTTATTTTTGTTAAGAATTGTATTCCATTCTAAAATTCATGGGGAGATGATAATGCTGTAGAAATATAAAAGTAGTAGTTTTTACTCTTTTATATTATGTATTGTTTGTAAAATTTTTTCTTTTTTGATAACCCTATTTTGATATTTGGGATGTTGGGTTATGTTATATTCTTCAAAATTTTGATGGGTCGAAATTTGGATAAAACAGTATTTCAAAATAAATAAATTATTAAAACTGAGAAATTGAAAGAATACGCATCATAGTATGATCCAGTTCACACCTTTGGAGAAACTTAGCATATTAAACATCAATATCTATTTCATACCTTTAAAATCCTTAAACAACATCTATAAAAAGTAAAGTGTAAATATTTAATTAAATAGAAATTTCGAACAGTAAGAACTTAGATAGAGGATTTTTCGGATTGAAATGTGTACATTGATTATAATAAGCATATTAATACTAAATCATCTCTAAATAATTCCCAGCATATGTTATTTGTTCTTGTAAGTTTAACCTCTACTTATTATTTGATATTTTGAAAATAATAAAATCTGCAATTAACAAAACTGATGTATTATAAAAACTTCCCTATTTCAATTAGAAAATTTGAAAAAGAAATTAAAAATCAATATGTACAACAATTCTCAAATAAAGCACATTACACAAATAATTTTGAAAAAATTAATGTAAAAAAAGTAATATCTAGTAATAAAGGATGCCATTTGTACCAAAGTATGAAAAGTATATCATTAAATGAATAATATAAATATTTTCATGTCAATTAGTCTATTTATGTTAAATTTCTATTTAGCGCTAAAATTAATCAAATATGATTGCTTAAATCCCAAAGAAGCAGCGAAAGAACAATTATTTATATTCTAGCAAATTAGATGAGATTCCTCTCAGAATTATTCATAAAGACTGATTTACTGCTTGAATAGTAAATAGGAGTCAATATAAATATGATAAAATATACGGTTAGAAACAATATCAGTTTAAGACAATAATATAATAGTCTAGAGATGCTATAATTGAAAACATGAATATAGAATACAAGGATTAATCTTAAATATTTATCAATATGTATTTTAGAATTACATACGAATTTCTAATATTAATTCGTATTAGAGCAAAGGATATTTATTAAAAACTATTTGACAGCAAAGTTAATAAATAGAGAAATAGCGTAGGAAGATACAGATAAGACCAGCAATCAAGAACTTGATTTAGAAGAACAGATATTAAGGATCAATTTAAATAATAAAACCTCTCAAAAGTTTTTTTCATTTGACTCTGCTTTTTCATCATCCCTGATTCTAAATTGATAAGTTGTTGCCCATCCATTTCTAATAACACAATAGAATATGAAGCATATTAAGCCTTCCCAACTCATATATTTTTCAAGGACGAAATTCATACCTTCATGTCCATTACCAAATCCAATAAGATTAGCTAAACACATCATTTCAATCTAAAATCCTCCTCCTAATCTACATAACCAAATAAACCATGGCTTTTTATAGAAAAATTCCTTATCAAAATATTTTTGTAAAGCTATTTCTGGAATCAAAGCTAAACAAATAATCCAAGCCCAAAGCAAAAGATCTAACTTAAAATCATGCCACAAGGCAACAAAAGTAAAGACAGCCCACATATTCAATGATTTATATTTGGAGCCCCCCAATGGAACATATATATATCTAATCAACCACTAATTGAAACTTCTATGCCAAGATCTCCAAAATCCACTAAAATTATAATTGTTATAAATGCATCTATTCATATTTTCAGGTGTCTCAATTCCTACTATAGAATATTAAATACCATCCAATAATGCCCATCCTCTTGCAATTCTCCATATCGTCAGAAATTTGTACCATAAAAAGATGAGGTTTGTGAAACCCATAACATGTAATTCAAAAACAGAAAAAGTTTTCACAATTTTAAAATTACTAGCAATTTTTGGAATAGCGTTGGGGTAGCACACATGTAGAAAGAGTTCAAAAGTCAAAAAATCAAGAAAATACACTCTAAGGATATATTTTAAGACTTATGCTCGATTCATCTGTTATTGGGGAATTTTCAATTGAGAATTGAAAGCATTATAGCCCATAGATGGCCCTGAAAAAAGAAGAGGAACATAAAATAAAAAGCTAAGATAACCGAAAAAGTTGTATTCTTCTAATGGTTGTGGTTCTTATACTCTCTCCCTATATGTTTTAAGTGTTTGTTTCTCGTGTATTAAATCATATCTTTTTGAATTAGCAAAAGTTTACTTGTATTTGGTGTCCTATTAGGAAGCCCAAACTTTATCTACTGAGAAACTAATAATTCTCAATAAAATCATGTTAAATACTAGGTTCCATCTCACTAATTAATTGTTATGTTTGAAATCTTCTAAGAATTTCAATTACGGTGATATCATAGCGAATGAGTATCCTTGAAATGTCTCATTAGACCATAGAGTCATCAAAGCTAGAGTCCATAAAACGGGGATGAAATATTTCATTTTATAAAATATCTAGTATTAAGTTAAGTATGTAATTACTTTTTGGAATAAATAAAACCCTATGATTATGAATAATTAAAAAATCATTCCTATATTATGTAAATAGAAAGCATAACTCATCCCTAGACAAATATTATAGTATTATAAGTTTCTTTATTTGCTTTCTAATTTACTATAATATTTAACAGTATATGAGCCAATCAAAAAAATGAGTTGAAAAGCCATTAATTCAGTTAAATGTCCTGCAAACTCTCCCCATTGAAGGTCTGAATGATCCCTAAAGAATCCAAAATAGCCTATATAATTAAATATTAAAAAACCTTCTTCGATGCCCTCTACCTAATTTGATTTACAGATGTATGAAAATCGATAGAGAGAATAAGATTCAAAACCAATCATGCAGGCCAATGAAATGTAAAAGGATGCATTTGAGATATTAAAGGATTTATTTGATTATTGTTATCTCATATTAATATAATAATATATTGTTGATTAATTTACATCCATTCAATATTTCTTAACTTTTTAAGTTTCTTCTTCCTTTTATCTAACGTACAATCCTAAAATAACACCACTACCGTTTCTAAAAATGGCCACCAAGATAAAAATGATCATACACTCTAAATTGAAATATTTTTAATAAATATGATTCAGACAATCTTTTCCTTACCCAAATCCAATAAAATTGGCTAGACTCATGACTTCAATCTAGAATCCTGCTGCTATTGCAGTTAAATATTTGAACCACCAAAATTTATAATATTGTTCTCTGTTAAAAAAGTACATTGCAGCCATCTCTGGTAATAAGGCCAAGCAAATGATAAAGGCCCAAAAGAATAAGTCACTCTTAAAATCATGCCAGAATGCAACAAACAAGAAAACAACCCAAATGTTTAATGCTTTGTAATGTGAACCGCCCAAAGGTATATACAAGTATCGAATTAGCCATTAGTTAAAGCTTCTATGCCATGATCTCCAAAATCCACTAAAGTTGTAATTATTATAGATGCATCTGCTCATATTTTCAGGTACTTCTATCCCTATATACAGGTTAATTCTAACATAATACCGTCAATTAATGCCCAGGCTCTTGAAATACGCCAGATAATCATAAATTTGTACCAAATGAAAATCAAATTAACGAATGACATAACATGAAAATCATAAAATGATAAAGATTACCAAATATGATTATTCTCTTGTATATTTGAAATAGCATTAGGATAACAAACATGAAGGAATATTTCAAATGTTAACAAATTCAATACATAAACACGAAGTACATAATAAATTACTTCTTTAACATTTTTGTTTGCTTATTACCTCTATTTTAGTTAAGCGTTGAATGCATTAAATGTAATCGTTGGTCCTGTAATAAATAAAGGAGTGTAATATATGTATGCAAGGTACCCAAGAAAATTGTATTCAGATATATCCTGGCTTTGCTTTACTAAATCTCGATACTCTTATCCAGACGTCTTGGGTGGTATTGCTTTAAATTAATTTCTAAATTCGATTAAATATCATACTTTTTTATTTCTTAGGCTGCCCAATAGTGATCCAAGGAAAAACTTATGATTCTCAATAAAACTAAGTTGAAGAGACGGTGCCATTAAATTTATTATTATTCCTCTTAGATTTAATCAAGTATTTCTAAGTGAGGAGAAATCATTTTAAAATTGAATCCATTAAGTCTTTCGTTGAGATACAAAAATACCATAACAAATGTCCATAGGGATAAAACAAAGTATTTAAAATTAATTAAATACTAAGTATAGTGATTAAAATACCTTTTGTAAAATATAGAAAATCATCAAAACTACAAATTAGAAGATTACTCCAAAACTCATTGCCACAAAACTGAAAATCAAACCTATTGTGATGTTGAAGTATTATAGATTTTAAAGTTAAGTTTGATTATTCGAGATTTTTTTAATTAAAAATGATCCTAACAGACAAAAAAATTAAAAAAGAAGGATCGTTTAAAGATTCTACTGATAAGCATTCCATTAATGATCGGAAGTGTCTTTCATAATGCCAAACCATCCTATTTAGAATTATTTTAAATTACCTTCAGAAGTTCCAATAACGTGTTAGCTTTTAGAAATGAAGCAGAATCTAATAATAGAGGCTATTTCTCCAACGACAGCAGTTGATATCAGTATATAAACCAGCGATTTGGAGATATTGAAATTTTTTCCCATTTATCAAAATAAAATAAAATTGATCATTAATTAATATTAGAATTAGTATATTTATTAATTTTACACATTTAAAGGCTATAATAATAAAGTTTTTAGATGAATTTCAAATAGAGAATAAAGAATAATTAATAATGAATTACTTAAATAAACAATCATCTCTAATACAGTAACTCATACTTATTAGAAATATGATGCAAACAGCCCATCTCCAAATTGGATTTCGCTGAAAACTCTTTAAGGAAACTGTTTATTTATTTCAATATTGGCCACATCGTCTGTTGCTAAGTAGATGTTTTGAGTATCTAACAAATTCCAGATCTTTGTAAAATCGATGATATTGTTAAATGATTCTTCTAAATCTTAAGGTATTTGTCTCATGAAATTTCTCATTTAGATTTGGTTGTTTCTCTTATCAATTTTGATTTTATTTTCTACTTCCAAAATATGGATGTCCTTTAAATAAGTGGCCCATTAATTGTTCTCCAATTTATACCTAATATCCTTGACCTAGAACATATTGAGGTTTGATCTTATGGATGAAAGTATCTATTAACTAAGAACACTAGTAATTTATGTAACTTAACTAACTCTAGTACTTGCAGAGAAAGTTGAAAGCATTCTGAGTTTACTGTAATCTCCTTCCACAATGCTTTGTTGCTTAGTTGAGGAGATTTTAGGCAAATTAAACTATTGCTAGTAAATTGATTGCTGTTGATGTTATTAAACCATTCGAGACAATCCTACAGGTTGTGTTACCTCTTCTTTCAATATTTAGCAAATGAAACTTTCTAAGATAGAATCTTCTCTCTCAATTCTTGATGATAATTCGTCTGGTTCATTAAATTTGATAAATTGAAGAGTTGGGGGTATAATCTAAGATTCCAAAATATTCTCCTCAAAATTTCTCTACTCTTCAATGCAGGAGTTCAATTAACAAGATAGAACATATTGTCTGAGGTTGATTTTAATTTTGTCATACAAGTAATTTATTCCGATCGGTAAGATACACACTTATACGGTCCATTGATTCAGGATTTCTTACATGTATCTGGTTTCAGCTAAGGTATAGATGATATTAAATACCTAATATGTAATCTTTAAAGACAGTAAAGTTTGTAGAGAATTATATGGATGCTTGATTATAAAGTTCATTTGTCTATTTGACTACAATTTCTAGGATTTATCCATAGAGTTATCCAACTTTAACTTAAGAATGTCCAATCCAATGAATACTTTGTTCATGTAAGGATAAGTCAAGGATATTTGAGGTAAATTTGTTTAACAAACTATCAACTGCACTTGAACAGTATTTAAAATAATCGTCATCAACAATATGACTTATTGATTGTTTCTGATTTTTGATTTAATCTTTGGTGAAATACTCAAATAATAAGTTTCTTTTATTTCTCAAAATTGTATCAAAAGATAAGAACAATTCATTTTCTATAGGATCATTTTCAACATTCTTGGTACCTTTGATTACAATCTATGTCCACAATCTAACCAGTGCACTAGTGAATGTGATTTAAGGGAATTAGGTTGTGTAGTATTTATTAAATAACTAATCCAATTTATTATACATCTTCTTAAGGGATCTATTTAGTGCCCAAACAATTCCAATGAAGGATTCCCACAACACTGAATACATATTTAAAAATAAGGCTGGCTTCTTGTTTTACTTAATGATGGTCAAGACATTTCTACTAAAAATGCACCTTTGATAAATGAAATGAAGTAGTTGAGCCAGTAACTTTAACAATATTGGAACATTATCTTAATCTAAGGAACTTGGATCCTTTATAAAGTTGTCGATGATTATCCATCTTAATTCAAATAATAATTGGGTGTGTTTTATATTGTCTTTATTGAAAGTGGCCTCGCATTCGTCATATAATTTATCTGTCAATTAATCTAAGAGGGGGACTCTTTCCACAGCACTGTAGTCAGTTGTTTTTTAGGCAAGTTCTAACTGAAACCAACTTGTGGTTGATTGTTTAAGGACGTCATCAGTCAAAATTGGAATAGGGAATGTGGGATTTCTGCAGATTTCTAGTATTTTTTCTGTTATGGAATAATCAATGCTAAAATGAGACGATATCTCTTCTTCAATTCTCCTCAATTAGGATCTAAGGAATAATCTAAAAATTGAATTACATGCTTTTATGGAAATTTGCATATATCCGTATCCAGGATTCATCCTAGTTTGTCTCAATATTCAATAATTGTTCAGAGAATACAGACACAAATCCCCGATGTAATCCATATTCTACAAAACAGTGTAACTACAACTTTCTCAAATAATATTGACTGAGAAAGTTTGAGTAGATGTTGCTACTCATTTCGATCATGAATTTCAGTTTTCTATTAACCAGCTTGAGTTGCATACACTCCTTGATTGTAAGGAAATTTAAAAAGTATTGTAATATTTTAATTGAATGCTTAGGCATTTCCTCGTCACTCATCTTACTAAGAATGTAAACAAATAAATTACGTTAATATGTCTTGTGTTTGACATTTCATATTCTCAGAAAGACTCTTTTACAATCTGCTTCTCGCTTACGCATCCTTGGGTTGTAGTTAACTCATACACAAGCCCATCAAGAGATCTCTCTTTCTTGGACGCTTCTTTTCTTGTTATGCTTGTTGATTACTTTGATTAGCTCCCATTAGAATTTTAATTAAATTCTTTATTTATAACTTACTTTTAAAGGATTCTTTTAGTCAATAGGCTCAATATGGAAAAAGAATTACAAAATTTATAAAGTATGATTTAATATGTGTTCGAAGATCTCATTGTCTTCAATGAAATTTGATAATAATTTATTTTGTTTATTAATTAAATGGATTAAGTGGAGATGATATATGAAGAAGAGCAATCTCCTTTACATATCAAGCGAGAACTAGACATCAACATACCATATCGAGTGTCTTTCCCATCTTGCAATAACCAATAACAAAAAGACACTCCCAAAACTGCCATCAGGAATATTGAACATTTAGAACCTGAAGAGCAAGAGATTCCAACAGAAACTACTCCCAAAACTTAGATAGATGTCTCATCTCCCAGAGTCCCATTCTTAACGCATTCCTAAATTATGGGTATGAATCAAGATGATGATGACATGCTCTATTCCAAGTCAGTTTTTAACAATCCCCTTTCAGAAATACCCGAAGAGTAAACACCAAGTCAATTACAGAATGTAATCTTAAACTCTCATCTATTAAGCATTCCAAACCCTCAAGTTAAGATTTTAATTTAGACAATATGAGTATGGTCAATAGTTAGTAATTAAAGTTCAGTAAGAAGCCCTTGGAAAAAGACTTGATAGCTCGTCTAGAACTTGAGAACAGCAGGTTGAAGGAAGAAGTAAGCCCTATCTCTATCTCTAGTACAAGGAATAAATAGCTGTCATGGAAGCTAAAATCAAGGAGTTGGAAAAAGAGAATTTCATACTTAAGAAGAAATGTAATCAAGAAAAAGTTAAATAAATTGAAATCCAATTGGAAACTGAATACAAAATTACAACTATGAATGAATAATTGTATGATTAAGAGGAGTTTTACAAGAAATAGTTAGTCTCATTGAAGAACGATCTAAATAATGCAAAATTCTAAATTACCATGCTAAAATCTCAGTCACAACCATAAGATTAATTATAACATCATTCATTATTAACCAAATCTTAAATAACCTTTTAACAGCCATACATCAATCAACAACAATCAATTAAACAGCCTTATCATGTATCGTTATCTTAATCATTCACTGAAATGAATGTAAAAAATTAAAAAGAAGTTTATTTAACTCAAACCTAATATGAAAGTGTCCAGTATAAAATTGGACAAATACTTAGATTAATAGATCAATCAATTGATTTTAGTAAAAAAGATTTATTTGATTTGATCTAACTCCTATAAAACAAAATTAAATAGATTCTCAATATGGATGAAGAAGAAAAGATGGATGAACATCGAACCTTAATTACTAGTCTCAAGGCTGAATTGGGAGAAATCAAATTACTTAGAGCTTAATTATCTAAAATCTATTAAGATTATGATTAATAAATTAATAGAAAACCAGTAGATACATCCGTTGATTCAAAAATTAATGAACTTAATTTATAAATTTTGGGAATCAAATAGGAGAAATTAGAATTAAATGAGTTGACAACCAAATTGCAAAATCAATTGGCTTCCAAGGATCAAATCATCAATGAATTACAATCAAAATTAAGTAAATTTTATAGTCAGATTTTAGATAATCTATCCCAAACTGACACTCTTAGAAAACAATCACAATTTGTAAGATCCTTACAAACTAACTCCATGATAGATCTAAAAATAATCAAAGAATCTCTTAAATAACGACAAGAAGGAATCAAGTAAGTATGTATCACTTATATTAGAAAAACATTTAAATCCTAAAATTCCCCTTAGAGTAGATCTCATAATCCATCACCAACTTTGAAATTTTTGAATTCCCCCAAGTAAGCATCACTTATTAATATAGAAATTCTAATAATGGCTCAAATGCTTAGAAAAAATAACCATAATAAGATACTAGACAATAATTCTATAACAAGACTTCAGAATTTAGGTAATAGACTTCTTTTATGATTTATTTTATAGTGTTGATAATAGCTCTTCACATCAAGCCACTAATCACAATAATAACAGTTCACATCAGAACAGCGAAATCATTTAAAAACTCGTTGAGTAATTCAAAGGGAACTCTGCTTTGGCCTAAAGAATATCAAGTTATTCAAAAAAGAATTGAATTATTATTTACTGAATTTATAAACCTATAAACATTGATGAGAATCACAAATATTCCAAATTTCGGAGTTCGATATCAACTTTAACAAAAGTCCTTTCTTTCTATGAGGCATAGAAAATTATGACTAATGTTAAAGTGCCGACTATTATGAGTTGGAGATGAAAATAAATTGGAGATATTTAATGAATGTCAAATGAACTAAGAATAAATATATGATGCTTACTCAACTAAACCAATTTTTTGATTAGTTTTATCGAATAACACAGTTGTGGACATTATGAATGGCAATCCTAAGATTAAGTAATCTCGATTATGTTGGCTGATACACAACTTACAAAGTTTGTCATCTTAAATTAAATCTATGCATTACTATATGAATATGGAAAGTAATTCTAAGATTCAATAATAATTTTGGCACCTTCAAAATATATTGTGAAGTTGGGGAAATTATTATAGTTGCAATCACAATATATTGATTTATCGATTATTTTACATAAGGATTTCAAATTCCTTTCCCAAATATACGCAAATTAATCTTATTATATGTAAACTTCATTACTTTAAGTAAGAACCAAACAACTATATCCGCTATCTAGAAAGGCACTCCCTGTAAATATATCAGTCACGTCTTCGTTGTCAACATAAACACCCAGCATCTTGATCATCCATCTGTGATCTACATTCAATTAATGCCAAGTGACCTTCTCCTCTATGTTTGTGATATTATAATAGAGTCTTGACTCTTTGTTTTTCCTAAACTCCAATCCAAAGATGGAACTATGAAATTATTAATCCTCGAAAACATGTTTCACTTGAAATCTGTTTGACAAACCCATCAGTCCTATGTATTAGTCAAAGAACTAATATCGTTAATAAGTGTACAGGCATTTTCTAACATGTCCCATATGCCATTGTAAATTAAGGAATATACAATTATTTTGATAGCACTAGTCTATCCATTCCAAAAACTCCCTTGCATTTACCTAAGTCATATTGCTGCTCATAGGTTTAGTTTAGATTTTGAAACGTTTGAGATTGTTTATAAGTAGACTCTATCATGGTCACACTTGACCCAGTATCAATGATAAAGTACAATTAAGTACTGTGGATTTCCGCTTCCAACATGAAAGCAATCTACATAGTTAATTGCAATACATTGTAGTAGCTAATGACTGGCAGATAAGGCCAATTATGTGTATTTGCTTAATTCAATATTATAAAGAAAAAGAAACAAATCATAAATGATAAATATCTAAATCTGTGTATTAAAATAACCAATTGAATACGTTCTTGCCATTGTTAATACATTCCTTAAATTAAGACTCAAGTATAAAATTCATATAAGCATAATACATTCTTTAGTAAAAGTAATACTTAAACTCTGAAAATACTGCTTGAAATAGTCATATTCAATATATAGATGGTTAGATGTTTAGTATGAAATAGAATGAGAATAGATCAATAAAATTCTAAATCATTTATTTTCTCATTTAAATATTGATGAAATAACAGAAAATGCTGGTGCAATTTTAATACTTTCAAATAGGAGTGGAATATTTATGGTATTAAAATGATACAAATATGTTAATTAAAGAGAATATCAGTTTGAATAAACAAGAAAGATATTATAATCCAAAGGATAATGTAGGAATATTTTACTATTATGCAATTGGCTGTAAATTCCACTTGATCAATATATCAAAGTTAAGACTTAGGCTGAGTATCATCTAATTAGTTATAACTAGTTTATTTAAAAAATAAAAATGCTTTGGTTATAAAAGGAATTTTATAAAAACATTGTATACATTACAATCATCAAATTGCCTAAATAAAATTAATTTTATATTAAATATAATTATATTATAAAATGATAGCATCAGAAAATCAGAATAGTTTTGAATTATTTCAAACACAAGAATCTTTACACAAATACAAATTTTGCATTCAATATTAATCATTAATAACAGATATATTTGTTACTTATGAATATATTGGGTTTCTGCAATGAAACTCTAATTGTTTTCATATTCATTCATGAATGCAAATTATTTCCCATTTAATTTCCTCAAAACATGCGATGATTAAGTGATAAGTATTATTCTCCACAAAACGTTAAATTTTAAATGAATTTATTTATTATCCTGTATGAGTCTATTAGACTATTAGAAAGAGGTTTCGATTTTAAAGGTTTTTACTATAGAAAAATTGAAGGCTATTTGTGGTAATGGGTTTTTGTGATCCTTATGCCAGAATTTTCATCTAATATTGAATTAGGAATAAATCATAGATTAACATAGTTTTACATATCATTGCATCAAATAATGTTTTTTAAACTACTTCATCCACTTTAGTTTATAAATTAATGAGAACTGATTAATAGAATAAATCTGTTATATAATAAACTATTGTTTGCACTTAAAAAATAAAATATTAATATAAATATATAATTATGGATTGTTAAAGAACATATTTATATGCTAATTAAAGAAAGAAGTGCAATTTCTTTCCACTTAATAGAGTGGATGCTATTCTTGAAAAATGTGAAGATGGCTCCAACATCGGTTCGCATTTACAGAAAAGAATGGGAAAAGACCTATTTGAAGAAGCTAATTAATCAAAGAAAGTATAAACCAAACTGGACATTACAAATTTGAAGCAAAATTACTTTAACTACGCATAAACCAATTAATTTTTTGAATAGAAATAAAATTTGGAACAGAACATAGAATTAGAATGGTCAAATTCAAATAAAGTTCTTTAGAGTAATTTTATTAATTCAGAAGATATCACTATTTTGGAAGTTGACGAAATAAACTACTTAGAATCAAATCCTTCTAGAAACATATAGAAATTTAAAAAAAAATATTGTCAAAAGATCAGCAAAAATATAAAGAAATTAGTAAACTGATAACATGACGATCTATAAAACAATTCATTTTTTATTCTATTCTCATTTGATAATTCTATGCTTCATCAATTTATTTTTTCGATATGAAAAAATGATAGATGTTTTAAATAAAAAAAATTATGTTTTTTATTTTGCAAACATTCAAATCATGCAGGTAGAAATAAAATGGAGTATAACGCAAACAAATACTATTTAAATTGTTCTTCATTTTTAATTAAAATTTTAATTAAAAAAATGCCATTTCATAACAATTCATAAAAAAAATATATTTCAATCATTTAATATTTTACATATAGAGATTGATCTGTCGAAATTAAAAATTGAGATTATTAATAGCTTGATTTAAGAATTAATAGAGCTAATGAAGTTATCATATCTTTTTACTTTAAGATAATATTACTTTTTGATTTTAAAGTTTACATAAGATATGAATTTGATTATAATATGATAATTTGAATTGGAAATTTAAGATATTTATCATGGTGTATCGGATTAAAAATTTGACTTTTGGTTTATGTTGATCTATCAAGAAATTCAGTATAATTAAATGATAATATTAAAAAGAATGTTTATTCATAAAAATCAATCTTTAATATTTTTCGCATTTTTTCTTTATACAATTGATGCCATTTCAGTAATTAATAAAGGATGAATGTCTTTACTTGCAAGAAATGCTAAAAGTGGTGAATTTAAAGAATTGCTCCAATTTTTAATATTGAATTTTCTTTAACAAATTAATATACATTGTTATTCCCAGAAGAAAAAGGTACGACTTAACAACAAATATATTCATTAGAATGAAAAGAAGAGGAAATCATTAGGTTATTGAATAAGATTGCGATCAAAAATTACAAAGTCGAAAGTATTGGAAGGAGGAGGAGGACAATAAATTGCAGGCTGCAGTTTTTACACACGGTTCAAATTGGAAGTTGATTGCTGAGTTTGTTCCTGGTAGGAACGCATCCTAATGTGCATAAAGATGGAAAAGAATAAAACCAAAAGAAGTAAGAAGATTTAAATAAGGGTAGAATGAAAGAAATCAAAAGTGGACAGAGGAGGAAGATAAGGAAGTATTGAGACTTACAAAAATTTATTAATTTAACTGGAAACAAATAGCTAATGAGATACCAAATAGAACTGGTAGATAGATAAGGGAGAGGTATGTTAACCATTTAGATTCCAATATCATAAAAACGCCTTGGACTAAGCAGGAAGATAAAAAGATTTGGGAAATGTATTAGAAGATGGGTACAAGATGGTCAGATATGTCAAAGAAAATGTCTGGAAGGCCTGTAATAATTAAATAAAATTTAGGAAAACATGATCAAAAATAGATTTTATTCATTTATAAGAAAATAATATGGAAAAGTGTAGAACCCTTATTATGTCGTACCTAGTAAAGTGAGGGTTCTGGATGAGGAAGGATTGAAATGTAGTCAGGGAATGAAGAAAATAAGAAAATTCAAGAAAATTTAATAATCATTCAAAATGGAAGAATAATTGGAGGAAATGCCAAAAGGAATCCTTCAGGAAAACAAATAATAGTAAAAGTAACCAGAGTAACAATGTTAGTCAATACCATTTACATAGTTTTAAACTTAATAATCTCAGTAATAGCAATAATAAATATAATTTTCTTAATCACAATTTCCCTCATTGTAACATTCTTAAATGCAATAATCACAATTCCCGTAAATAATAGACCCATTTTCATTTTTTTAAGATTCCATAAGATCAGACTCCTACAGAGTAAATTAATACCCTGAGGCTTTGAAGCAGTATTAAGATTTTTAAAATTGGTTAAAGGAATCCTTAAAGTCCTCATCAGATCCTGAAATTAATCGAATGTACAAGTTTGAAACACCCATGATGAGTTTTTTGTATATGAATCCCAGTTTGCTGCACTCAATCCAGTAGTAGTAGCCCATAGTTATGAAGGAGGAAGAGAATGACAAGTTGTTTGGAGGAATAGAAACCTCGTTGCCTGTTTAAATACGACCTGATATATTTGAGGAGATGAAGAAAACAAATGCAGAATCGCATTAGTAATAGTAGAATATAAATCATCACATAAAGTAATGATGAAATTGGAATAATGATTGTTAATATATTATTTGAATGTGCCAATATGGATCAAATGCCAACTTTAGATTTGACATATTATTCAAAGCTTGGTTAGGTTAATAAACCAAGAGCTTGCTTACTGATCTCGATTTCTTTGTTGTATTCTGCAACAGTTCTGTTGTAGAGGTCGGTCTCAGCAGCGTAGTTGTCGTTTTCAGCTTATAATTAAGCTTAGAGAGTGGCTCTGTCATCTTTTCTTTATCCGACATAGACGATGGTTTCTCCTAGTTTTTCTGAAAATGTTATTATGGATTGATACATTCGTTAGCGGCAATTTCAGAATTCTTGATGAGGACAGCTCTTTAGAATTCAGCGAACTCCTTTTCTAATTAGGCTACTCTCTCGGCGAATTTGGATTCAGCTGCACTCTCATCGGCTGTTTCTTGGTTTAAGGTGTCAACAAATTGGACTCTCAATTCATTGAAGATCTTGACCAATTATTACACTGATCCTTAATCGGCGAAGTTTTATTCTGTTGCTAATTCAAGTAAGGCTTTGATGATTGGAGCAAATGAAGAATGGTTTTAGAATGATGTTTGGATTCTACCCAAGTTGGTTTGGACTCTCTTGAATTAGACGAGAGATGGGTTAGTAATTTAAGAAAGTAATCCTAAGGATTCATCGACAGCACCAATAGCTTCATTGATTTCAGCTATGTTGGACAAGAATTACTCGTGTTATTTCTTTCTGTTAACTGTTTCTGAATCAAGAATTCTTCTGTTTTCCTCAATGTTGGTTTTCAATTGAGCAAGAGCATCTTGGAATCTTTACTTTTATGGGATGAGAACGTTGTCAATGAAATCTTCTCCATTGAAAATATCTAACAATATTATTTAATCATTAACCTCTGTCAGCATCTTAAATTTCTTATTCATATCTTGTGACATCTCTGTTATGTTCATCAGTTCTTCTGGAGTAAGCATGATGAATGTCATCTAATTCCTCCTCTAATTAGTCGATCAATTATTTGATAGCTTCAACCAATTCTGTCAAGGCTCCTCCACTTCCCAATTCCACCTCTGCGAAGTCAACTATGAATGAAGCCCATTTAGATTCTCTTAATTTGGCCAAAACTTCTTCTGAATGTCTCTCCATATTGAGTTCAACGCTCAACACTCCCAAAATCAGGCAAATTAATAATCCTGTTCTCATTTATTTTAAATAATAAAAACGACTATTCTTATTTATCAATATAATGATATTCGTATTCTTAAATATTTCATATCAAAATACTCATAATCAAACTCATAAATGCGTATTACATAATTGCCACACCCCATTTCTCATTCCCCTATTGTTCTCAATTATATTGAAACATTCAATTCAGAAAATCATTGGATAATTAATATTATTAAATAAGATTCATTATTTTAATAAAATCTGACTCGAATCAAAGTTAATCGACTAGTTATTTATTATTACATTTCACAAAAAATCAAACTATTTGAATATAACACCATTTAATTTTAATAATATTTCTATTAAAAATGGAGTATGAAATTTGCACACTTATTCAGAAACTGTTTGGAGATAAGTATACAAATCCATAGGAATGTGGAAGGGGAGAATTTTCAAAAGTCTATAAGTGTCAAAATAAAAATGGAGACTTTGTAGCTATTAAGGTTTTAATTTCCTTGTTAATTGTTTAGGTAAATGATACATAAAAAGCTGCAAACATTCCCGATATTTTGAAAAATGAAACTACTTTACTAAAGAAATGCAATAATGAGAATGTTATCAAATTAATTGAAAGTGTTGAATTAGGCAAGGCATAAATTTTAGTCTTAGAAGTCTACTTTATTATATAAATTACTTTAGTTTTGTGAAATGGATTTGTAGAAAGTGAGGACTGATTATTATAACAACAAGATACCAGAGGATATTGTAATTGTTATTCTTTAACAATTAATGAATGGATTATATTATTTACACTAAAATAAAATCATTCATAGAGATTTGAAGTTAGAAAACATAGGAGTAGTTTTTAGAAAGGGGGATCTAAATTATCTGAAAAACAAAAAATAATATGTCGATGACTCAATTTTTAGAAATGCTAGTTATAAACTAATAGATTTTGGCTTTGCTAAATAATTATTAGAGGAAACAAAAACCTTAGCCGGAACCTATTTTAATATGGGTATATATAATTTTATTTTTCATTTTAGCTCCTGAAGTTTTAGTAGGAAGCAAGTATTCTTTTTCAGCAGATATTTATAGTTTAGGAGTCTGTTTATATTAAATGATTACTGGTTAGTATCCCTATTAAGCTAAGGATTTATAAGGATAATATACATCTATAAGAAACTAAAAAGCCAAATTTGATACAATAAACAATAAACTACTTAGAGAGACCATTTAATAGATGCTATAATTTGATGTGAAAAAAAGATTGACATTCTAGTAATTATATTCGTCAGGACTGGTACATTTGGGTAATTCCATCAAATAAATTTCTGAATTTTATTTTATAAATACACCAAATGAAAATGATGATCTTCAGGAATCATAACTTAGTCAGACAGAGGCATTTTCAGTGATTCAATACCCCACAACTGAAATTGCAAAATCTTAAATTTAAACATCTTAAATTGAATTCATAGGATTGCCAGAAATGAATAGATGGAATAAACAAAAGGCTATTTGTACTTTTATCTAAAACTTTTGCAACAAATTACAAAATGTCATTAAAACATACCCTGATAAGATAAAACAATTTGAATTTTAGAATTAATTCATTAGGTTCCTCAAATATTATTCTAAATTAGTTGAAAAACTACTTTTTGATTTGAAAAAAGATGTTTATTAAAAAAGTCATTATTCCAATTAGACAAGTTATAATTTGTTTAGAGATTCATTAGAAAATTTTAAATTGAATAATTATGAATATCAGTGGATAAATTCAACATAAGATCTCAAAATATTAAAGGTAGATGATATCAACAATTAATAAGACCTATTATCTATTGTGTAAAAGAATAATGAAAGGATCTTTCTATATATCAGTAATATGTTAGAAATTATATATGATATGGATCAAGAATTACAGGAATTTCGTTGCAATTGTTATTTAATACAATGCGACATCGTAATTCTTTACGCTGAAAATTAGAACAAGAATACAATATCGGGTGATGATCAATTTGTTGAATTAAAGTCTGAAGATTTTGACAGAAATCCAGTTCTTGTTTAATCTTGGCTATGGGAAATGATAGATGATAAGAAAGTTTATTTTGAGGAGTTATATTGAAGTAACTGAAATTTCAATTAATTTTATTTTGATATAATATAAATTTATGTAAAAATGTAGGATAAGATCTTGAATTCAAACCAATTGTATTCAGATCAAATTATAATCCAAAAATTACCCAAATTTAAATCTAGATTTATATTTATATTTAAGTATTGTTTCTTAGAAGGCTTCTATTTAAAGTACTTAATTTTTTTAGTAAATCTAATGGTGTCGATTACAATTATTATTTGAAATTTTACTCAAAATATTGTATAAACTATTGCTTAATTTAGTTGCCTGAAGCAAATATTATGATAATTATCGATAATGTAATAATATTTATCTTAATCAATCTGTTGTACATCCTGGGATGTGTAATTTATATCCAGCTTCGCAATTTTATCCAGTGAATCCTGTTGAGCAACGTTCCTAAAATTATGAATCTCAATACTATTGTGCAACAACCCTGTGATACAAGTCCGCAGATACTACCCTTGTTGTCAGCGCATTTCTATCTGCATGCTGGTCCCCAAATATCGTGTCTTTTCACTCTCTTAAAAACAGATTCTTAAATGTCACTGTTGAATGCAATTAAAGCTACTATACAAGCTGCAGCAATAGCTAAGAATAATATTTTTTTCATAAATATATTAATGATTTAGAGTCATAAAAATATTGGAGATTTAAAGCCTGAATTTTGAATTCAAATTGATAAGAATGTAATAAGGCATCATCTGATTCTTATAACTGGAATTAATCAATTGGTTTATTCATTTTTATAATATAAAATAAAAACAAGCAGTTAAAATAATAATCTTAAAAGTGAAGTATCTATATAAAATATTTATAAAGAAATTCATAAAGTGAAGTAATTAATTTCCACTGACTCAGGAGTCTACACCGAAGTCCAAATGTCATCAATTAGTTAAACTACTCCTTCTTACTCTTCGATGATCATGTTTCTTAATACTATCTGATTTTCTAGAATAAAATCGTTCTAATGCTGATTTAAAAGTTTCTATTGTAAAGATGCCTAAAACAAATTACGTTACTTGATACCCAAATGATATCAGTACCGTCTGAGAGACAAATATTTTTGGTGAATTATGGCCCATATTTTGTATCACATTATTATGCTTCAGAAATGGCCTAAAATAACGAATTCCATTACAATTATCTTAGCATAGAGGTCAATTTTTTTGTTTGGTGATTGTCTAAGGATGTCCTTAATTGTGTAACTATTTAAAAGTATGGATCCATTCTTATATGGAGTTGGAGGTGAACTTGGATTAGAGCTCATTAATTTTAATAATTTTAATAATAATACTGATTTTTAAATATAAAACAATATGTAGAAGGACTAATAGAAAAATCACATTCAATCTTCATTATTCCAAATAATTTAAAACATCCATGAGAATGTTATTAGTTATTTGAGAACTGATTTAATATTAATATTAGATGCTTTGTGAATGTTCTAAAATTTTATTTATAATTTTACATTTATATATTGATTGCAATATTTATAATGTGAAGAGAAAAAAACTTATTAAAATTAATTTTTTGATGAATGAATAACATTTTATTAATGAATAATAAACTATAATGAGAATTTTAATATTGTGATAAGAGATTTCATAAATTAATAATAATTTTAATTTATAAATATACACTCGACATCCTCAATGAGCAACGCATTTAAGTCAGCTGGAAATACACTTGCCAAAGGAAATGATTTGGGATAGACAGGTCAAAGTTTTGCAGGATCATAGAACCCTGCATCCTTGAAGGGGAAATTAATGAGTTTGGAAGTAATGAAACTGATATTATATTTTCTAACAGGAAACAATCAAAGGCATCTAGGATGAGATGAATTTCCACAAAAAAGAAGTCTAAATATTGAAATCAGAGAAGGATACACTCGAATCAGTTTTGAGCATGAAAACCTAGGATGTTAAAAAAACATTAACCAATGAACTCATGAGAATCGAAGAAGAAATGAAGAGGTACATATTACTTAATAACAATAGACATTTTGCTCATCAGAAAGCAGAGAATTCTAGATTATAATAGTAAATTACTGCTCTTAAAGGAGAGAAAACTGCCTTACAATAACAACTACTTGGATTATAAAGAAGAATTGCTGAACTTGAGCTCTAGGTTGGATAAGAATAGGCATGATATATCATCAATTATAGAATCATTATCATTATATAATAATTTATGCGACATTCACATTATCATTTTGAAATAACATCATCTTTTATAGTCAATATATAAATAAATGTGGCCAATTAAAACCGTCTGACATAGATATAATTATATCAATATCTAAAGTTTTTATCTATTTTGATGCAAGCATCTTCTAATAATTTTAATAATGCTTCAGTAGTGGCTTCTCTTTCTCTTCTTTCAAATGAAATGTCCTATTGTAATTTCCCATGGACATCTTCAATCATTCTGAATATTTTCCCTTATGTTTCTTCCCTCACCTTTTTCTCAACCAACAATTAGTCTGAAAACTTATTGATTTCACTGTCCATCTAATCACTCAAACTTTCTGAGGATTCTTCCCTAAAACTATAATTATATAGTTCTACCTTGATCTTCTTTCTTAATCCAATTAATTTTTGACTATCTAAATCTACTGAAGAACCTCAGCTATCTTAGCTTGACTTCTATCCTCATATTGATGTGTGTTCCTTGTTATTGTCAATGTTATCTATGAAAACCTCTCATCAATTTATTTTTGTAGCTTGGTTTCTCCTTGACTTCTTGCATTCTTCTCCTATTCAAATGAAAGTGCTATATTATCAGATAAAGTTCTAAAGTCTCTTTCTTTCTTGTAATCAAAGGCCTATATAACATAAGGGATAGTCAAACCTCTCTTTCAGACTTTTAGTTATGAGCAGAATCTTACAACTTCAATACTGAATCCTTCAGCACTTTGAACTTCTATTCGTCCTTTGGTTTTTCTGATGCTAAAACATCTTCAATGATTTTAATTCTTTCCTCTAACACTTCCCTCTTCTCTAATTTATCCTTATCAATTCCATTTTGGATGTGATTCCATTTATCAGAAAGCAGCTTTATTCTTTATCTTGAAGGGGAGTCTAAGTCCTAACTTAGATAGTTGACAGTCGATCTTTGAGGACTCGATATCTGAGATCTTTGAAGCTTTGAAGAAGTCAATTTAGATGTCGACAAGAGCATTGAGGATTTATTTTACAAATAAATTTATTTCAAAATAAATGAAATTAATATAAATTTTATAGTTTTGATTTACTTCTACATTTTTGATAAAAGGATAATTATAAGTTTTATCTTCTTCTTTTACAAACTAAATTATTTTACATAAATATTAACTATTAATTTAATAATATTATTAGATAAACAATATAGAATTTAAATAAGCATGTATGTTTACTCTGATATGTAACTTAAATAAATAAATACATTAATAAATATTCGAGATACTCATGAAAGTTACTCTAATTATCTCAATTATTTTATATCAATACTTGTGTGCTGATAAATTGTTGTTTATTTAAGCAATGTGGAGACATGGATCAAGAACGCCTGTAAATTGCAATTGGAATTGTGAATACTTTCTATAAAACGATTTGTTGAATGGCTACCTAACTCCTACAGGAATGAGATAACACTTTGTTCTAGGTCAATGGATGAGAAAGAGATATATAACTGAGTTATAATTCCTAAGTGACACCTATGATGCCTCACAAATCCTTGTCTACTCAACAGATGTTAATCGAACCATAATGAGTGCCATGAGTAATTTACAAGGGATGTATTCAAATAATGGACCGAAAGTACCCAATGTCAAGGATAGTTATTTGATTCCACCAAACCCAGGAGCCGAAACTCCAACTGATATTGGTTAATCAGCCATTTAACATGATATCCAAGTACTACCCATTCACATGAAAGAAGCAATAACTGATGATAGACTCTTATCAATACTTATTTGTCCTAAAGGGTATGAAATGTTTGTCCAAAACATGCAAACCAACTTAACTATTGCTGTAAGTATCAAAGCTTAAAGTACTTTGCTATAATTTTGTAATGAAATGAATATAGATCCACTTGAATTCAACATATTCACTCTCACAGAATATATGGATACATTTTATTCATGTATTTACAATGATTACCCAATGCCCCCTAATCTCACAAAAGAAACATACCTTAAAGTTGACTCTCTCTATGCCCTAACAATTGCATTATAGCTCTATTAAACTCAGCAGTAAACTATTTAATTATTAAGATAGCCAGGTCGATGTCTTTTCTTCACCATTTTTCGAATCTTTACTCTCCTATTTTGATTCAGCATTGACTTAATAGGCAGATAAAAATCAAAAATATATCATTTATTCAGCTCATGACATAAATGTGTAATTGATTGCTTCAGCTTTAAATTTTACATCAGCCGAATGCATGGCTTAGGTTTACTTGGGCCAAGAAGTCAGTAACAAGAATTGTATTTACACTTATCCTGGATTTGCTTCTAACATTATTTGGGAATTATGGGAAGAGGAATAGACCCATGATCATTACATTAAAGTTCTTTATAATGGCACTGAAATGAACATATGCAATACGGATTCGAAGAAATGTTCTTATAAAATCTTTAAATAGTTGATTGAAAATTAGAGGAGAGATTTCTAAAAAGAATGCTCAGTTGAGATTGAACCAATTGTAATTAATTAATTAAACATAAATTTTAGATCGAAGAGAAAGTTCCTGTTTGGATGATAACATTATCTATCATATTTCTATTCATTTTGTTCTCAATGATTTTATATATTTTATGCCTCAGCAAAAAATTAAGGGAAAATGGTAAAACTAAGTTAAATGAAGATAAAGAACCTTGAGAAAATATCATAATGTTAGATAATATATAAAATTCATTATTAATATCTAGGCCTTTCCTATTTATTCGACCCTATTGTTAATTATTTTTAATATAAATACTTTAATTTAGTCCTTCCTATTAATTTGACTATTTTATAGTTTGATTTTATTTATATTCTTACGGTGTTTGGTTTGGCTATGAATGGTGTGCATTTCTTTATGCTGTCATCTGTTGCTAGTATGNCAAGGGATGTATTCAAATAATGGACCGAAAGTACCCAATGTCAAGGATAGTTATTTGATTCCACCAAACCCAGGAGCCGAAACTCCAACTGATATTGGTTAATCAGCCATTTAACATGATATCCAAGTACTACCCATTCACATGAAAGAAGCAATAACTGATGATAGACTCTTATCAATACTTATTTGTCCTAAAGGGTATGAAATGTTTGTCCAAAACATGCAAACCAACTTAACTATTGCTGTAAGTATCAAAGCTTAAAGTACTTTGCTATAATTTTGTAATGAAATGAATATAGATCCACTTGAATTCAACATATTCACTCTCACAGAATATATGGATACATTTTATTCATGTATTTACAATGATTACCCAATGCCCCCTAATCTCACAAAAGAAACATACCTTAAAGTTGACTCTCTCTATGCCCTAACAATTGCATTATAGCTCTATTAAACTCAGCAGTAAACTATTTAATTATTAAGATAGCCAGGTCGATGTCTTTTCTTCACCATTTTTCGAATCTTTACTCTCCTATTTTGATTCAGCATTGACTTAATAGGCAGATAAAAATCAAAAATATATCATTTATTCAGCTCATGACATAAATGTGTAATTGATTGCTTCAGCTTTAAATTTTACATCAGCCGAATGCATGGCTTAGGTTTACTTGGGCCAAGAAGTCAGTAACAAGAATTGTATTTACACTTATCCTGGATTTGCTTCTAACATTATTTGGGAATTATGGGAAGAGGAATAGACCCATGATCATTACATTAAAGTTCTTTATAATGGCACTGAAATGAACATATGCAATACGGATTCGAAGAAATGTTCTTATAAAATCTTTAAATAGTTGATTGAAAATTAGAGGAGAGATTTCTAAAAAGAATGCTCAGTTGAGATTGAACCAATTGTAATTAATTAATTAAACATAAATTTTAGATCGAAGAGAAAGTTCCTGTTTGGATGATAACATTATCTATCATATTTCTATTCATTTTGTTCTCAATGATTTTATATATTTTATGCCTCAGCAAAAAATTAAGGGAAAATGGTAAAACTAAGTTAAATGAAGATAAAGAACCTTGAGAAAATATCATAATGTTAGATAATATATAAAATTCATTATTAATATCTAGGCCTTTCCTATTTATTCGACCCTATTGTTAATTATTTTTAATATAAATACTTTAATTTAGTCCTTCCTATTAATTTGACTATTTTATAGTTTGATTTTATTTATATTCTTACGGTGTTTGGTTTGGCTATGAATGGTGTGCATTTCTTTATGCTGTCATCTGTTGCTAGTATGTTTGTGTATTTTGCTAATGCGATTAACCAGTAAATGATTCTATTTTTTCGGCAATTGGTTTAGTATTCTTGAGAATTTCATATTTAAGATTTTGTATAATTCCTGCAGATTCTTACAAGTAGTTCTCAAATTTACTCATGATTTCAGCTAATAAATTTTTATTTAATTGTTAGTTAAGCTTATAAATTTACTCAATCATTTTCTAATCATTATCTTTGGAATTTTTTTAGGTAGCATTAAATTCATCAAATTCATTTTTCTCTATATACTTATTTAAAATTTGTTAATACTATGACTAAATATTTGATTTTAATTATGAAATAGATTATTAAGTGTTCTTTTCCGAGCTTTAAATCAAACTTATAATATGATTTAAAGCACTTGTGGATTATTACTGACTATTTTTAGAATTAGCAGGTTCTTCTTTATGTTATATTTTAATTTGTTCAAGATGTGCTGAAATCTAAATTATTGATTATTAAAAATAAGTTAAAGCTTTATTCATACTACTAATTTATTCAAGATTTGATTAATTTTCTTTTTCAATTTATTTTTAAAGTTCTCTCAATAATTTTTTATTCTCTGCATCACAATTGCATTAGCTTCTGTTTGAAATATTAGGTGTTTTTTCCTTCTGATCATCCTTTTCTTTTTCAATTAATTTCTTCTACAAATATTCTATCTATATTTAATTCTTCTCTGTAAGTTCTAGTAAAGTTTTATTTTATTAAGCCAAATTTATAGTTTATTCTATTAATTCCCTATTTTAATCCTGCGCTTGTTAGATCTGATTTCCCAAAATTTATTAGATTTAAGTAATTCCACCTTTTAAGAAATTTTACATTTCAATTTACTAATTATTGATTGGAAAAGTTCCATTCTTTTAGATCGAAGCCTATTGTTAATTGGTTTAATTTTGAAAAACATAAAAGTTTTAATCTGTTTTATTCTATTTAAAAGGAGACTAATTGATAAATTATTATTATTAAGGATTATTTCCTTCATTTAATCTTGGATTATCACGACATTATCCTAATTAATAATCTGTTATCATGATATTTTAGAGTTGGTCCAATACTTCCTCTATTGAACATCTTTTTTCAGGAGAAGGGTTGATCATTCGCTTTAGTAAACTTTTCAATGAACTAGATATTTATGTGGATTCAATCTTGTTGTAAATTGCTTCTGGTTGATACTTATGATTTAGTACTATTTTCTTAACATCTTAAATAGTATTTCCTAAATTTATTTTGCAATTGAGTACCTGGGATAAGAGGTGAAGATTGAATAAGCTCATAAAATACACAAGCCAACGACCAGATATCAACTGATTCTGTGTAGTGAATGGATTCTTCAAAGATTTCTGGACTTGCGAAAAGAGGAGTTCCAACATGAGCAGTTTTTATTAGTTGACTGTTTTGGCGAACCAATCCGAAATCAATTAATTTGAATTGTTAACCAACGAGTATAAAGTTTTCTGGTTTGATGTCTCTATGAATTATTCCGTTCTTATGTAAAAATAGAATAGATTATGCGATCTAATTTATATAAAATGGCAATACTTATTTCATAATTTCTAATTTACTCTAAATTTATAGGTTCTTTTCAGATTATATAAAACTATTCAAGTTTTGAGCTCCAGCCTCCATCAGAACAAAATTGTAATTATTCCATTTAATTATTTCATAAACTCTTATAATATTACTAGATGCCTGCTCTAATAAGGACAATAATTTTGGGTTGCTTGTTTGTTCGCATTTGGTTTATATTTAAATAAGGGAAAACATGAAATTTATTTCATCTTATTTAATTTTTGGTTGCAATTTTAAAGCAACTCTATCGTTTACCCTGTTGTTCCACTTCGTAACTTTTGCTAAATAGACATAACCCTCAGCTCCATATCCAATTAATTTCTCAAGGTAAAAGCTTCTATTTGGATAATTCGGAGCTGGAGCATCAATGTTTGAATTAACTAGCATTCTTGGATCCATTTTAAGATTTATTTCTATTAATTATATAAATGAAGAGCGAATGAAAGAATGCCGAAATTAGAAGGGTAATTGGTAACATTTTCAAATAGTGACACAAGAATTTGAGAAGAGGCATGAAGTTAAAAAAGGAAAAGATATATTATCTTATATTTATATAAATATTATATACAATCTCATCTGAATGATAAAAAATACTCAAACTCCACTAAATAAGGATGAATAAAAACGACTGAATTAAATAGTTCAACAATTGATTGATTCAAATGATAGTGTCGAGTTTCGTTAGCCTGTAGATTATAAGAGATTGAATCTGCCTGATTATATCTAAATAGTTAAGAGACCAATGGATTTGGGGACGGTACAATTCAAATTGAATAACAATACATACAAAACTGTGGAGGAGTGTTTGGATGAGATATAACTAATTTGGGATAATTGCAAATTGTACAATGGACCGCAGAGTGTAATAATTTGAATTAAGATTGATAGTGGATAACGAAAATAGCTGAGAAGTTGGAAAGGTTGTTTAAGAAGAATGTGAAAAATTATCTGCCTCTTGTGAACCTTCCTTAGGTGGTACCAAAAACAAAGGAGATTACATCGGATGTGTATCAGGAGGAACCTTAGGAATAGGTGACTTATAATGACAAGGTGGAATTTTCGAATAATTTAAAATAATTGGCTCCGGAGCAAATAGGATTGATTGTGCATATGATATAAAATACGTCTCCGAATGCTTTCGTTGAAATAGAGCGGGAAAAATATTAAATAATTGTTGATAACATCGAGTATGAAGCATTTACTAAATGTTAACAATAAATCTAGGCTTGGATATTGGGGGATGACATAAATAAAAAGGTGAAAATATGAAATATCAATATTATATTTATATCATTTATTAAGTGAATCTAAAAATCTATAGAAATATTTCTGCAATTCTGACAATTGGATATCATCGGAGATGGTACGCAAGAACTACTTAGTATTCCATTGGAATTCTTCAGTGGTGACGTTGTCGGAAGGACATTGGGACTTGTTCAATTCCTGGACTATCTGTTTTTCGACTAGGAGGATTTAGCTAAAAGGGAGAGAGAGTAATGAAAAAGAGAATACCTTTCATCTTCCTTATAAATATATTGTATCTTGTCGAACTGAGGAGTGTTCTTGAATTCTCTTAATCTGATGAGAGAGTCGAAATTTAGTTTCAGTTGAGATTGAATGTATCTGATCATGAAGAGTACCATTAAGGGGACGTGGACATTGTCGTTGACCTCTAAGAGTTTGATGATGGCTTGGATGTGCTCATGCAATTGTTTCCTTTGCTGCAGAATGATCTTGATGTTGGTGTAGATTCCACTTTCGGATGTTTCAGTCATCTTTGAGGAGAAGTGCTGACTGTTCTTCTTCTGGAACACTTGTTGATAGGGCGAGGAGTTTTATCTAATTGCTAATATTAAATTATATTACACTTACGAGATACACCTCTTCTATTACTGTTGGTGAGTGGCGAGACACTCTTCTGACTTTTGGAGATCCTGAGTTGGAACAGTTCTTGCCAGGATATTCTCTGTCTCGGATCAACAGTGAGCATCCGTCTCAACAGTCGTTCGATTCCCTCTCCAATTTGGTAAGGGATTGTCAGCTAATATGGTGTGCATCATCGTTACAGGTTGATTTTGTATTTGGTACATTAGTCTCGGGATGGTCACGTCTTCGTAGGGACATCTTCCAAACAGCATCTCGTAAAGACACACTCCTAGAGACCAGATGTCAGCAGAGAAGCTATAGGGTTCTCCTAACAAGATTTCAGGGGCCATGTAAATTGGCGATCCTACCATTGTTTAAGTGAGATCAAAAGGTTCAATATTTTTACAAAAACCGAAATCTGCTATCTTCACAATGTTGTCATGCAAAAGAATGTTGGAAGGCTTCAAATCTCGATGCAGAATGTTCTCTTTCTGCAAGGATTCAAACCCATTCAATAATTAAGCAAATTTATCCATCGCATCACTTTCCCTGAGGTTCCGGCTTCTTTGAATATACTCTTCAAGATTACCACCATTGCAAAACTCATAAACTAAATATAGGTTATTCTTAGAATTGAATAATTCGATAAACTTGATCACATTTGGATTGTTAATTCGTTTTAATGTTTCAACTTCGTTCATTGTGAATTAAGTTAATTTCGGTAATTGTTTAAATCGAGTTAGTTTGATGACTTTGATTGCATAATATTCTTGAGTGTTGTGTTTATTCGCCTTGTATACCTTGCCGTATTATCCTTACCCAATTTAATTGAGCAATGTATATTTATCTATAGTTTTCATATTATTTATTATTATTGTAAAATAATTACATTATAATCTACTATTTATATATATATCACAATTATATTCAACTCAACAATTTAATCAATTCCTAACACAATCGTGGGTATTTGAAATTCTTCACTGCCAATTCTGCCTCCTTCAACACAACTCCCTTCTCTGGACATCTCAAAAGACATTCGAAAACAGCCCTCTGCACTTCTTCACTTGAATCATCCAAATGAATCAATGTTGCCTTTACAATGTATTCCAATATCGTTGTCGAGTCATACTTCTACTACATTATTGCTGCAATTGCAAAAGTAATCTCTATTCTAATTTGATTTTATGAATCATCCAATCTCTCCAACAGAGAAGGATAGAAATCCCTGATGATTTCATAATTTAAAATCTAGCACTTCTTTATTAAACTTGTTGCCAATTTACTTGATGCAAATCTCAAATCTGGTGCCCAATCATCAGTCATGCACGATTTCAAGGGAGCTGCCAAAGCTGGGAACAACTCCAATATTTCCTCCTAACTCAACATCTCACTCAAATACAGTGTTATTATTACAGCTGCCTTTCTTACCTTCACTGTTGGTTTATTGGCTTTCCAAACCATAGATTGGATTAACAATTAGGATATCATTACTGCTGCATACATTCTTATACTGTCTTTGATTGATTAAATCTATACTACTCTGTCCAATAACAAAAGCACTTCCAAACGCAATTCAACTTCCTAGTCACCACCCAAAGAATATTTCATTATCTGTATAATCTATTGCATGTATTTAGATATCCCATCCCCGCATCCTGTTACTATTGCCTTAAATTTTAGGAATTCTCTCGTGTTGTGCTTCCAAGTCTTAAAATGCTCTTAATTTACTATCTGTTCTAGAATCAAACTTATTTCATTTGCATGTAAATCAGTTACACTTGTGTATCCGCATTTCGTTGACAATGAATGAAGCAATGGTTCACAATCCAACTTATTGAATGATCTGATTGTTAGAAGAGCTTAGAACAATTATCTCACGTAAATCGGTAATTCTTGTTAAGATTAACTTATTATTCGATTTTCCAAATAATAAACACATTCCATCACCTCCCAACAATCAGAATAGACACTCTCGATGTCTCCAATCAAATGAACCAAACTCTAAAGATCGAGATTGTCATTCTCATGCACTATTGTCTCGCTTATAATGTTGATCAGATTGCATAATGTTTTTGATTATTGAGCCTGCAATTCGAATCTCGCCTAATTTATCAATGTTGGCAAATAATAATCTATTTGTATCTTCAATCCAATCACATAGCATATTTATCTACACTATTCATAATCTAATTCATCTTTACTTCATTCAAATAATATTTATCATCATTCGTATAAATCTTGGCCAACAACTTAAATATTTAAGTCAAATATTCTCCAATGTCACCTATGCAACAGATCATCTTCAATTATTGCAAGGCCTTTAATTTTTATATTTAAGTCGATTGAAACTCAGCAGCATCCTTCAAGACAATCTAAATCAATTAAGGTAGGTTTTTAGTGATTATATACTTTTATCCCTCACTAATCGAAGTAAATGGTGATACTTTATTAATTAAACTTTAATTTTTTTCCATTAATTATATTTTTGATCAGAATACTTACAATTAATTATTGATATTATAATTATTATATACATTTAAGTAATATCAACAGCAAAGCCTAAACAAGTTTAAGTACAATAATAAGGATCCCATATAGTTTCGTTTCTTATCTAAACCAAACTAGAGGATATTAAATATACTATTACTTTTCCATCGGTAATTTGCTAACCCGAAATAACTGTTACAGTGCCAAATAAACAAAAAATTACAAAAATTACCATAATTGGAATTAATTCAATTTGTGGGGAGGCTGCTTAGTACATAATTCCCAGTAATAAGGAAATAATCAAAGAAATTATGAGATATTCTAATTATATGACTAATTTATTTACATTTTGGATCTATCTTCTATTGTATCAAAGTGATTACTAAAATAAAACCAATCGATATTAAAATCGATAAATGGATTAATAACCCTTAATAAACGATTTATTTTTCCATTGAGAAATCAAAATTTCGCCCATAATATCTATCCCCAACACATAAACATTCAATAACGGCAATTAACTTAACGTGGAAAATCCCTTCTACTATCATTACCATAATAAAGAATAGCTTATCAACATTATTATTATTTATGACATCCAGACATTCTAATTTCCTTTCGTTCTTATATTTTATCAAGACCAAAGCTAAAGAACCAAATACCAGAAATCCAAATAGAATAAATCCTTTTATCTGATCACAGTAAACATCTATTTGCATTACATTGAAGAGCAAAATTACAAACATGACAGACTCCCACATCAACCACAAGTACAGTGTTGACCGAAAGAATTCCAACTTCTAATCCTCACTGGCATTAGCAATTAGTTATTGTTCTTAATTAGGACTTTACTGTTATTCTGGAGTAAAAGGGATTACCATGTTTTTTGATTCTTGGTTTTGTGTTATATAAGGACTGTATTTAAAGTCTAATTGATCACTGAACCTATTGATTTGCAATATACCCTTAGAATCATCAACCGGACTTTGGAAACTCAAAGGTAAACCAATTTGAATTTGATCATTCTCGAAAGATTTCTACATTAAAATTATTTATCCCTTTTTGAATAATTATTTATTCAATTTTAAGACAACATATAATCGATTCCATATTGATTTCAATAGAAAATAAAGTTAGTAAATTAAGATTTATAAAAACTGAGAATTCCTGAAGATGGGTATTTTAAATTCAGAATACAAATATATTAATTTCTATAATATTGAATACAATCATTTATTGCTTTTCTTTGCTAATTTTTCTTGTAATTCTTAGAATGAATAATTTTCTGAATCTTCATAAAATGTGTTGAAATCATAATTGATATCTTTGAATTCATCGTAGGGATTGAGTGAGATCAATAGATAGTAATTTAATAGATTGATGTCTACTTATTTGCTTGCTAAGGTTTTGACAACCTTGAGACATTCCATAATGCATTCTCTGAAGAGCACATTAAAAATTTCATTAGCTTCAAAATTCTCGTTCAAGACAGCCTAGAAATTATTGATCATGCCCACAATCAATTGATTGTGTTTATTATTCTCGAATTCCTCTCTTAGGATCTACTAACATCTTTTAGAAATTGACTTATAGAAGTCCAAAGAATTAAGACCATCTTATTCTATTTACGCTACCAATAGTTAATATTACTAATGTTTTATACACAATTCTTAAATACTTAAGATTTTTGAAATCTTCCCCAGAGATCTTGATCAAAACTGTGATTACCATTTGCTTGAAGTTAGTTACTAATTCTAGTTAAAATAATCATTTGATATTTGGCTATTAAGTAAATCAACCTATGATAAAAATCTATTTGTAGTTGTATCTGCCAATCCACTTGCAATTTAACAATCCTTTACACGAGAAAATTATAAAAGAAGGCAATATTTCTTTCAAAGATGAAATACTAATAGTATTTTTGGAAAATGTCTTTCTTCTTCTTGTCATTTTTGTATTTGATAGCCATCCTTTCTACCTTTTTATGTAAGATGTTTATAAATACCGAGATATCTGGTTCCTTCTCATAATAACATTGCTAGATTCTCGCCTCCACATCACTCTGCTTCCATTAATCTTCCTCTAATGCTAACACTACCTGCTCTTTCATTAGATACTTGACCACTAGATTTTTCTCGAGAATAACCCCGTTTGCTTTGATTAAATACAAAAATTCATCTATTTTAAATTGGGATCATTGGTACCTTTATCTGAAGTGCCCTAGAAATCAATTTATTCTTCCTCCTGCTTGATGATGAGTACGGGGTCTTGAATCAGATCTTGGAATGAGATTCTGTCCTCTTGAGAAACGGTAAGCATCTTGGTAAGCAGTTCTTTAATACTCTATTTTCTAGTTGGTCGAGGTGGGAATTGCAATGGCTAACTAAGAGAGATAAGTACGTACGAATTTACTAATATTATCCAGCCACTCGTGGATATTTTAGGCATACCAAGGCTGTACTCCATAGAGCATTTAGTAAAATATCAAGCCCAATGACCAAATATCGCATTTACTAGTGTAAGGCTGTCCATGCAGAACTTCTGGAGCCAAATAACTTGGGAATGGAAGATTCTTTAAGGTATTGATGTCTTGGGTGGCGAGTCCTTTCATGACTTCTTATTAGAGGATTCCTGCGTAATAGGGATCGGAGATCAGAGCCACTCCTTTGTGTAAGAGGATGTTGGATGGTTTCAAGTTGTTATGAATGATATTAACCATGTTTAACTCTTTATATCCTTCGATAATATGTTACATGAATTGTATTGACTCATGCTTAATTAATGAACACATAAAGTACTTCACTTAGGGGTTTGTCTTTCCGCAGAGTGAGATGATCCTGGAGACTGCCATCTTCACAAAGCATTTGGATGAAGTACAGCATATTGTGATTTTTGATGACATCGTAGATCTTAATGAAATTGGGATGTTTGATATTCTGCAATCTCTTCAACTCCATTTTGATGAGATCCAAGGTTTTCAAACTTTCAGACTCACTCTTTTTACTTAATTTCAACACTTACATGCAATTCGCATTATTTAATTGCTAAACTTTGGGTTGTGTTATTCAATAAGCATCCTCTAAATACGGTTCCTTTTGATCCAACTTACATGGAATTGAAGCAAACGTACTATTCCAGATACTTGATTCCAGAACCATCAGTCATAAATATTTATAAATATAAATAATTGATAATTTAGATTGCATTTTCTAAATACACACTGTGCGTTATTAAATAATTGGTAGTGTAGGCTGGATTACAAGTGAGGAGCCCTATTGACTTTCATATCTGAAATTTATAATAAAAAAAATAATGATTATAATTTAATCGGTTAACCAAAATGTCTATCAAGAAGATGAATAATTTTTTAAGGCTGATAAGACACAATCCAATGAAAACAAGAAGTACCAGAGTTCATTCAATGCTAACCAACAATAGTCGATTAACAATGCCCTGGATTCATCGCAGAACCAGTCTCAATAGAGGAAGGGGAATTTCATGGAAGGCATTTAAATGCAGAAAAAGAATGAGGTCCACTCAGATTAGGATTCAAATAGCAGCAGTGAGGCTGGCTTATTGCAGACTAAAAAGCTACAGAAAATAATGGAAGAGGATTACGACAATGAAGGGTAATCGGCTAAGATGAGTGGTATGTGATTGATGATTGAATTTTAGAAAGCACAATCCAAAGATACTAGAATTTAAAGAAGTAGAGAGTAGGAAATGCAAGCATTAAATATTAAGATGAAATTAACAATAGCAAGATGAACAATTCTAAAACCTATACCAAACAAGATGAAAGCAGACACTCCAATAGTTAGGACAGTTTTGAACCGAACATTCCGATTTCTAGAAGACACACTGATCGTCAAGAGCAATTAGCGAAATAAATGAATTATTTCAAACCCCAATAATCTTCTTAATAACCTGTTTCGGATTTCAAATTAGAAATCGGAATCCAAGTCAGCCAATTGGATTCCGATCATTCCAAGTCCTCAATTGAACAATCATCCGAGATATCTTCGAAGGATTATCAAAGGAACGAAAATCACAACCTTCTGAGATTGTTGGATAAAAACACTCAGCAAAGATTCTCACAACAGCAGAGTCAACAAGGTAATTATGATTAGACTTCTAATTAACCAGAGTAAACCCAACTTAATTTTGAATAGAATTGCAATCCCATTCTCAGTCATTTGTCTAAGTTGTAAGCCAATAACATTCCGCAGAAGGCGAGGTTGAGTTTGTTTTCCCAGAAAACTGTTCCGAATTCGGCTTCGCAGCAATATTCTCAATTTTCTTAACAAAATCAATTCTAATACTGCAAATAGGGGATAGTGTTGAATACTTGCAAATCACTAAGTGGAGATATTTTCACATTGAGACCTGGCAATAAGGTGGTAGTAGTGAAGATTGATTAGGAGAAGAAGCTAATACAATGTGGATATCAAAATATGTTGGGGTTGTTCTATCTGAGAGACATTGCGATAAAAGATGGTATGATTTATGATAAATTTGGAAGAATCACAATAAAATTCTAAGTTTCAAATCAAATCAAGAACTTAATCTTCGTTTGAAATGAAGTATAAAGAATTACTCAATGACAAATACAATGCCAAAAGCAAATCTCCTAACAATAGATCATTCTAAGGACAGTCAAAAACACCGACTAAAAAGCCTTTTATGAGGTTTTGAATTAAATCTATATTATTATTCCTAAGATTAATTATATTTATTTATATAAAATGACAGATAATCACCCCTTCGGAAGTGGGATGTTTTAAGGACAAGCCAAATTTGTGGATTATGCACACATGAATTAACAAGAGGTGTAAGTGAACACTCTCGATGAGCCTGTGTTGGACACTCTAGTAATAATGGTTTTAATGTAAAGTTGAGAGACATCAATATGATCCTGTATAAATTGTCCTATGTGATCATTCCCAGAATGAAGGAGACCCAAGGAAGAAAGCTGAGAAATTGTAAGACTATCGATTACATTACATCTAGGGGATTTATGGGGACCACTGCTCCTATCATTGTTATTGGCAATGTACACACAATATTGATTATCAATTAGGACACTGGGCATCAATTCGAATCAATCATGTATTGATTGACTTAATTATTAGCCGACACTATCTTTGGCACAATCTTTATCATAATGTGGGGAGGGTCTGCTGTGATAACGTAAATTTAAGTTTGAAATTAGAGTAAATGCAAAATTGTTAGGTGGATAAGTATCGTTTTTTTAGAGTGTTTGCGTCCTTGGTTATTGTGTATTTCCAATCAATGTGGCTGCTGTTGTGATAACTTTCCTTTAATCTTATTTTGGATTTTTCTTAAGATTGGTAATTGTTGGAGTTGCATTTCTGTGGTCAACATTTTGTGAGTTTATTGACACTATTGAATAGCTTCGCTGTCTTTTATGAGCAGTATGATGAACGAGGAGAAGAAGGTCATTTCTGTGTACCCAATATTTCTGTTCTACATGTTCCTTTCATGGTTTTGCATCTTCATTTGATTTATATAGAGTATCAGGAATGCATTTAATTTAAGATAATAATATAAACGAAGTTCATGTTATCAATTAATTGTAATTTTAAATTTCTATAGTTACTCTACCAATGTGGGTTGTTTCAATTTGACAATATCTTTATTCTCCTTGATGTGCAATCTCAATTGCTTGTGTCTCAATACAATATTGAAGGCCAATTGCAGTTGAGATTCTTCATATGTGTTAAACCCATTGAATTTGAGTAAGAGTGTTATGAGTAGTTCACTCAACACCTTCTATTTATTGGCTCTGATATAATAAATCATCTACCCACAACGTTTGATGAAGACGACAATCATTTGAAGATTGGTCTCGTAACCTCTCTGCAAATAGACTTTGATGATTTCCAATAGGGATTCATCAAGATCATCTCTGGTCATGATTTCTTCGCTTAATGTGAATAAGATCGATAAAATTTAAGGTATCTGAAGTTATTACTAAACTGATGAAATCAAAAGATGCTTGATCAATTAGGGTATGCATTAAAGACCTCTCAAATCAATGGCTTCTATTGAACAGATGTCTTATGCCAATTATAAGATGTTTGAATTTTTAGCCAAAACCCGTTCTTGGATTTGCTGAATCAAATCGTCGAATGTGCCCAATTCACTCAATTGATATTCACTCTATTCTTCCAATTATTGAATCACCTGCTGATTCTTGCTTGTAGTTATTTTTATGATGACTGGTTCCTTCACATTTTATTGCTTTGAAACAACCTTAGCCGAAAAGCGTTAAACTCCATAATTGTTTTTGAATTTGGGTTGCTCGATCACCCTGGGTTTGTTGATGGATTGTCTAATCATAATCTCCGGCGTCAATGGCTATTGAATCTACCCTTAGAATCTGATGGCTTCAGAAAACGTAGTGGTTTTGTTCATTAACTGCGGGAATTGGAAGACCTAAGGCTTCAGACACGCCTTATTGTTGGTCCCTTAATTTCTGGAAGATGCTATTTATTTCTTTAATTAGGTATTTCTCTTTATCATTTTATATTATTTTATTAAATATAATTATTTACATAAACATCTTTCATCACTCTCTACAAGGCAGATCCAATCTCTAATAGTAAGCATTCAAGGAACCCACATACGTAAATAGAATTGCCACCACCACACTAATGTGCCAGATTTGGTGACTCTACCCACAATTGTCAAACTTCCCAGGCACGTGCTTCTCAGGAAACCTTATATTATAGATGTACAGGCCAGAGCTACAAATCATTCAATCATCCTTACAGATAAGCGATTGCCATGGCAACATAATAAGGACATTGGGTTGCGAAGCTGAACCCTTCCAATTTAGCATCATCAATTGCAAAATGAATGAAGGGTATTGCACTTGTCACTCCGAGTCCTGCAAACAGATTGCTCTTCAATGTTCTCCACTCCTCCTTATAGAAAAAGTCAAACAAGCACAAACTGAACAACACAATCGCAAAGAATCCCTAGATGCTCGCATAAATGACTGCATAATGAGGATTGCATTGAAACCCATAAAATAATGGTGCAAATGTGGATCCAGAAACCAAGAAGCAAATACCTGCATAATCCAATCTTAATAGTATCCTATTCACTCTCTCTGAAAGACAATAGAAAAGATGATATATTGTACTACAACCCAAACAGACTATGGCAGTTACTAGAAATGCTATCAATGGCCATCTTGATATTAGTTTGTGAAGCTTTTCTTCATCAATAGTTTAACCTCCAGTTAGATGTTAAAATCCTAAATATAAATCTATCCAATCAAAATCTTTAGATTCAACTATTTCTATTGCTTTAGCTTTGTAATCAGTAATAATTTCTGATATGTTGTACTTCCATTACAAATTCTCCCAATCAAATGCTTAAGCTATATTCTTTTGGATTTTCTGAAATTCCTAATCGTATTAATGGGCCACCTCATTAATAAACTTATTCACGTTTTCAATATTTTCCTGCAATTGTTATTGAACCTTCTGAACATCATCTTGCAAAATGTGCAAACCTAGTTCCAATTATCCTTGAATTTGCTATTCAAAATCATATGCTTGTTAATATATATGATGAAGTGATTCTATCATATTGCTTCAGAATTACCATGAAATGAGTTGATTGCTTTTTATCTAAACAATTCATCATAATTCAACCACAAATACAATATCAGGGAGATGATAATCAGAGCCCCAATCAAATGAGTCCAAATGTTCACCAATTCATTGTGCCACATGAACAGACTCTTCAATACATCCTTATTGTTCTTAAAATTGATCCTGTAGCCCCTTTTGATATACTTATCCTTCAGATGGTTGGGAGCCTTGCAGATTGGGCCACTTTTATCAATGAAAATCTTACATGACCCTATCTTGGTTAGCCTTGGGTTTTTGCTCCTGTTTCTCAACACTGGCTGCAGAGACACCCCTTTGGACCACTCCTGAACTTGATTCCAACATTTTATTTAAATTTTGGCTAAGCATCGTAAATAATTTTATAAGCCCTTAAAATAACCATTAATATTAGCGATTAATCTTTTATTAGAATGACATATTATTGAATGATTCATAATAATTTTAATAGAATTTAATATCAATCTATCATTTCTCACTTCTGCTTTCGTAAAACCTTACGTAATTGTTGACCTATTAACTCACCTGTTCTCTGATGTTTTTTTACATGCTCTCATTCATTTAACGTCTATAAATGAATACAATAAACAAAATAAAGAGAACGCTCAAAGTGCATACCACTACAATCAACCAAAAGTAAGAGTTCTCGATTTAACGATTGGGCTCAAAAGATATCTATTCGTCCTCGCATGCCTCAGGCTTGTCAATTAAAGCTGCGCAAATGGCCTCCTTGATCTCTGATGCTTCGATGTTGCCCCTGTATGCAACATTATTAATTGACACACCAGGATAGAAGATGATACCAGATTGATATCTCAATCTGAAGTGTTCTTCCAAAATGATATTCTCTCCTTTTTCTTTATCCACCGAATTAATGTATGAGTCTTTAATGCAAACCTCAATTGCTAATTTCTCTTCAGGTTTTACAAATTTTTCAAAACAAGAATCATATTCATTCTCCTTCGTACATTTCTTAGTGAAGTGATTCTATTTATCTTATCAATATGAAATACCATGTAGGACCACCAAAGTTCTGAATTGTATTTCCAAATGCATGATTAACGCAACTATTCTCTAAGAACGTCTGATCCAGTTCCAAAAGCAACTCCGTTTGGATCAAATTAACAATATCTTCCACCTCCAAGACAATCTTGGTTTTCAGTCTTCCAATTTCCAGCCTCACAGGAAAGACAACGCAACACTTCGTAAAAGATTGTGAAATTGAGATAACCCTACAATTCTTAGTAGATGGGTCTGAACTCATTGATTAATTTGAATGTGTCCTTGTTTTCGATATTAAAACCAAAAAGCACATTCGTCTATCATAAATGATTGTATAAGTACTAGATTTGAAGTTTGATTTTATTTAAATTCTACACTTCCGATCAAATATCTTGAATTGGATTTCGATAAAAAAGCAAGTATTTTCTCTCCATCTGATTTTGAGATTAGGATAGATGGAATATCAATTTGATATCCATTTCCGTCGTCAGCCATCATAATTGATTCCACCTTCTCATCTCTATTGTCCACAATTATCAATAGCTTTGCCTTCGCGTTCTATGCATTAATAGCCTACAATAAACATCGAATTCTACTTTTCGAGTAAATGGGCAATCTCCTCTCCTGACAATCAACCATTTATCACCAGAAGGTTAATAATATTGCATTCCCACACTAAATGTGACTTGCTCGCATAACTTCAGATCCTTATCCTTCTCCAGATCCACTGGAGGAACGAATAGTTGAGCAATCATTCTCTTCCCATAAGGAATATGACCGAAATTTGCAACGGAATAATTCGCATTCAAGATGTCAGGAAATTCTTCCATCTTAATCGGGGTCTGAATTTTTAGTTAACCCATAGCGGCCCCTAAAATTATGAACAATACACAAAATGTCATTAATATATATTTTATTTATTAATCAATCTAATTAACTATTCTCTCAATTCTTTAAACCCCATTTTTAATTAGATTCTTTCATTATTTTAATCCATGACATCAACTCATCCCTTAAACCAAAACAAATAGATACTCCCTTATTTTTATAAAATTACTTTTTATGTTGATTCATTTCCAATTTTTATATAATTTCATACACACTCATTGCTCTAACAAGTATGTTTGTAGTGCTTTAAACTTTAAAAATCAATCATTTTTGATAAATTCTGATTTAATGTATTATTTACTTTCCCAATTCAATCAAATATGCTCAAGATTGTAGACTCTATTCTATATTCATTGAGTGTATTGAATACATGAAGAACTAAACCAATTTATTTATGATAATACTACTTTTGTATGAATTAAGGAGGGATTAAAAAAATATACTATTGAATTTAGAGCAAGAATTGTATCTATATATGAAATGATAGTTTTGTGGAATTATTAATTTTAATATCAAGATTGTGTTTATGCAGATTGACAACTTTTTTTGGTTGTATGCGTAACAAATTTATTATAATTATTTATATACATCAAGTCCATAGACTTACTACTCCCTCTTTGCTTGCTGAATAAATCCATGGCTAAGTTGGATGAAATGCTACATCCATTACAGACTCCTTCTTCTTTTACTTCAACACCTTCAAAGGTAGAATAACTGGTGCTTAATTCAAATCAGTACTAATACGACAATGGAAGATGTTGATAGTTCCTAAGATATGAAGAATATTCTACCATCATCAGAGCAGGAGGCAAATAAAGGATAAGTCTTATGGAAGATCACACGTCTGACTCCATTTTTATGGTAGCTCATCTTCTTAAAAGGAGTTTTGCCCATATCTAAATCAAACCAACACACCTTTTGATCATTAGATCCCACAATTAAATTGTCTCCGTATGGGTGAATTGCAATTGTTGAGTTTTGTTGATTACCTGCCAATAGCTTTTTCATCAATTATTATTTGGTTAGTGAATAAATGAAAATGTTTTTGTTAGTCATAATGTAGAGTTCTGGTTTGGTAGGATGAAAGATGGTCTATTACACTTCAGTAGATGCTTTCATATTTTAAAAGGGAATCGAAGTTGATGATTTACTGATGGAATGAACCAAAATGCAATGGGATTTCACATGTGTATGAGGTTATGTGCTCACAATGTAGTCAGATTTACTATGAAATTGAACATACAAGGGATCATAAGGCATTTTCACTTCAAGCAATTATTGGAACACATTGTCATCCAATTCAAAATTCCACTCAAAGACATTGTTAGAATTTTTGGGGATTTGCTTATTTGCTTTTTCACCATCTTCAACATTGGGATGTTATCTCTTATCGATATAAGAATTTAAGATTATGAAACCATTTGATTATAGAATACAAATTAGTCCAGATTAACTGAAATCCAATCCCAAAAACTGTTTATCATCTGATTACCATTTAGTATGTAAACACTTGGTTGTTTTTGCGTCAAAGAATGCTACTGCATATTCATAACACACTCCTAAGATTTAACCATCTTATGATATCGAGATCTGTTTCACTTGGCCAGATTTTGTGGTATCAATCTAACCGAATTCAAAATTCAGTCTTGTTGGGAATGGTTTCAATTCCTCTGGTTTTGGAATTTCTGGTAGGAAGTCTGTGGATTTCATCATCAACTTCTTTCTTCTAATTCTAGGAGCCAAATATAGATCTAAGCATCGATTGAATAAATCCTTTGTTAATTGTTCTGATGAAGGAACATTTCTTAAATGCTTAAACTTCTATGGAATGAATGGTATTTCTCTGTCTTCTGGGTCAGTTTACAACCATTGTTGCTTTTCCTACTCAGTAAAGAGATACTCTTCTGGAGGATTATAACTAGCAACATTAGATGGCAATTGGGCCTTAGAAGCTGGTATTCTGGCTGGTAAGTATTTGCTTAGCACTTGATCTTCAGCTACATTTTCCCAGACGTCAAACATCTTCTCCACTTTTTGGGGTGGATTCAACACAATTCTGCCCAATTTAATGCCTTATACTAATTTATTAATTTTGATTCTTTCCCATTTCGAAGGTAAGAATCTACGCTTTGGATTGTATGATGATAGGAGATCAAATTGATTGAAATCTTCATGTTCAAAATAATACTATTTTGTTATATGATAGAGTATTTACATCATCTGCTAATTTGATTGCAGTTTTTCCTGTTCTTATTCTGTCTAACAATTACAATTGCTTGTCGTTTAATACTACATCTTGGTTGTTCAATTCATCTCTGACCACTCTCCACCAATCCTTATTTTCTGTCTTATTAATGAATTCATCAATGGTATCTTGGAACTATTTTTTTTTCTGAATTTTGTTTAGATTCTCATCGTAACCTATAAAGTCTTTATCTTTGTATTTCTTAGTTTGTAATCTTCCAATTTTTGATAAGATCTATATGAATTGAGTAATAGTACTTTTTCATCTTCGCTGTCATCAGATTCTTAATAGTATTGATCATGAATGTTCTTTGGTTATAATGACAAGTCCTTTTTAATTGATTTCTTATTTCTGATTGCTCGAATATTTATTGTATTGTTTTAATTCATTAATTATAAATTTAATTTAAGAACAAATTATATTTAATTTATCTCATTTAGGCCCACCATTAATAAAATTATAATGATCATTTGATTTTTTCGATACCAAAGATGTTAGCACTTTCGAAGGATGAAACTCATTTTGATATGCTCTCTTCTAAGAACAATAATTTTGGATTTTTGCAGGGAATAAAAATTGATTGCTATGAACAGGACTAAATCCACCCATGGCCATGCTAGAGAGATCCAAAACTGCTGGTTAGACTGAGTCTCTATCCACGCTGAGTCTGGACAATCTTGGGACATAAACCTATCTCATGGGTCTAATAGCTGATCGAAAGTTAGTTTCATAAGTGATTGGATTAGGATTGAGGATTGTATTGTTCGTGACTATTTCTTTGGGAGGATCGGTTTAATTCAGCAATGGTTTCAGTTTGATTTAGTGTTTCGTCGTATTGTTGCCATTAACTAAACTATTATTAATAACTTTGATGGGACTGGAGGCCTGGGAATTGTTGGGTTTTTCTTTGATTCCTTGTTGAGAGTTGTTAAGACTATCATTTTTTTAGAAGTACAATTTGGTTTATGTTTTGAGTGGTGATTTTCTTTTCTTTTTTGGAGATTTCACATTGGGATTGATTTTGAGAGAGATGTTGTGATCTGATTTCTCAAAAATACTGGTATCATGTTACAACCCATTTTCGGGTGCAAGCATATCAGTCTGTGATTCATTCATCTCTAATTTGAGTTCCTCATTCTCAAGATCATTGATGGGTTCTTCCAAATTTTTCGAACTCGTGGAAGGTTATCTTGTTCGAATTATGAATTACAATTTAGCCTAGACAGTTGATAATTATTGACTCTAGACCTATTATTTAATGTATTTATCACTCTCACCTTTTTGAGCTATCGATATTTTATTTGAATTTACTTGTTGAAACTAATCTCTTCTATTGTTCAGTCAAGGTCTTCTGATAATCCTCAAACAACTCATCATAAAACTCCTTATTGATGGTAAGCTTCCCTTCCTTCTTATTCTTATCCTCCCTCAATTTGGACTTTTCCTCTGAATACTGATTGCAGACCTCTCTGTTCTCTATTTTCTTCATGTATCCCAATTTCGATAAACACATTACTGATTTGATGAGATTCAGAAGCTTCTATTACTGAATCCAAGTGTGGAAGATTTCCTCCATCGTCTAGGGCACCTCAACATCACTCTAGTCATTCAACCAAGGATGAAGGAGTCCCTAATCGGCCCTGTATCTTTTGGTTTGGTCCAATTCAGTCAATTTTTTAAATAGACTGTATTACAATCTAAAATTCTTATATCAATTTAAATGGTTACTAAGTAAGAGTGACTTGCTCGTGCATCGTTTTGGTCTTTTACAAAATCTATTCCAGAGTGTCCCCTTACTTATAATATGGGTGCTATCCTTGATTCAGCAACATATGCATTATAACACCAACTCCCCAAATGTCTACATTCTAATGATAATCAGAGTCAATACTTTGCTATAGATTTTATTCATAAGGAGTTCTGGAGCCATGAAGATCAGAGTGCCGCATTGCTTAGTCATTAATTAATTTTAAACGGAACTCAACCCGAAATCACTTAATTTGACACAACTCAAGTCCTCATTCACTAGAATATTCTCTGGCTTCAGATCTCTGTGCACCACATTGTTTTTATGCATATATGTCAATGCTTATAAAATATGCCTGATTATTGTTTTGCATTGTTCCTCCGTAAACCATTTGCCACTCTTACGCAACTTCTACATCAAATCCTCGAGAGAACCTATGATTTTATGCTTTCACTTACCCCCTTATATCAGTTCCATAATGATTAGAATCCTAGTGTCCGTTTCCTTGACATCTATGAACTTCACAATATTCTCGTGTCTCAAACTAGCCAAGATGGTAGATTCCTATTTCAATTGGTCGTAGCGATTCACCAATTTCTTCTTTATTATCTAAGTGTATAGATTGTCAGAACATACCTTAATCGCCACTTCTTATTGGGTAGTCAAATTAACTGCTCTGACCACAATACCAAAGGCACCTTGTCCAATCGTTTCCTTGTACTGAAAATAGTCGGTGAATTTTCTCATTTCGTCTCCTTCTATCAGTTTCTTCAATTGATCCTCCATTTCTTTAATATTATTATATTATATCCAAAATGATGATATCAATTATAATAATTATCAACATTCTTAAGATACTTACATCTAGTATGCAATACAGTCCTCCAGTTCCAATTTCCGAATTCCTAACTTACAAAAATCTTCACTCCCAACGCCAGTTTATTAGCCCAATTATATAATTTAATAATGGGATCAGTTTGTGCAAAGAAAAAAGAAGCGAGAATTAATTAAGTCATCCAGGATCAATCTGCCTCGCCCTACATGCCTGATCAACAAACTTCTTTGCTACTCCAAGACAAAAAGACTCAACCTCAAACTTTAGTTAAGGTCAAGATCCCTAAGGTAATCCATTCTCATTAGTTCTTTCTTAGAAAAACAAAAAAGTGAGGGAAACTGTCAAGGCAGTCACACTGAAAAATGAAGAAGTATATCTACATCAAAATCTATCAATTTCTAGGGACAAAAGATGTTGAATGATTACGTTTTCGATGAATTTTTGGGTCAAGGTGCTTTCGGCAAAGTCAAACTGGCACACAAGTAAGGAGATCCCTCCAAAAGATATGCTATCAAAATACTTAAAAAGAGCAAGCTTAAACGACAAAGGGAATTTGTTAAGGATGCCAATGGAAGTATAACTACCCATTCTATTTCAATGTAGATCTCATTGTTAAAGATGCCTTGCAAGATGTCAGAAAAGAAATTGCAATCATGAAGAAAATAAGACACAAGAACCTCATTTAACTTTATGAAGTTATTGACAATCCGACGTGTGACAAATTGTTTATGGGTAAATTTCCTCATTTTTATGTCTTAGTTCTTGAATTTGCAGAAGGAGGTCAACTGATTGAATGGGATGAAGATGAGGGCAAATTTTATAAATTGAATGAAGATGAAGAATTAACAGAAGACGTACTTTCTTCACTTTTTCGAGATTGCATAAAAGGCTTAGCATTCCGTATTCTCTTTCAATATATATAAAGTCCATAAAAATAAAATTGTACACAGAGATCTCAAACCTCAAAATGTTTTGATGTCAGGCAAAACAGCCAAAATCGCAGATTTCGGAGTCTCATAAGTAGTGGGTTCCAAAAATGATGTACTCGAAAATACACAAGGCACCTACTATTTCATGCCTCCTGAAGCCTGCGATAAAGAAACAGCCAAAGATGGATATTCTGGCAGGGCTGCCGATATTTGGGCACTTGGTATCACCTTCTTCGCTTTCACCTACTTAAATGTCCCATTTACTGGAAACAGCATTCCTGACATCCTCAAGAACATATCATCAAATGAGTACAAACCTTATTCAAATTTATAGAGTGGTTTTCCCTGACGATTCTGTCATCAGTGATGGACTTAAGGAATTTCTTAGATTCATCTTGAATAAAGATCCAAAAAAAAGACCATCCATCAGTGAAATTGCCAAACATCCTTGGGTTAATTAAAGTTCTGCCAACCTATTAGATGAAATGTATTAGATTATAATAACTAAATCCTAGGGATCAAGAAGAAAAGGTCATGGAAGTCTCATAAGTTGACATAGATAATGCATTTTCCTTAGTTTCATTGATGAAAATTAAAAGTTGGGCTTAAAAATGGAGAACTGAATCTAATCTAAAAAAAGCTGGACCATAAAATGGTGCTGAAGAAATAGAGATTAAATGAATTTCTACAATATATTCAATTTTAACTTAATTTTGATTCAAACTGACTCATTCTATCACTATTTAGATTAACATTCTAAAAAGAATATCTATTAAGAAAGTCAATAAGCATATCTCTTTAATAATTCTAGAGATTTTCTTACATGATTGATTCCGAAGAATTACGAAATCTTGTTAAAGATCCGAATATGATTCCACAAAGAACTTTAAAGATTAGTGTTATTCTATATATAAGATTTTAAATTGTTATAAATACATACATATAATTACAAAAATAAATTTATAAATTCAGCCTTAATTTCTAAATTCCTCCAATTATCTCTAATGCTCTCTAAATATTAATCTACAAATATTACCGCTTAATTTAATCAAGTCTTTAGTTAGTTTTATTTCTCTCTATCTGAAATAGTTTCTCAAGTCTCTTTTATTCTTCTGAATTTTTTGCATTAGACATAGCCTATTCTCTTTCAAATTCTAATTACTATTCTTCTTCTAAGATCTAGCAGAATAAGTTAATTTATACATCTATCATTTCTTAGTTTTATCGAACCTTTAATTGATCTAATTAGTTTTCGTATTTATTTGATATGTTAAACTTTCCTTAGTTTTGAGAACCATATTACGTATTTGAAGAATTAGTTAAAACTTTTTATTACTAAGATTTTGGTCTAACATTGTGACGCATATCCTTGTTTGATAGAGTATTTTAATATTTTGCAGTTGATGCTATAATTAATATTATTGTAAAATACGTCTAACATTATGATAACTATTTTGCAAACTACTTGATGCTCGGATGCTATTGCCTTCAGGATTTAAAGCAGAGGGATCCAATTTTCCTAATTTGACCAGCTCTAATTTCTGCATTAATTCTTATTTTTGAAATCCGATCTCTTTTTTGATTAGCATTCTTTGTTCTAACATTTAGTTTTTCTCTAATTATAAAATTTCAGCTCTTCTCATTTTGTCTTATAACTTTTATCTTTGTAATTCCTTTTCGTATTCTTACAATCTCATAATTCTTTCTAATGCTTCCTTCTTATCCTATTCTTTTAAAAGTTCATTTACTTTTTACTCATGTTAGATTTATTATTTTTCAAATTATTTCTTAAATAATTGAATTATTGCTTACCTCATAAATTAATTATTCCTTTTCTTAGAATTTCCTTAGAAAATCATTGGTCTTTAATTCCAACTATTTCTCATTATTTTATAAGACCTATTATCTTTATAATTCTTTTTCATATATTTATTATTTTCTGGAAATTAATTCCTATTGCTTCAACCTTTCCAACTCTTCCTTTCTTTACTCAACCTCTTATAGTTTATGAAAATAATCATATTTCTTTTTTTCCTCTTGAATCTAATTCTTTTCCATCACTTCCTTTATCTTCTCTTGATGTTACAAAGCCTATATCTGATTTTCATACATTTTCTGCATTTTCATCTCTTCAAATTCTCTTCTTCTCTACTCAATTCGTTATTACTTCAAATCGAATGACTAATCATGATATTATGCAATACCTTCTTCATATTATTCAATTGATCCTCCTACTTGACTCGTGCATTTACTAACTTAATAGCCAACTCCTGTTAGGCTTGTTGTGATTCTTAGATTCTTTACTATCTCTGAATCTCAATAGTTTGAAGCCGTTCGGCTTCTTTTTATTACATGATTAATCTTTTTCTCTACATTTCCTCTTCATATTATTATTAAATTTATTGTGTTTATTACTAGAATTACAATTATTTTAATCTTCTTTCTTCTTCCTTCCTTTTTGCTTCTATTTTCAATTAGACTTGTTTTTCTTATTCCATTTTAGCTCTTTCCTATTCTCTTCTGAAATGTTCACTAGCCAATTACCTTTACTGTCTTTCCTCATCCTGTTATTTCTTTTTTTTCTCTTCTTCTCTCATTTGTTTCTCATATTCTTACTAAGCTCTTTTTTCCAACAATTCCTACTCTCTTCTCATTTATTTGGCCATTTATAATTTTTATTTCTCCTCATTCCTCAATCTAATTTCTTGCATCCTTCTTTCATATTCCAACATTTAGTCTATTTCTTTTTATTGTCTTTATTTCATCTTCTCCAATTCCTTTTTCTCTCTCTCAATTGCATTGCTCTGTTGCTCTGAAATTCTAGAATCCTTAAAGTTTTGATCGTCATTATCATTTCCTTACATGCTGCCTGCTTAAATAATTTGTTATCTGGTCTCAATACAAGCTTCTAATTTTTATTATCTTTTTATTTCTTAGTGTTCCCAGAATTTTTACCAATCTTGCTTGTCCAGTTTCAAATCTGGTCGTCTTTGCTTTAATTCTTACAAAGTTATCTAAATTAATTCTTAAGGAAGGATTCCAATTAATCGGCAAGCTTAAATTGACCGCGGACTTTTGTATTGGAGATATCATACCTATCAAGAATGGGATTTTTGAATTTTGTTTGATCAAAATTTTCCAAATTAATCATATATATTATATCAAAATAAGTTTTATTTTATCATGAATATTTATATATGTAACCTTGATGTGACAAATAGTGTTTCGAGTTCATTTTTCCAATTCCTCAATGATTTCAGAGAATATGTTAACTAAAGTTGGTTGCTTAAACTTATACAATTGCATCAGGATTCGTATCAAAATAGCAAAGTCGTAATCCTGTACGATGTTATTTTTTATGATAATGTCTCTTAACCATTTTTTCAAGGGGTAATTGGGACCATTCAAATTTGAAATCACTCCCTTCCAATCGATGAAGCTGTTTGAATTCTCAGGAATCAAGACTTTGAGATCAATCTAATTTTAGGTTTCCTATTTCTTTTCCTGTATGGACTTAGATTTGGGAGGAATAAGTATTTTCAAATTAATTGGAGATGGCAAACGGTTTTGAGTTTGGTGAGTTTCTTTTGATTTTCTGTTCTTTAGACTTTCTTGGAGATCATTGAATTGCTATTTATGAATCAGTATCTTCTTGGGTAAGCTCGATGAATGTTAATCCAAGGATGATTATTTTCTTAGATTTTCCTTTGATCTGATGCATTCACCCATTATGTTTTGGGCATTTTATTTACTATTGCTGAAGTTCTTATTGTTGTTTATAGCCATCATGTAGGGTGATTGGAATATTGGTTATGTTTGATTTGTAAATTATAATATATTATTATATATTTTATAGTTGTTAAGCAGCAAAACTACAAAAAGAGTTAAAACATATTATTGATAAATAAATTATATTGATAATTTTTATATGTAATTTAAAAGTATTCGTTAAGATAAGGTAGCTGTCAATAATTTTTATTAATAATTTGTCAATGAACCTCAGTATGTAACCAAGAACTATTTCACCAACCAAATATTCGTAAGTCCTAGCAAGTCAGGACTTCTCTTAGCCAGGAACTGTAAAGAAAGCACATCCACTCAATAATCAATCCCCCTACATTCATTCACCTGTCCAAAATAAAATGAACTTTAGTATTGTGTCAGAAGACGCTGAAAATTATAGAATCAAGTGTTATGAACTAGAACGAGAGGTGGCCAAATATAAAGCTGATAATGATCTTTAACGTCTTGTTTAGCAAAAGAGTGGTGACTTAGAATACAAAGTAGTAGAAGTCTTAGAGTCCAATAATGCTCTTTAAGGTCAATTGGAGAGGGCTTAGAAGGTGGCCTTGTAAAGAAAAAGTGAATCTGAAATGTGGAAATAAAAATACGAAGCTCAAATGGGATCTCTAATGTAGATCAGATAGAATTATGAAACTGAGATCAAAGCTCTTACTTTGGAAGTGCAAAAGGCCAACGCTAGAAGCAGTGCGTTGGATCAAGAAAAAAATAGAATAATATCAGATTAGAGAAATGTGGCTGATAACCAAACAACTTAAATCTAGGAGACATTTAAACGATCAAATAATACCCAGGCCGATATGTATGAGGCACAACTCAAGAAACTTAGAGATATGTTAGAAGATAGAACATTACAAGTGGCTTAATTGTAATCCTAGAATGAACGTTAAAAAATAGAGTTCTAAGATACTTAATTAAGATTAATGAATGAAATAGATATCACAAAGTCTAGATTAAGTGCCATTTAAATTGATCATCAAAATGAATTATTGGCACAAAAATAAAAATTGGAATTGTATCAGGAAACCAATTTGAGAAATCAATAAACAGCTCATGAAAATCAACAAGATGTTCAAGTGTCAGAGATTGTCAAAATCAAAAACTTGTTAGAAATCAAAGCATAAGAAATTGAAACATTAATCAATCAAAATCAAAAGTAAAAGATACAATCTGAATTAGAAATATCTGGATTGAGACATGAAATTGAAATTCTAAGAAGACAGATCTTGAGTAATGAACAATTACATCAATAAGAAAATCATAATATCTAAACCAATCTAGATAATATGCATAATAATGATACTACCAATCTTAAGTTAACACATGAAAACTAATTGTAAGCTTTACATAAGGAAATCTTGAAACTCAAGGAAATTATTGATCATAAAAATTAGGATATCCAAAAATTAGTTGTTGAAAAACAATAACAAAAAGATTATTATGATGGAGAAATCTAAAGATTGATTAATACCATTGAAGATCAAAAGAGAAGAACCATTTTATTAGAAAATGAAAAAAATAGAGAGATTGCTGACCAACATGCTAGAATTGAAAGATTAACCATTTAATATGAGAACATGCAAATTGATCTCTAAAAATAGATTTAATTATTGAATCAAGAAATCATTAATTTGAAGAATCTGTTAGATCACAAAAACCTAGAAATATAATAAAATCTTAAGAATTATTCTTAAATCAAATTAGAATTTGAGGATAAATTAAGAAATTTATAAAATGATTTAGAACTCGTCAAACTCAAAGCTTTCGAAACCGAAAAATCAAAACTTCAAGAAATCCAAGACTTAAAATCCTTTATTAAAGAAATAGATACATAAAACAGAGAGAAATAGAAGTAATTGGAATAATAGATTGATCATTAAAAATATGAAATCCAAAAGACTTTCGATATGTATAACAATAAAATAAAGGAATGTGAGAATCTAACAATTCAAAGGAACAATGCTGAAATCATTCAAAAACGAATTCAAGATGAAAATGATAAATTGATTGAAAAATTACATCTTTTTGAATAAGAAAAGAATCTAGAAATCGATGAATTAAGACATAAAATGGATTCAGGTGCTGCTTACTAATTTGAGAACTTAAAGAGTGCCTACAATACATAAGTAGGTTTACTCTCAGATCAGATCGCCGACCTTCAAAATCAATTGGCAATTAAGAACAGAGAATTAACTGAAATGATAGAAAAATACACAATATTAGATAGGAGTCTCTTGCCAGAAACCCTAGTGTCCAGAGCTGCCTACAATAGTAGAATTGGAATCCCTGCTGAATTATTAGCCAACAAGTCTATCCATGATGCTACCCTTAAGTCCTAACTTCGAAATAGTCCCATCTAAAGATATTGATATATTATAATATTACTAAAATGTAATCGATTTTCTATTATTCTCTTCATTTGCTAGCCAGATTGCTATAATAAATATAATTTATATTAAATTATTTTCACCCATTATGATTCATCCTCTCTATTCATTTCCCGTTGATTATCAACCAGCTTATTAATTCGAAAATGAAAATATGCCAAAAAATCAAATGATAGAATATGCCATGCATTAAAATGCCAATGATTTTCCCTTATACCACCAATTCTAATACCCTCAATAACTGGTCAACTATGATATTGCAGCTGATCAGAAAACACAAAGTAAGACCAAGAAATCCAAAAAGCACAAGTATTATTCTCACTTGATATTATAGAAAGGATGACAAAAAAGAATTGCTTCCTAAAACTAAAGCATTGCAAGAAGAACCTTAAAAAGAGGAATTGTATTATTTATACTATCGCTATTTAGTTTGAAAACAGTAGTTTAGCCTCAATATCCACTTGTACATTTTACTTAGAGTACCTTATTGCCTAAATTACAATCAGATATTGTAACAGATGGTTCTCCTCTGGGTTCAAAACAGACTGTAAAATCCAGCAAACACCATCAAATCAAAAAGCCCAAAAAAGAGCACATTAATACAGGACATTGGTCAGCTATTGAACATACTACATATGTGAATTTCCTATCACAATATGAAAACATAATGAATTCCTCTATGATGAAGAAAACATCAAAAATATTTAAACAAATGAGTGAACTGATTGGTACACGCACTCCTAGTCAATGTAGAAGTCATCATCAAAAATTCAACCCCTATGCTCATAGGGGAGAGAATGGTAAAAGATTACCCAGAAATGAAAGAAGTAGAGCCGGACGCAAAAAGAAGAATCAATTGACAGATATCACCAAGGATGGTAAGAATATTTCAATATTCTAGAATAAATAATTGAGTAGGATCCTTTTTATATGATGCTTGATAAATAATTTTACTATCATCCTTATATGGTTAATGGAATTGAGTATTAACAATTCTTCTATGATGCGAATCTCAAAAGAGAGGATATGCCTGAATATGTCCATCATGCTTAACCTTAAGACTACGAAGATTACCTAAAAGTCAGGCCAGATTATAATAATTAGTTAGATTATTGATTATAATTATCTTTAATTATTTTATGATTGCATTAGAGTATTGTTAATAGCTATTAGAGCTATATATACTTGAATTTAGTCATCCTGATGAAATTTATTATCATGATGATGAACCAGTATATTAGAATTTAAACTAAAGTAAACTCCAGTTTTTGATAGACATANTCCTAACTTCGAAATAGTCCCATCTAAAGATATTGATATATTATAATATTACTAAAATGTAATCGATTTTCTATTATTCTCTTCATTTGCTAGCCAGATTGCTATAATAAATATAATTTATATTAAATTATTTTCACCCATTATGATTCATCCTCTCTATTCATTTCCCGTTGATTATCAACCAGCTTATTAATTCGAAAATGAAAATATGCCAAAAAATCAAATGATAGAATATGCCATGCATTAAAATGCCAATGATTTTCCCTTATACCACCAATTCTAATACCCTCAATAACTGGTCAACTATGATATTGCAGCTGATCAGAAAACACAAAGTAAGACCAAGAAATCCAAAAAGCACAAGTATTATTCTCACTTGATATTATAGAAAGGATGACAAAAAAGAATTGCTTCCTAAAACTAAAGCATTGCAAGAAGAACCTTAAAAAGAGGAATTGTATTATTTATACTATCGCTATTTAGTTTGAAAACAGTAGTTTAGCCTCAATATCCACTTGTACATTTTACTTAGAGTACCTTATTGCCTAAATTACAATCAGATATTGTAACAGATGGTTCTCCTCTGGGTTCAAAACAGACTGTAAAATCCAGCAAACACCATCAAATCAAAAAGCCCAAAAAAGAGCACATTAATACAGGACATTGGTCAGCTATTGAACATACTACATATGTGAATTTCCTATCACAATATGAAAACATAATGAATTCCTCTATGATGAAGAAAACATCAAAAATATTTAAACAAATGAGTGAACTGATTGGTACACGCACTCCTAGTCAATGTAGAAGTCATCATCAAAAATTCAACCCCTATGCTCATAGGGGAGAGAATGGTAAAAGATTACCCAGAAATGAAAGAAGTAGAGCCGGACGCAAAAAGAAGAATCAATTGACAGATATCACCAAGGATGGTAAGAATATTTCAATATTCTAGAATAAATAATTGAGTAGGATCCTTTTTATATGATGCTTGATAAATAATTTTACTATCATCCTTATATGGTTAATGGAATTGAGTATTAACAATTCTTCTATGATGCGAATCTCAAAAGAGAGGATATGCCTGAATATGTCCATCATGCTTAACCTTAAGACTACGAAGATTACCTAAAAGTCAGGCCAGATTATAATAATTAGTTAGATTATTGATTATAATTATCTTTAATTATTTTATGATTGCATTAGAGTATTGTTAATAGCTATTAGAGCTATATATACTTGAATTTAGTCATCCTGATGAAATTTATTATCATGATGATGAACCAGTATATTAGAATTTAAACTAAAGTAAACTCCAGTTTTTGATAGACATACCACTCAACATGTTTAATCGGTCTTATGGAAAAGATAATCAATAAGGCTACTTGAGAATGCCTCCTAATAAGAACTTCAAATCAAAAATGATTATGGTTTGTTTGAGACATATGAACCTAAGCCTTATCTAATTGTTGTCGATAGAGACAAATCAGATGATAAATATAGATTAGAAGCCATGAAGAAGAAGAAGGATAAACGAAATGCAAAAAATAGAGATCAAAATTTACCATACAATGAATACATTCACCCTGCAAAACAAATTTAAGTTAAATTGATGTTACCTAAAAAACCATTAAAGGATTATTAAGCATATGATTCTGATGGCAGTATTATGAGAAGGAGAGAACAAGTTAAACAGTTAAGTCCAATTGTTAATGCAGTCAAGAGTAAATTATAAGGAAAAGTTGATCAAAAATAATAGGAACCTGTTGCAGAGGAAAACATTATTAATTAATAAGCTCTGTTTAAATTGAAGGTATCTACTAAAGTTAAAACATAATATGATGAACCATATAATTTTGAAGCTTTTCCTTTAAAACCAGGAGTTAAACTAACATTCTCTTAAGAAAAGAAGAAAAAGGACGAAGAGAAAGTCAATAATGAAGAAGAAGATCTCACTGATGCCGACGCTTATCAACTATAAAAGTTTCATAAAAAACCAAGTTACACCACACTTCCTTTATTTAAATTACCAAAATAAAAGCATAATATAACTCATGAGAGATCCTTCCGTACTATTAGATAAAATAAAGGATTTGAATATTGATTAGTTGTAGTCAGAATAAAGTCATAGTAAAAATTATTTTATTGATAATACCCTCAATTTTTTCTCAAGGGTAATTAATGTAAAATCAATTTCTTAATAAACACCTAAACATTTTTACATTTTTCCTTAAAAAAATTAAATTTCTCAAACCAAAAGTAAGATTATTTGAATACTGTATGTTATTCTTCCAAATCCATTAGGTTAATTCATAATTAAGAGAGAATCTCAATAGATTTCTGAATCAAATACTTCATTATTCCTACTTATTATTTTTTTGCACCTAAAAATTTCGATATATGAGTTTGGACTTACCTTAAATTAGATGGTATATATTGTATTTAAAATTTAAGTTCATTATATTTTACAAGTAATACAATTTTTTTTTTTTGGTTTTATTTTCATAAATTACTGCAATTATACATAAATGGGACATTAGCATTTGATTACACAAATCAAATTCTCAAAATTATTCTATTTAATTAACAACAAATTGATATATTATCAAAAAAATGATTCTGGTAAAATTTTCTTACAGATAATTAAATATTATTAAAAATAAATTAAGCAATAATTAATGAGTTCTAGCTCTTAGTCTCTACAATTTACAGATTCTGAATCTCATGAGAGAGCTCCTATAAAAAAGGTGAACATTGGAAATGAACCAGAAATTGGTCAAATACAATAACAAATTGAATATAGTTCTAAAGGAATGGCTCAGAACTAGAAAAGTAAATGTATTCTTTAATTTTCAAGATAGTCTTACTGCTAAGGAATATTATGATTAATAAATTAAAAATACAGAAACTCATAGAAGAATTAGTAGATTATATTATCTAAGAAATTTTTAAAATTGGGTTAAAGCTGTCTTAATCAATGAATATAGTACTTCACTTAAGCAAAATTTTACTGATAAGAGAAATGTAATTAACATAAGCTATGTTTTAAGTTATTAAATGTTTTCGAAATGGGTTGTGGAAAGGGTGGAGATATGTATAAATGGAGCAAGGCAGGGACTGGACTTTGGTTCGGAATTGACATATCAAGTGAAAGTTTAAAAGAAGCTGAAAGAAGACATAAAACTTAAAAGGAGGATAAGAAGAAATAGATTTAAAAAATATATTTGATGGAGACAAAAGCAGATTCGGATTCTACATTATTTAGATCTAGATTGCCACAAGATATATATTTTGATTTTGTAAGTATGTAATTTATGGCAAACTTGTTATTCTCTTCTGAATAAGCAGTAGAAAATATGTTTGAAGTATACATTTCCATATTATCTCAAGAATATGACCTGTAGATTGACCAATTAAGGTATTGTGTTAATGACAATAACTGATTCTAATGTGTTAGTGAAAAAAATGAGAGAATTTACAACAAAAGATATAGAAGGTAACTACGTATATTCCAGGAACCAATATTTTTCAATAAAATTTGAAAGTCTACAATTTTCCAAAAATAAGCCTTTTGGATAACAATACTACTTTTATTTGGAAGATTCTGTTGGGTTTAAAGAAGATAATCAAATTAAATATGTTCCAGAATATTTAATTGAATTATAAGCTTTTGAATAGAAAGCTAAGGAATATAATTTGGAAATTATAGAAAACTTGAATTTCATTGACTTCTTTGAAAAATATAAATAAAAACACTCTGATTTACTCAAAATTATGGTCAAACCACCAAGTGATGAATGGTAACTTTCTATATTTACACTTTAGGAAAATGCCCATGGATCAATGGGAAATAGCACATCTATATAGAGTAGTTGTTTTGAGACATTTAAAAGGTCAAGCACAACCTAAAATCAGAAGGCATCCTCACTTAACTGAATTACCTGATAGTGTGCTTGAATTAGAAAATGAATGATCTCAAAAAAATATACATATAAATTAAAAATACTATTTATTGAGGTGTACAAATTTGTTTGATAATTCGCATTATATATTCTATCCTTTCTTAAATATAAGCTTGATATTACAATCCAATTAATAATTTAGTTAATTATTTCTTTAGAAGAATCGCTTCTAAAATCATAACAATCTTCTCAAATTGCTAATTATAATTCATCATCAATTATTTCTATTTATTTTTTAATTCAATTTAAATCTTTTATAATCACAACAATTTGAGTGAAATTCAGATTTTTAATGGCTAGAATAATAAGGAAAGTATATTGTATTTGGATGGGAATAATTATAAATAAAAAGGTTTTTGGATTATAGATTCTTTCAATTTTATCAATTGTTTGAGGCTCCTAATTTAAATAAAAAGTGAATGAATTCTTATTTATTTATCTTAATTGATTATATTTAGATGGTAGAAGTTTAGTATTATAATAAATATTAAAAATAATAATTAATTGTTTAATTGTATTAATTTAGAAAGATCAAAAAAAGTGAAAATATCAATGTTTGTTTACCTTGTCTAAAATTAAAGATATAGTAGGAGTTGCTTCATTTTGAGATAAGAAATCACATAAGTAGGATTCACCTAAATGATTGATGATAACCGAAATGTACATATATGATATATGATTAATATTAATCTTTCAATAAATTTGGTAAGCATAATTTAAGATACCACATGTATTCTATTCTTTTAATCTGATGTGTCCATCTTCACCCCACCAAGATCCCCATGAATTTTAAACAATCCAATTACTATTATTATCAAAACCTACTGCCAATGCATGATGATTAGTCTCATTCGATGAACAGTTTTAAAACACTCCTGAATTATAAAACTACCAATTATTAGCATTAACTGCCACTGATACTGGATAATTAGATAAATAGTATTATAAGTTCTCTTAATATCCTCCAACAAATAAATAGCCTGAAATAAAATAAGTTCCATTTCTTGATTATTTACAAATCTATTCTTTTTCAGCATATGGATAACTTTGGTTTGATGTCAATCCTACACTGCGGACATAATCCATAGCATACATATTATAACCTCCATCACATCCTGAAGAGTTATAATCACAGTCTATTATTTGTTAGGTGGATGGATATATTTTTTAAGACTTTTTTATTCCATACCATGCTTCCACTGAGTTACTTACAGAAAAGGCATATCCTGCATTACAAACACCTTGATATTTGACTGATGAGTAATTTTTCCAATCAACTGCATTTAATCCTTCAAGTTAAATTGTTGGGATTTGGAATTCCATTGTATCCATAGGAGGAATACTTTTTTATAAATATAGGTCAACAAACTCTTCATTTGTAAGAGCCATAAATTGATTCTCCCCCATTTTATAAGTAACATCGTCTCTTTTGTTGTGCTCTTCAATCATTCTCTTGTTGGAATAGTATATTCCCATTCTGTACATTTTTTCGGATTCGCTATAAAGCTTGTTATTTTTTGTTGCCCAAACTTCAAAGTCTGATTTATTTTCATAAGAAACGTTGTAATATCCAACAGCCATTAGCAAGGCCACAAATGCTGTAGTTAAATATTCTTTCATAGCAATTAATATTTAATTTGTAGTTTTTAATATTTTAACTTAAATTACACAATTTGATTATGGAATATCTTATTCATTCTATAACATAGTCATTACTCATTAACAGAAAATATTCAACCAATAAAAATATATAATATGTTTGATTAGAATTTTTTGACAATTTAATTATTTTAAATAACCAAAAATTATACTAAAATATTATTATATATTGATTAAATAATTTGATTACTTCTAATCCAAACTGAAGATTGATAAAAAATAATAATCTCTAAGGGTCTGAAAGGTATAATGTATAAAGTCCTAAAATTAAAAAAATAACAAATATTAGGAAAATAGGAAAGGTTGATTTGTTGTATTAAGTAGTAATTCTTTACAATAATTACATTAATAATAATGATACATTTCAAATAACATGCGAGAAAAGAGTATAAATTTGTAGTTTTATTTTTGATTTTGCTTGAGTATTTTACAAAGTTTTTTTTGAACTTTAAATTATGTTTGTTTATATTTAACTTTTCTTTTTAATAATTATTAATATTGTATAATTCTCATTAATATATATAATTTAGAAATTAATATGCTAAAATATCTAAGTATTTTGTTGATATCAAGTGTGTTATTGATATCTATCAATTAAAAAAATGAAGAAAATATTACAAACTTGTAATTAAAATTTGAAGATTGGAAATTAAAGCATGGGATACAATTTCTTGATGAAGAGAACTAATACAGATTTTAAATTTTTTAAACAAATTTATAGAAAATTGAACAACACAATTCTGATTAAAGTTAGACTTACATCATGGGAATGAATAAGTTTATGCATTTAACTCAGGAGCAGTTTTAATCATTGTATTTAATGAACATTTAGGAAATTTATGTCGGAAATCAAACAGAAATTAGTTAATTAGATAGTACATAATTGAACGCTTCAATTGATTATAGAAACTAAACAATTGTTAAGGATTAAGGACAATGCGGTTCTGGATGGGCATTTTCTGTAACAGGTACAATGGAAGTGTATTAGAAGATATATTAAAAAAAGAATGTATCTTTATCTGAGTAGCATTTGATCGATTGTGATTAATTATCAAGAGGATGTATCGATGGTTCTAATATCAATGGATATAAATTTGCAATATCTAATGGAGTTGCAACTAACATCGAGTACCCATATGTTGGATATAATTAAACTTGTAAGAGATTAAACGGAACCTATCATGCAAAAGGATACTCATCAGCAGTGGGAGAATACAATATGAAATAAGCTTTAATTAGCCATCCAGTTTCTGCTGGTTTGGATGCCTAAAATTGGTAATTTTATTCCTCTGGAATCTTCTCAAATTGTGGTATAACTCTGAACCATTATGCTGTTGTGGTTGGATATGAAGAGTCTGGAAATTGGATAGTTAAGAATTCATGGGGCATAAATTGGGGGGAAAACGGTTTCATTCGTATCAAGTCTGGAAATACTTGTGGAATAGTAACATATTCATATTAAGATAAGTATTAATGAGCTTTAGAATGAACCCTTTTAATATCTAATAAATTTATAAATTATTTTAATAAGACTTCAATAAGGTTCCATTTGTGTTAAAGTTGGGTCTTAATGATATTTAAATGCTGCTTTGTACATTTTATTAAAGTCAAGTTTCTTATTTAAAAATTATTAAAACATTTCTTCACCCAGCTTATCTTTGATGAAATTTTATCTTTTGGTTAAATCTTCATATATCTGAAAGAAATCAATTGAATAAATACATCATTAATTAATGTTATCTTAACAGTAGTTCCTTGTTCAGAGAGGCTTTTAAATTTAGACTGTTACAGTTTAGATCTAATATTCTTGATGCTTATCTATAAATTAATAATTAAGCTTAGATACATTGTAATCTAATAATGCAAGCTGTAATTTATTTTTTTGTTTTTCCTTGGCTTAATTCTATTTTAATTAGGAATCTCTTTTCTCAATTAACATTTGAATTGTTTCATTGTCTTGTACTTTCCCTTATATATATTTAATGGTTTTTTCACGTTATTTCTTATTTTCATTTGAATTAGCATTTTTGAATGTCTTTAATATTAATTAATACTTACATCTAAATACATCTTCTATTTATTTAATTTAAGGTGTAAATCACTCAATAGATCTTCTTAAGATGAAATTTTGGCTTCAAGTGATGTTTTAATTTCTAATTGATTTAAAAATACAACGAAACTCTCTTCCTTAGAATAATCAGGATTTTCAATCTATAAATTAGATAGCATATATTGAATTACATCAATGTATTGACTAACATGAGCCATGGTTGATCTAAGAACTTCAAGTTTGTCAGAGATAGCTTTACTGTTTTTTTCAAGTTGAATTCTTTTTACTCTCTACTGTTCTTTATCTTCATTTTAAACATATTGTTGTTATAATTTTTGCATCTTTTCAGATGATTATTATTATATGATAGAATCTGATTATTAAAAGAAATGATCAAAGTCCTCCTTCTGTCTAACAGTTTTATTGATTTAATCAATCATTTATTTTGAATAGTTCATATTGTTATTAAAGGCATCCACATATTAAATATGTATTGTGTGGATTTGTTTGATTTCAGTCTCCATTTTGGTGATCTCTTATTTCTCATATTTAATCAATTTGTTTAGATTACATTAAAAATAGTTTAAGTCTCTAATCCATTCTTCATTATAGGATCTGTTGTCACCACTGATTTTAATGATAATTCTCAATCTACTATCTTATACCATACTCAATAAATAGTCATGTTCTGCTTCTTCCCTCAATCTTTTGAGATTTTCAATCTAAAATGTATAAAATCTATAGAATTTACTTTGTCTTAAATTTATGAAACCGTATCTACATCAGTTCCAAATCCCTCGTTATGTTGAAGCGTTCTTAAATTAGCTAATTTCTTTGTTGCAGTTTGACTAAAATACATGAATACGATTACTTTTGATAAATGATGTTGTCGAGTTCCCTCTTCAAATCCTTTGCTTATTATAACATTATATAGAGTTCTTTGCCATTATGAAGTGCAATTTCACTCTTCAATCTAGGTAGGATTGATTAAGAAGATTTGTTAATGGTTTCTGGATTGAACTATTTGTATTTTTCTTTTTGCATTTTAGATTTGTCAATAATCCTCATAGTTGTATTTAAAGAGACTTCTTGAGTTTTATTGATGGAAGGGAGAGTTGTTTGTTTTTTATCAACCTAATTTAATTGTTATTGTTTCTTCTACTCTTCTATTTCCTTGTGAATTTGAGAGAGACTCATTTGATCCTCCGTAATGAAGAATTGCAAACTAGTAGTGTGCATTTTTGTGGATTTGACTTCTCTATAGGTAGATTTCTAGTTCAAATTGTTTATAGTATTATCTGCTAATGATTTCTCCCTTCTAAATCCTTTTACACCAGGTAAATCATTTTACTATTTCATTAGTGTCAGGATTGAAGTATTTTATTCTTATTTAACTGGAATAACAGATAATTCCTTATCAATGAAAATAGTAGTATTTATGTCCTCTTATTTTTGATACATCATCTTCTTCTTCAATTTAGCTTCAATAGCTATCTTTAATGCTTATTTTGTAAAGGCCTTTTCTTCTTAAACACTCATATATTCAGTGGCCTTGGCAAAACATTACTTCATTTTTGCAGAATAATCACTATGAACAGATAAGCAAACCCAAGGAAATTGAATCCAAATCCATCTCTTATAATAATAATCTGTTGGTTTTCTTTCACTAACTAATGATTACTCTTCTAATTTCTTAACTTAAATTGTATTATGTGTTAGTTTAAGTTAATCTGGCTTTTTCAATTGAACATCTTCATCCTTGCTTAGATTAATGTCCAAATCTTTCATTGAAATCTGTCCATTTTCTAATTTCTAATAGATCTTAGCTTCCTCTGATTCCTTTTCTCTTTGTTTCTCTTCTTGAAATTTGCTGATCCCTATTTTTTCTTCAAAGAACTTCTTAACCTATTCTCTATTATAGGGAATATCCACATTCAATTTTTCTAGTTTAGTTAATATTTCTGGTTTCTTCTTTTTCTCTAACAAACTGATAGTAGGCTATGTTTTCTTTACATCTTCTTCCTTTCCAGGCTTCTTGGTTTATTTCTAATCTTTTTATAATACTTATTTAGATTTAAGTTTCTCTATCTTTTCATTGATTCTCTCTTGAGGTGATTTATAATTTTCATCATTATTCCCAATCTTCCTAGGATTAGCATCTATTATGTAACATAAATTCATTCTATAAAGTTCATTTAATAATCCGATATCATCTAATTCATCTTCAATCCCTTGAATCGGTGGATGTCTGAAACTTGGAGTATAATAAGTTTCAAAATCACAAAACTCTTTTAAGAACCTTGACACTTGTACAATGATTCTAAAAATGTCCTCACTACTAGGATGATACTGCATTGCAAAACCTTCTATAGCTTTATTGTATTCTATCACTGGATCAAACCCTTGTTCCTCCAGTTTTTACCAATACCGACATAGATCGTATTTATTATTGGGATTAAATAATAAGAGGAAATTCTCAATGGCAGACACTATTTCCTTTAACTTAAAGTATGTTTTGGCCATGAATAGATGATATGTTTACTCCTCTAACTTCCTTATGGAATTAGTAGATTTATTTAAATGATCTGCAATTTCCTCATGCAATTTAGGAACTAAAGTGTTGTCTTTTAGATATCTTTTCTAGATGATACTCTTAAACAGATCATTATTAATAATCCAATACTCTTTATAATGCATTAGATACACTTTAAAGAACACCAAAAATGTCTTCCAATCATTCTCAGTTAATTGACAAATAGTCAATGCTTCTTAAATCATCAAACCCTTTTAAGTTATTGTAAAGCATAGAAGTATTTTTATAAATTTTTCTTAATCCTTAAACATTTTTGTTTGATAATGATCCAAAATAAAATTCACCAAATCTTCTAAACCAGTAACTTCTTACAATTTAGCCATATCGACTTAAGATACCAAAGCCTCAATAGTCTCTGGTCTAACATCACCTTCTCCAATTATCCCAAGACTTGGATATGGAATCAGAAGAGAAAGAAACGTCTTACAAAATATAGAATTCATCTCACATTTAGTTTGAGTCAGAATATTTAATAATTTATCCTTAAGGGAATCAGACTATATAATGTTAATTTAGAATTATTACAAGAAAGGTTTTCCTTTTTTTATGTGTCTCAATCATCTTCTCAATGATCTTAGGTTCCACTTTGATTGATATGATTTGTGAATTGATCTTCTATAGATATTGCATTGCTCCTGAATTCTTGGAAGCTGTCAAAATAACTTTGATTCTGGAGGGAAAGAATTATGGCAACCAAAAGGAGACATTAGCTTCTTTTGAGATTCCGTTGCCTTAGTCAACAAAATGATTTACACCCTCAAAAATAAGGATGATTCTATTATAAAGAGTTTTAGCTTCTTTCAGAATTTGGTTCTCTATGTGTGAATTGCAGATGTCCAACCAATATGCAAAGTATTTCCGAAGCTTCTCTTCCAACAACTCTACTTTCTACCCTATGTTAAGCAATTCCCTCAATTTGACCAATATTCGATATATGGCATAGAAATAGTTACTGTTGTTTCCTCCGACCATTGCAAAATGGGGAATAATGATGTCTTAATACCTGCCTTTTTTGTTGGCATTATGATATCCAATCCACTTGACAAGCAATGTTTTTTTGCCTACACCATCTTCTGCCTCTATGACCAATGGAAGATTTTATTTGCCTTTCTAATTTGAATTAATTAATGTTATATTACAACATCCTAATCCAACCATTCTTCAATTTTCAGAAAATGTTTATCCAATCCACTTGTTTACTGATTTTTATAGTATTCCATAACAACCTCAGAAGAGCTAAAATTAAATGACTTTATACTCTATGTAATTATTGTACTCTTCTTCTAATTAGGCTATCTGGAAAGATAAATTTTGTTTCTGATTAGCTTCTTCCATCAGTTTTATTATTTTTATATTAAAAAATAAATGAATTTATATTGCTGATCATCTTTATCTCCTTGCATATCTGGTTGCCATCCTTCTCCTCTTACACATTTTCTAAAGGCATTCGAATATAGAAATTCAATTGAAGGTCCCAATTGGATTTGGTGTTCATGTTCTAATTTACACCTAACTCAATTTTTATCATCGAAAACATAACATGTTTGAATTGGTTGAAATTTGCATTGCTTTCAATTAAGGTTCTGGTGCTTTCTTCAAATTGCTAAAGCCTTTCCCAATTCTTGCTTCCATTAATCTTTGCAAAGATGAAATCACTTCCTTAAAGTATGAACTATCTGAGGTTCATTAAAAATGAGTAATCCCAATTTCTTTGGATGTCTATTATCCCAAAGCTTCTGGTTAATTCGTAGTATTGTTCATATGCCATTCCAATTAATCCTTGAAATGAATGTTCTCAACTCTTAATCAACACTAAGTTCTTCAACATCTGATTCTTAGTAAGGTAATACTATAGTCTCTATAATTTTTAACTTGCTCCTTTATTTTAGTCCAAATTACGAACTCAATAACTGAAAGCAATTAGCAATGATTTGAGTAATCATATGATTCCAAAAAAAGGTTTTGTAGATTTGTCGCCATCTAATTGAAATCAATAGTAATTGCATCACTGTTTTGATGGCTCAATTGAAATATCTTAAGTCTTATTATGTTATAAGTGACTCAGATAGAGATTGATTGAATGCTTATCACAATGAAAAATTGGTTTGTTTTTTTATTACTCTTGAGTCTAAAGCATAAGGATTTCTTGCCTTCATTATTTTAATGGAAATTAGATATTGATTTCTTAGGATGTGAAATTTAGAGATATTTTAGACAGGTCTTTCTGTGTCATGGGACACTTGAATATTAAGTAGAAATGTTACTGTCTGCTATCAGGATGTCTGAATAAACAAGTACCCACTCCTTAGCCTTTGTTGACATGGAAGTGTTATCCATCTTTACAATAACTCTTCAATTCATGTACTTTGAAAATTAGAGATGCCCTGTTTTTTGTGCTTGCTTTTTGTTATACAGACAGAGGATAGGAGTAGTGTGATGGATGCTTATTTCTCTTGCCAAATCGACTTATTTAATATTGGGTTTTTGTAGTATTTTTGTATTCTCGATTTGAGATCTTTTTGTATTTACATTAATTAATGGAGGGACCCAAAATAACAGTCGTAATCAGAAAGAGACCACTGGGAAAGAAAGAGCTTGCGCGTGGTGATTAGGATATTGTGCAAGTGAAGGATTAAGCTACAGTCTTGTTGAGCGAGATCAAGTATGCATTTTGAAATTCAATATACTTTCTCTTTTTTAGGCAGAAAGTTGATCTGACCAAGTATGTTGAATAGCATCACTTCAATTTCGACTTAGCATTTGATGAGAGTGTAAATAATGAGGGAGTTTATGCTACTGCAGTGCGTCCAATAATCGAAGCAGCTTTCAATAAAGCAAAGTGCACTTGTTTTGCATATGGATAAACAGGCAGTGGTAAAACATTCACGATGCTTGGTGACCCTGAAGCCAATGTTCCAGGACTCTATCTGATGGCTAGTTATGACCTGTTCAACATATTACAAAGAGTAATTAGCATCCTTATTATCCAATTAGCCAGAGTATGGCAATTTATACGTGACCATTTCATTTTATGAAATCTACTGTGGCAAATTGTTTGATCTCTTAAATGATAGAACCTAATTGGCTGCCCAGGAGGATGCCAAAGGTAATGTTTAAATCAAAGCATTAACTGAAAAAAAAATTCAAAATGTCCAGCAACTCATGCAAATCATACAACATGGATAGAACTCCAGAGTTACTTCGCAAAACTCTGCAAATTCCGAATCCTCAAGATCTCATGCCTTACTATAAATTAATTTAAAGTAAGGCAAGCTAGTTCATGGCAAACTCTCATTTATTGATTTGGCTGGTAGTGAAAGAGGAGCTGATGTTAGAGACCAAGATAAGACCACTAGAGTCGATGGAGCTGAAATTAATAAATCTCTCTTGGCTTTGAAAGAGTGCATTCGAGCTTTGGATCTCAATAAGAATCACACTCCATTCAGAGGCAGCAAACTTACTCTAGTACTCAAAGATAGTTTGATCGGCAATTGTAGAACTGTCATGATTGGTAACATTTCACCCAGTAGTGCTAATAGTGAACATACACTAAACACATTAAGATATGCAGACAGAGTCAAAGAATTGAAGAAACCATAAGAATAGAAATCAGGAGGAGATGCACTCAATCGAGAATTGATGTTAGCCAGAACAGGTTCTACTTTATTTTTATTACTTTAGATACAAATGTTATTCGTAAAGAATATAAAAATCCTGATTCTGAAGACGAAGAAGGAGATGATTTATATAGTGGACCCCAAGGTTCTTAAGGTGGATTGACTCAGATGAACAATCAGAAATATCAATAATATAATAACATGACTTCTTCATAGCAGTACTCACAATAATTTCAATATGCTTAATAGTAATAATAATAATAATAACAATAACAATTGCCTCCTTAACCACTACAATAACAACCAGTCAGAACATTATCAGCTAATTCATAATAATAAATGCAATAATAATAATAATAATAATAATAATAATAATAATAATAATAATAATAATACAATTAATAATTCACTAATCCGTATGCTAAATAACCATCACCATAACCATAATAATAATAATAACAATAACAATAACAATTACCTCCTAATCTTCCAAAATCCAAAAGCACTTAACCTAATCAAGCCTAGCAACAATAGTAATCATCATCATAAACACAATTACCAAATCAACAATTCTTCATGTAATAATAGCCAATGATGGTCCCATAATAACCTAATATTTATTAATAATAGCAATAACCAAATCTATAGCAATTCATAAATCCATAACCTTAGCCACAACCATTGATGTATAGCAATTTACAGAAATAAAATGCTGTCCAGCAAAACCAAATGTTATACCAGCAATAACAAAACCAATTCCCTTAACAATAAATGTTCTAGCAATACCCTCAACAAACCTATATCAACAACAATCAGTATTATGCAAAGTAACAACCCTTAATTCCTGGAATGAACCCAATTCCTCAATAACCGAACAATTTTATGCAACATTACTTGGATAACAATTTAAATTAGTAATAATAAGATCCATTTGTTAATGATGATTTTCAAGGCGAGGATGGAGACAACCTATTGTTGGAGGAAGTGGATCCAGAATAGGAGATATAGGAATAAAGAAACTAATTATTGTCCTAATAACATTAAGAGCTAGTGAACAAAGTATTACAAGAAGAAGATGAGATAATTGTGTTCCATAGAGATCATATCGATGTAATGGTTGAGATATGCAAATCTGTAATACAAAGTTTATTATCATCACTAGGATATGATTCTATTAAATTCTTTGGATCAAAATCAAGTTGCTGTGGCTGATTATATGGTGAAGCTAAAATAGAATTTACAAGTCAAACAATAGGCAATCAACGATTTCTTAAGCAAGCTAGGACAATACGAATAGTTGTTGGAATAAGTATGATTGTGTATCTACTTTCTCTAGGAAGCTGAATTAAATGAATAATTGAAGGAGTTCGGATTGGGTAATAACTCAAATTAAACAAATATATAATGATAACTAATCATAATGTTAACTCTAGATCATATGATCCTCCTGTCATTCCAAACCCTTCATAAATGCTTCATGAGTCCTAATTCGTTAGCATTTCTCAAAAACATCTGTTTCTCCCTAATAACCCTTTTGAAATCAATAATCGATCCGACAAAATCTATTCCCAATTGCCCTTTGAACCACAGCCATTGGAGATGATGTTCGACAATCTACCCGTTTAATAAGCATTTTCCCAATAAATCATAGTGAAACCATCCAAATTTTCAAATCTCAAAAAACTCGCTCCTCCTGCAATCCTACCACAAAAAAGGTATCTCTCTATTTTATCATTTCATAGATCTTGTCACGATTAATAACAATTAAAAATGCCAAACTATGAATCTTAAAAAGAACCCCTCAAATCCTAAAAAGGTACTTAAAATGATTTTTTAACTGTAGGACTAAAACATTTGTCAATCAAAGTTAAACAAATAGTCTTCGAATTCAAATCCACGTCCTACAAGGATGTCGCAGAAAGACTTATTTAAGAATTGATTTAAGAAGAAGGTAGAATTTCAGATTGTGATAATGTATTATAAAATTAATTTCAAAGTCAAAAGATGAGTAGAATATAAAAAGAAGAGTGTATGATGCACTTAATGTAATGATTGCCTCTAGAGTCTTAAAAAAAGAAGGTAAAAAGGTTAAAGCCGACTTTGACACTTTGGTATTAGGAAAGAATATATTACAGGAAAAATCATTTCAAAAGGAATAACTTGTAACTCCACCTTTATATTAACTAGACTACTATGTAAAAAACTGTTGAACTCAAAAAAAAATAATTGGCAGAAATTGTTTGCAAAATCAAGGCAGCCAATACCCTTGTCTAAAGAAATAAATCCTTAGAGCTTAATTAAGAATAATAATTGTTTTATTTTCCAATTTTGTTATTCACTCAAAATGCCAATCATTCCAAATTTATTAAGGATAGAAAATAATTAAAAATTTTGTTGAAGTCCAAAGCGAACTTCGTTGCTGATTTAGATATTGTTAAAAAATTATACAAGTAAACTAAAATGTTGATTATTTTAGTGAAACTATCGACCTAAAGTACCTAATAGATGAATGCGAGAATTTATATACATGATTTAATTAAATATTCTATATCACATTTATTATTATTATCATTTTTAGTTCTTAGGAAAATATTCTATAAAATTTTATGTTTAAAATTTGAAATCATTTCAAAATTGCTTCAACAATTCAAGTGATTCTACGGTCAGGAATATTCATAAAATAAGCATCTTTAACTATAATTTTGTGAAACAATCAATAGGTGAGAGTATAAAATCAAATTACTCAACACATAAATAACAAATGCTATTTTAAACCACTTTTAAAAGAACCATAATTTAATTTATTCTCTTTTTTAACTATAAATTTTGTCTTAAGATTATAATAATAATTATATTTATTTATTTAAAAGTGAATTATTTAATACTTATACACATTTTCACCAATTATTTTTACACCTATCCATTATAATTGAATTTAATCTTTAGTTATCTTACATTAAAGTTGAAACCTTCCTCTCTAACTCTTAAGCGTAATTAGCACAACTTTCTAGAGATAAAATCTTATTTCTAGCCAGTTCGAGTTCTTGACTTCTTTGAGTGAACATATTTTTCAATTTCTCAAGTTCATTACAAGAATTTCTTAACTAGCCTTCTAGTACTATTACTGTTTTTTAAGTTATTTATTTTTCATTTAATTGTTCCCTTAATTGGTCATTCTCAATATTTAATTAACCAAATTTGGTAGCATATTATTCTAATGATGCTTACTGATCATTAATTTGTGAACTTAATTACCAAATGTGATTTTCTAACTACACTTTCTCAGTTGAAAATTTCATTTGAATTTAGGTTTCCACTTAAATTCTTAATTAATCACATTGTTGCTTTGCAATTTTATCAAGTTCATCAGTTAATAGACTAATTTATTTTTAATAATTCTCTTTTTCTTAGGTCCATTGTTTTGAGGATTCTTTTAATTATAATAGCTAAAATTTATTATAATTATTTACTTCTTCAAGTTATACTTTTTCTTTTTCTTACTCCCCTGTTTTCCTTTCAATTTAATATTTCAATTATGCAATTTCTTCTTACTTTCTATTATTCTCTTCTCTAATAAAATCAGTTTAGGAGAGTTCCCTTTTTAATTGATCAATTTTTTGTTATTAAAATTTAACAATTCTTTGATTTTCTAATTGAATTTCTTCCATTGAATTAGTAATTTTCTCTAAATCCTATTGTAACATTGAATTATCTTCTTCTATGGATTCAACTTAACTTAATCTTTCTTAATATTTGACTAATTATTTAGTTTTGTCATTCAATAGATTTTATAATTTTAAAACATGCTCTGTTTATAATCTTAGTTTGCTTTCTAAGTCTTATTATATTTCAAGATGAGAATTCTTATCTTTTTATAATTAGATCACTTAAGATCTTAAATTTCTCAATTCATCATTATGAGAATGACTGGATTTGCTTTGGGCTTCCAATAATGTATTTTTAACTTCCAAAGTATGTGTCTTTTCAATATATTCTGATGACTTTTGAATTTACTATTGTAATTATTGCTTCAATTAGGATAGTTCTGAGCAATTTGAATTAGTATTGAATTCACGTAATTATAAAGAATTTTCTAGTTCTTTAACCTTTGAGATCAATTAACTTTTTTCTCTTCTGAGGCTGTCTAATTGAGTTTTGATTAATATCTTCTCTTATTAGACATCCATATGATTGGATGATTAGTAAAATTGCATACTGTACTTTGATTACCTTTCTTATTCCAAATGTTTTTAAGTCTCTTCTAAAACAGCACTTTATTATTCAATCTTTGCTTATAGTTAATCACATTTATTTTATAATGTCTTATTCAAGGATTCGTATTGTTATAATTGAGTCTTCATTTATTAATTCTCGCTAATAAGGGTCGACTACTTGATTTCTAATAATCGGTATTTATTTGAAGTCAAATTTTTGGGATCTTAGTTTAATTTGGATAAATTTTCAATTTCTAATTCTTTATCTAATAATTATTTTTATAATTGAACAATTCTTGAATTGACAAATTAGTCCATGTCATTTGTGTTTATTTTCATCGTTTTTCTACCCATTTAATTCTAAGTGAGAATAGTATTGTTATTTTCTTTATTCATTCCGTTAAAAATATAATAAAATTAATAATGTAAACATCTTATGATATTTCTTGATTTTGGACAAATTATAGAATAAATGATAACCTGGAAATCATGCTGATCAATCATTAATTCATACTCAATTCAAAATTATTGTAACCGTTGAAACTCTCATCTGTCTAAAATAGTATATAGCTATTGGATGCAATTAATTTTCTTTTTATTCAAATTATTCTGTCATACGGCAAGTATAATAACATAACATTAAACATTAATTACAGAGAATCTCTTGAAAATATAGTATTTTCAAAGAGAATACTGATCATCATACTTATTAATTCAAATATAGAAACTTAAACTAAAAATAGCTATGGAGTCAGCACAAAAAATATTTTAGAATATAAAGTATTCTATTATATCCTTTCATATTTAGTTCTTAGTTAAATGGCAGAATCATTCTATTTCTCAAATAAATAATTGGTTTCTGAGCATTTTTCCAGGTTTGCTTCAACTAAAAGTTGTTTGGATACATTGTAAGACTTACAATTAAGAAAAGCATTTCAATTAATCAAAAATTAGAAAAAATGCTTATAGAGTCTTAACGAAGATGGCTAGAACATATAAAATGAGATATCTAATTATTAAGATATATTTATATATAAATCTCAGTTATTTTCTAATTAATAGGAATATGAAAGTACTAAAGACTTAGCCATTTATTCCTAATGTTTATATACTCCTGGCATTAAGATAATGCATTCCTCCTTATTTTTTAGAAATCCATCAATTGGATCATTTTTTGTTTAATTAAATTATTGTCTTTGTCCAATAGATTAAATATCGAAATATAGAGAAGGATCACTAATGAAACAGTTAAACATAATTTCTGACAACTTGTCTAACGGTATTAAATTGAGGTAATACTTAAAAATTGTTCAATAATATCCACATTTTTTAATTTTAGAGTATTTTGCAGATCTTATTTTACAATACTTAGATTAAGCATACATTTCTCATAAATTTATTTGTAATTACTTTGAAATGACTTTCTCAAAACATTGAGGATTGGTCCTTCGATAGTATTTAAACAACCAACCTTAATTGATACAATAAATAAAATTACGTCAATGATATTTTTGAATAAGGGTGAAAAATAATCATTAATTATTTTATCTATTCTCATCATGGCAGTTTAGAAAAAATAGACAATTCCTTGCATGTTTAATTCTTGAGTAAGAACATCAAAAAAAATGTCAAAACATTCGCATTTGTAAAATTCTGCAATGGAGTTGGTTAATTCATTTGCCATCGGAAATGTGATGCTTGTATTTGCAAACCCAGAAACCATGCATCTAAGATTCGATTGCATCTGTAATATTTCTTGTTGCAGACTTTGATTTTCTTTAGTCAAAATCTCTTTTTCTTTCTTAGTGATTTGCAATTTATTCATTAGAATCTTAATTTTGCTCTTTAATTCATCCTGCGTCCCATCCAAGTAGTCAGGAGGTCTTGAGAAATTCTCTTTGACATAATTATTCTTCATTTTTAAATGATGCTGTTAAAAAGTATATTATATATTTTAAATTTAAATAAAGAAAGCAGTTAATAACAATGGCCTTATTAAAGGACGATACAGCATTCACTCATGTAATTGCAATAGATTTTGGGACAGGAGCATCAGGGTATAAATAAAGTTAATTTAGATTTGGATTAGCTCCAAAAGTTTTGGATAAGGAGGGCAAACCAAGAATTGAGGTATTTAATCCTTGCGATGATTCAGATGATCAAAAAACCCCAACAGCCATTTTATTTGATAACAATGGTTAATTTATTGAATTCGGATCACAAGCTCTTTAAAAATATGCCAGTATATTAGATGATGGTGATTCAGCATATCTGTTTTAAAATGTAATTTAACATATAAAATCATTAGTATAAAATGCATTTATATCATATGCACAATCAAGCAAGGTCACTTGATAATAGAGAGTTGCCTTTAATGTTATTGATCAAGGAAACTCTGAAATACATAAGCAATAAAGCAATATAAAAATTAAAGGAGCAAGTGGGGAAGGTGATATCTACTAAAATTAGATGGGTGTTGACAGTTCCTGCATTATGGAGTGAAGAACATAAACAATTTATGAGAAAAGCAGCAGTGGAAGCAGGGATTGTAGAAAATCTTAATTCTCCTAATTTATTATTGTGTTTAGAACCAGAAGGTGCATCAATATAATGCAGAGAAGATGCTGAACATACACTAAAAGAATAAATGGGCAAGAATTCTGTGGTTATGGTACTTGATTGTGGAGGTGGCACAGTGGATATCACAGTTCATAAGTTATTATGTGAACCTAATGAGAAATTCTTATGCAATGAGTTGATTCCATCTTCAGGAGGATGTGAATGGGGATCAAAATATGTAGATCTCTATTTTGAAGAATTCTTAAAAGAATTTCTGGGGGATAAACTATTTCGATGTTATTAATAGAATGCAATAGCAAGATTGGATATATTGAGAGATTTTGAAATTCTAAAGAGGAAGTTTAAAGGGAATAAGGATGAAAGATGCATGATTAAATTCTCATATTTGGGTGAAGAATTGAATACTGCCAAATTAACACAATTAGTTAAAGAACACAATTCAAGACATGCTGCAGAATATTAAGTTAAATTGAAAGGTCTTTCAAACGTAGAAATTCCATCAGCTTTAATGGCATCATTCTTTTAGACTCTCTTTGAAAACATAAAAAACAAAGTTGCTCAACTCTTGTAATAAGTTGAACAGAAAAAGGAGAAGGTGAATTTCATTTTTATGGTTGGAGGATTCAGTGAATCTCCATTTTTGAAATCAGAAATCATAAAAAGATTTGAGAATAATGCAATTCAAATTTTGGTACCTAGACGCCCTTAGGTTTCAGTAATTAGAGGGGCATGTCTATTTGGTTTGAGTCCAAGATCAATTACAAGTAGAATAGCCAAAAAGACATATGGAATCAATACTTTAACAACCTTTGATGCAGAGAGACATCCAATAAAAAAGAAGGTTATTATTGAAGGAGAAGAATTTAGTGAAGATGTATTTGATGCATTTGTGAGAAAAGGGGATGCTGTTGGGTATATTATGTATATCATTCTTTAGTTGTGATGAAGTACACACTAAAATATATTGTCCAGTGAGATCAAGATAAACTATAATGAGAATAATCTTTTATGTGACTGAAAAGAGAGAAGTAGAATTTGTTGACGAATAAGGAGTTCAATAATTAGGGGAATTGTGTATTGATATTGGGAAACCACTCTAATCTGTTGAGGATAAAACCGTTAAGGTTACACTTCTGTTTGGCAATACTTGTATTTATGCTACTGCTACAAATAAGGATGGGACAGAAATTAAAAACTGCGAATTCAAATTCGAATGTGGATAATGATAATTCTTAATTAATGAATATTCTAATATATTATTTCATTTTCCAAATAATATTATAAAATTAGTTTTTAAATTAAATCGTTAATGGACACTACTCAACTAAAAACTAAAGTTCTCTATGAGTATACTAAGAAAAACAAATAACTATTGGACGAATGGTCAGAAAAGACAGTGTAGGCATTCTTAGAACAAACTAGAAAATTCACAGAAGAAATGTATTCAGGAAATCTAACCATGGTCGATGATGGTTACAATGATACATAAGAGCAATTACAAATACTTGAGAACTTATTTAAGAGTATATGAATCAAATTGAAATTAGATTTTACAAAAACAAAAGGCGATATTCATCACAAATTGAGAATTTCATATTCAATAGCTAGAAGGTTGTATATGGAAAATTTATAAAAAAGAGTCTTCTAAGCACTCAGACAATAAACAAAATACTAATTGTATATTCGCAGGATGAAGATTTTTGCAGCTAATTATTCAAAGTAATAATTAATTAGAATAACTTAGATTGAGAGTGCCAAGGTAAATATTTACTAGTTGGAGAAAATAAGCTCGTAATAAGACTAGACAAGAAATTCTCCATTAAGTTAATAGGAAAACTGATAATGAAATACTGTAAATGTAGAAGGAATATGAATAGTTGATTGCATAATTAGAAAATGTATTGGAGAAGAAGTTGATTGAATTGAAAGTAGAAGAAGAATAACACAAAGAATTAGTATTAAGATATGATGGCATTGTTGAAAAGCGCACAGCCATTAAACACTGATAATTATATTTTTTATTAAAATTCGACATATTAAATTCAAAGAAAATGTAATCATAGAATTTAAATTGCACTTATAAATATGTATAAAATAATTTTCATTTTTATTTATGATGGTTACACCATTCACACCAACATTGTTTAGTTTATTCTCTTAATTATTTTCGTCTATTGTTTATTTCTTATAAATGTTCTTTTTATAAGAATTCTAATTCCTTTCTTGTTTACGGAGAAACTGATGGGCTACCTTACCAACCAAAAGACTTCAACAGATTTTTCTCACTGATGGAGGGAGAAATAGATCTTCGAGAGGATTCTTGTAGATAGTTTGTAAGAATTGATCCATCTGTACATAATTATTGTTCCTTTCTCTTCTTCTTCTTCAATTATCTCTTCTTTTTCTATTTATCCTTCTATTCATCTACTTTTTTTAAGTACTACTCCAACTCTTCCAATTAGGATTTCTGCTCTCCCTTTATTTTACTATAATTTTCCAATCTTCTTTTGAATATTTCCCCTATTTATTGATAGAAAATATATTTAATAATTTCTTAAGTTTGTCTTTCTCTGTAGAGAGATGACAACCTATCTTTTATTAATAGTCCAATACAAATTAGTAATTCCTCTTAGGCATCCTCTTTTGTTGAAGCATGCTAATAAAATGGTTGTATTTGCGCCTTGTTCAATAATGCATTCAATAAGATAGGCTGAGAATATAAGATAATCAATACATCATATGGAATATGGATTTCACATTTCAAGTGATCATATTTTATAAAACAAATAATACTGCATGCACAGTCAGGTTAAGGGACTTGTAATTTAAAATGCTTTAAAGTTGCCTAAATATTTTCTTTACAAGACGGACAGAATTTTTTAGTTTTCAAATAATTCTAAATCCAATTAATTTGTGATTACTTATAAATGATAATCAAATTCTCTATCTTAGATAATACAATTTTCATTTTGGTCCACAATTTCATTGCATATATAATGAACATGTTCTTAGATGTTGATTTCTGTATTTTACTTCAATGAGTGCAATTAACACCTCTTCTTATTGTTTTGAGGAGCTGACTTTTTGAAAATACTCGATATTATAGTTTTTATTGATTCTCCAAAACTTTATAATTTTGCAAAGGTCTTGAATATCCTTTGAGAATTGATCAGATCATCATTTAATTTTATGTCTTGGTCTATGCTAATGAACTAGTCTTTCCTTTTTTGGGTAATGAAATCTTTAAGGGCTGATATGCAACCAGAACATTCTAGATTGATTTACTCAAGGAATTCAGATTTTGATATCTAAAGGCATTCTTTCATTTCTGTATTTGATAATTTTCGTGATTCCTTGGGTTAATACATTTAAATACCATGCCCTATAATGGTTTTAAGAAAATATTTTAAATTAAAATTTATGATTGTCACTTCAAATATAGTGAATGATCTGAACACTGCATTCCAACTCATTAATATGGGCACTAATGACAAAATAAGACAAGGAGAGCAACTGTTATAACAAATAAGAGGTGATATACAATATCCCAAAGTGTTATTTGATTATTTCCAAGCTTACGAAATAAGTCTAGGGCTTCGAGCGGCAATCGAATTAAAATTATGGTTTAAGGAATATCGTAATTTTGATGACTACTAAGCTCAATACGTACAAACTGTAGTGTAAACCATCAAACAACACATAATCAGAGCTTACATTGTGTCTGAAGCACCATTGATTCATTAATTAAAAGATGCAATTGTTTATGTAGCTTCAAGAGACTTTCCTACTTAATGGCCTACTCTTATGGCTGATTTAAATCAATTCCTAACCCATCCAGATTATGTATACAAAACAGTGAAACTCATATACAAATTGACTGAAAAATATGTTTATCAATCAAGGAGTGATCCTCTCTATGAAGAAATCATTATAACATGCGACACAATTCATCACAATTTATTATTGTTGGCTAAATCATTGATACAATAAATAGAAGCCCTTCAAAATCTCAAATTATCATATGAAATTCTGAAGACATTACTAAAAGTGTTTTACAATTTAAATTTTTAAGTAATTTAAAATAATAATTATCTAGGACTTGCATCCCCATTTCGAAGATAATCTCCAATCCTGGATGGAATTTATGAAGGTCGTATTACGTCTCTAACCAGTCTAAGGAGTTGAGCAATTCCTGTTCAAATGTAAGGGTGAGGCCCTTAGATGCGTTCTATTGTATGCAATGAAATATCGCGATGATTTCGGAGATCTGATCCAAGTGTTTTCAAGTGAAATCTGGAATGTTTGCACTTAGACTAGCACTGGAAGAGATAGTGACAAGGTTGCGTAAATCAAATAAATTTTAGATTGTTTTATGTGCTCTCAGATATTTCAAGACCTTGATTGCTTGGTAGGACATGAAGGCCTTTTTTGAGTAGAACATCAAAATTCTAATAGAGAGTCTAATTATAAGGAATCTGTCTTTGTCCAGTAATTAAGTCTTAATATTCATTATTAGAGGATGAAATCGGAATGTTTTCAGATGAGCCATAAGAATTCATTGAGAAGTTTTTCGAATAAAGTGACTTAGAATCGAGAAGGGCTTAAGCTGTGGAACTCTTCAAGACAGTTACTAAACACTTTAATCAATAGGTCAATCTCATCATTCAAGAATATCTGTAATGACTTATATCATATTTATTAAATAGTTAGGCCTACATTCAATCAGGAATGAATGGAATCGATAATGAAATAATTCTCATTAATTTAATTATTGAAGCCAGTACAAGTTCATTTACTTCAAAAGATGGAACAATAGATATCATTTTATCACAAGAAAATGTTCTTGGTTTTTATACTCACTGTTTGAAGCCTAAACTTGGATAGATATTTGAAATGCAATAGTAGAATTAATCAGTTGAATCTAAGTTCACTCCTATTTAATTAGCATTCTATTGCAGGTACTTATTCTATTTCAGAAATGTGATTGATAAAGTTGAATTACCTACTCTTGCTACTCTAGTGTCAAAACTATAATTAAGCAAGAAGACTACTTTATCAAACATTGCTTGCTATACAGCATATTCATTAATCAATGTTAGATAGGATGTCAAAAATTATGCTAATCATTAATTATACTTTGAGAATGTCAACATTTCCCAATATTTGCAATTGATTCTGACTGATTGCTATAACAATATTAAATAATAATAGAAATTAGAAACATATAGTTTGAAACTTGCTAATTCACTGATTACTTTATTGAAGTCAGAGATTTTCAATGCAATTGCTGCATTATGCAATTTACTCTAAGATCTACTGAAGAACATCAAGTTGGAATATGAATTTTAGAATGTTCATTTGGTGTTTGAGATAATAGCAAGTGTGGTTGATGTGTGTATTACAGCCAAGAATTCTGAAGCTGCCAATTAATTACAATAAAGTATTTTGAATCAATTAGATGAATTGCTCAGAGAAAACAAGGGAGATGTAACCAATTTTGTCTTACAAATTTATTCACTCTTCTTGTAGGTCCAAACTAATGCATCATCCTATTATCAAAATCTATTACAGAACTTCCTTGAAATTTAAAATTGGAATGAGTCTAACTCTTCCTTGTTTCAAGCATATATCATATTCTTTTAATTTGGATTCTAAGGAACTAATTTACCAACACCTTAATTATAAGCAATTCTAAAATCGATTGTAGCTCACAGTACACCATCGTACACTGAACTATCTAAATTCCTTATTAAATCTAATTCATAATGGACAAATATAGTTTTAACTATCATTTTTGAGTAATACCAAATTCAATAGCAAACCTAACCGTAAATATCTTCAAAATCAAAGGCAACCCATTTGAGTTAAAGATTGATCAATAAAGAAGTATTTCTACTATTAGCTCATGTCTTTACATCTTATGGAGTAGAAGTGCTTGTCAACGAATGCTCTAAGATATCTCCTCAATTACTCGAGAGCTTTTTAATAAATGAGTTAGGCATTATAAAATCTATTTCTTAAAGGAATGAGAGAAAATTAATATTCACTATGTTAATTGCTATATTGTTTTCTGGATCGTATATTATTCATATTTATACTTTAGATTCTTGACTTAATAATCATGGAATCTTGTCTTCTAGGCAATGGTTGAAAACATCACACTCAAAAAAAGAAATCCACTTAAATTTATGGGAAGAGTAACTGATAGAGAAGTGACATCAAGTTCTGGATTCCAACCTTTGAAACCTGTTATTGCTAGGAATGTAATATTACATATTAAAATAAAAGACTACTGATAAAATACTGAATGATGAAGATAAATTGTTTAGTGCCTAATTCAAAACCTATTATAGCAATCCGATTGTCTAATAGTAATTGCCAATTCAATAATTATTAAATCAATAACAATAAGAGTTATTAAGTAGTTTAATACAATCTGTTTGAGTATGATATCAATAATTTATAATTAATATCAAATTTCTAAGTTTATTCATAATATTTACTGATTCACTTATTTGTCACAATAATCAACACCTAATGGGAAGAATATGCAATAGATTAATTTGAAGATAAAAAATAATCATATTCTTTAGGCAAATTACTTATTATAACGTAATTTTGTAAATTTAATATTTTTATAATGAATTTAACTAATCTTGATTAAGCAATCTAATAATTTGAAAGTTCCGATTAGACCAAATAAGGTTTAAACATTACAGACATTGAATGTAAATCAGAATAGAAATTTGATTCATTGTAATAAATAATAAAATTTTAGAGACAATGTTTAGAATAATAAACGATTATAGTAATCTCCAAAAGAACAATCAAAATTGAATAAACAAAATAATCAGGCAAATGCATTTTAATAAGTGAATGAAAATGTAGAAGAAAATAATTCTTAAAATTTAGAATAAAATTTTTATGGTTTTTTTGGAGTTGATAACTAGAATGTTACCAATCATCCAAATTTTGTTGATTAAAGAAATAAATTGTTTGCTAGTGTCTAATAAGTTATTGATATGCAAAGACTTTTTGAAATTGAAAAGTAATTTGTAAATATGACTTAGAAATGAATTAGTATAAAGGATTGCATAACAAAAAGTTCGTGATGAACTTAATTTAAGATAAAAATTAGCTGAATATGAATAAAATGTAAACTAATTTGTGGTTCAAAGAAACGAATTCGAAAAGAAATTATTAGAAACCCAACAATTATTTAAATTATCAAGTGTTATTGATTAAAGTGATAATCACTAAGACATTATTATGAAATTAATTTAAGAAAATTAGGCACTATCTATTAATTCTAGCAATATAATTAAAGAACAAAAAGTTAAATAAAATGATTTAGAATAAAAAATTGTTCATCTGATATAATAATTACAATAAAATCATATTTAAAAAGAGAATTTTCGGATGAAATATATAAATTTGAAATAAAATTGTAGGAAGAAGATAAATTAAATAAAATCATCAATAAACCAATTAATTGAGATTAAATAATCTTTCAAATTTCAATTTAATAGGATACATAATTTTAACAATTAAATCTTGGAATAATTATAAGTATTTATAGGTTAAAGAAAAGAACTTGAAGAAATGGAAAGACTAAATTAGTCAAATCTCAAGTTAATAAAATAGTTGACACATTCTTAATATTAATTACTTTAAGAAAAATAATAATTTCATAAGATTTTATCCTTATAATAGACTGAATTTTAGCTACTCCAATCTTAATCTAGAGAAATGTAATTACAACACCAAGTAGATTCAGAATAATTAAAATAACTTATTAAGTATTAGAAATCTCATTTAGAGAATTAAAATAATAATAATAAATTTTTTGATAAAAAAATTATAGATGAAACCAATGATTGTGAGGCTAAAAGTGAGTATGCAGATGAGAATAATAGTGTGAATAATAATAATGATGAATAAGGAGTTGATTATTAAAATGCAAAGGATTAAGAATTGTTATCAGAAGAACCAGCAAATGAGTCTATTGAAAATAATAATAACGAAATTTAATAGTAAAACATATATTTAGAGGGAGAGAGTTAGATAGAAGATGACAGTACAAAGAAGGAAAATATACTATCTTTAAAATTATCAGATCTTAACTTTGAGTTGTAAGGATAAACCAGAACTTAATAAACTCAATTGATTAAAATGTAAGACTTATAAGACTAATAAAAATAAAAAGATGATAATGATTAAGATACACCAGATATATAATTTGATGATGATTTGAATGATGTGTTAGTATAAATCAACACTGATCAAGCCATAAAATAGGCTATTTAGAAGGAAGAAACACCTTTGGATAATAATATTATTGATTTTGATTAGGTTGGTTAATAATAAGAAGAAAACAATTAATTATCGGGATGGGACTTTGAAGGCATCTGAATAATTGAAATCTATATTAAATTGTATATATAATTTTCATTCAAAAATACAATCCTAATGCTAAAAAACTAAACAATGTTCCAGAGGATAAAAATAATGAAGCAAATAATCCTACTGATAATTCTTTAGTCAATGATCTTTATTATTTATTCTATGTAATTTGGTATCTAAGGTAATTAAATGGCTGTACATGACAAAATACGATAGGAAACAGAATCCAATAAAGGTTAGTACGATCGCCAAATTACTATAATGCTTTGTATCGATTGGAGGTGAATACGCTTAATATCCCATATTTATAAAATAAATATTATTATATTTACAGAAATAATCATGTCTAATTTTTATCAGGAATTAATCAAATCTACATTTTTTTTATTTTCCAATATTATTATCAAATCCTGAATTTATTTAGTCATGAACTCTCAGCCCTTTTACTTTGAGACGGCATTTACAATTTAAAAAGATCTTACTGAAGAGTATAGCGAGGATAAGATTCAAATAAAATCCAACATTAAATAACTATTAAATTAATTAAAGTCTGATCAAGATAAAACCCTAAACATTCTTGGACTCTACGGATACTAAGAAACAATAATAAATTATGTGACAACAAGATACAATGTTAATCTTTAATTAGATGTTGAACTATAAAATCATACTTAAGCCTGCATTGGGATGATTAAATTGGATAGTTTATTAGTGTTCTGTTATCTAATACCTGAGAATAAAAAGGTTGATTAAGTTGTGGAATCAGTAGAAACTACTTTATTTAGGTATATAATTAATTTGAAATAGAATTTTAATTGATTTATGCTAAAACATAATTATCTTACCAACTGAGAAAATACTTCAGAAATGGATTCCAATTAAGGATAGTCAACTCTTAAGGAACAAAATGTAGAATTATTAATCAGAAGAAATTGATTCAAATAGTTGTCGCTGTGTTCAAGTATAGTAGAAATTAGCCATAAAACAATTCTAAAACTATAACTTGTATTATAAGAATTCATAGAACTCTATACTATTTTTTGATCTTAAATAGGAGGAATATTCTAAATTAGTGGAAATCTATTATTAAGATTAAGTGAAGAACATCATGTTGTTTGGGAGATTAAACGAGGAATTAGAATTCCCGAATCCAATCTTAGAAAGAAAATATGTTTAAAAAATAAATAAAGATGTGGTGTTTTCTATGACTCATTATTTCTCGCATTTCAAAGATAGTGTTGAGACTGGTTTATATGAATAATTGCAGTTGAAGTTTTCACCTTAAGAGTTCGACTTTTTAAAATTGGTTAAATTCTTCTTAAATCATGCTTTTAGAAAACTCAACTCATTCAAAGATAATACTGAAGTGCTGAAGGGTCCGGAATTGATCAAAGAGGTCAAGACATCCAACATTCGAATGAAATCAAAGGAATTATTAGCAAAATTGATCAGAATTGTGATTAAGTATATCAATAGAGAGTTTTCAAAGATGCAGGACTTTGTGAACAGAAAGATTAAGTGGATAATGGAGAAGATTGAGATAGAACAAGGAGTAGGTCAAGAATTCATTGTGGAGATGAAACTATAGAGATTTAAGATTTTTAGAAACATGGACAATACATTTAAGAAGATTGAATTTTTGGACAAAGACTTGAACATTTCAAAGGAGAAGGAAACTAAATTCTAATAATAAAATTATCATAGTTATTAATTGATTGACTTCTTTTAATTGTATAATTTAAATGAAGGAAAGTAGAGTGACTATCTATTGATAATGAAATGTATCATGGTTGAATCTAGGAAAAATTGTTATCATGTATATCTATTATAAGAAAACAGGAAGCCTGTCTTGGTTGTAATTTACACTGACTTAAATAATCCTTATTTTTATTATGCCTTAGAGTAATAAACCTTATATTAGTTTAATTTGCCTAAGAGGATTGTGATTTCCACGTTGAATAAGGATAAGGAATGTATAGACACAGAAAGAGTGATAGAATTGGAAGAGACAATCTATATAATATAATACAGTTATTCTGAGGAGTATGAATGTTTTTTATTGTTGTCAGATGATAAGAAAGTCTACAAATGGTCAGCCAATGATTAAGAATTTACTCAATAATAGTAGAGTTATCAAGATGAGGAGGGATTTGTCTATGAAAAGGAATTTGATGCTGATTACTACAACTTAATCGTATGTGGATCAGGCAAGTTTTACCTATTATTTAAACTGCAATCAGTAGATATATATGATTTTAATAATACAAGAATTTCATCAATATAATTTAGATCAATATATTAAATAGATTAGATTTACATATTTAGTGATCAATATGATAGTTTTATCCTTTTGTCTAAAAATGAAGATGAATAGGAACTCTATCAATTGGAAAACTTTAATAAAAAGAGTAAATTGACTGGCAATCAGAACTATCATATGCAATCCTCCAATTATATTTTGGACTTAATCAAATAATCTTTTGTAGTGTATGGCAAGAACTCAAGCATGTTAGATGTTGTTGATACTCTAAGTAACTTTTATTGCTCATAAAAATGCGGAGAAATTATTTAGGATTGTTTTTACAAAATTCAATTGTAGAAATATTCAACATTACATATATAGGAAGTGTTTGAGATACAAAGTGTAAATTCAAGAGCGTTGCTTAATGTATTGTCATCAAGAGTGCCAATCTAATTATGCACATTTGAATTTAAGAGATTGATAGTGTTAAGTGACGGATTGAATAAATTAAATTAAAATTTTGATTGTATTTAGATTGATAGATAGTTGAAATAGATATCCTTTGGAATGATAGAGGAATTGTTAGATGATTACAAGAAGCCTATTTATGTAGTGAGTATTTTGGGTAAGCAATCTGGCGGTAAGAGTTATTTGCTAAATTAAATATTTGGTATTAGATTTGGAGTTTCATCAGCTAGGTGTACAGATGGGATTTGGTGTAGTTAAATTTAATTGTAAGGACATCAATTTCTAATATTGGATTGTGAAGGATTGTTTGGATAAAGGAGAAATAATGTAGAGGAAATAACTCTATTGTCTTTTCTAACAGCAATAAGTGATTTGACAATATTCAACCAATGTTCTTCTTATGATAGACATTTGAATGAGCTCTTTGATAATTTAATAGAAGCAAATACTAGATTGAAAGGCAATCAATTATTCAAAAGTAGACTAATGATTTTGGTGAGAGACATTTACCAAGCAAGTTCATAAAATGCTCAATTGGAATTAGATGGTCAAATGGATTCCATACTTAATTCATCTAATAATGAATTGCTTAAGTAATTGTTGAAGAATGGAGTGAGTGCTCAACTAATGAGTTATTTTGAATTAGAATAGTTTGATAGAGATGTAAATCAAATCAGAGAGTAAATACTAGAAAATGCAAAAAATACTGTTAGATGGTAGGATGCTTAGTCACTATTTACATCAATGAAGATCACCTTACTATAGTTGTCTGTAAAAGACACTAGAAATGTTTAGGATTATGAGTTGAACTATTAAATACATAAGTTAAAACAATAATCAAATATCTATTGGTTGGAATTGCCTCAATATATAATTAAGAAGGAGGATGCCAACAATATATCATAATAAATAGTATTAACATAGACGATTGAAGATAATTTCAGCTAGTTGTTGGAGTAAGCATAAAATATCTTAAGAGATAATCATGAATAGGACGCTGGTTTTATGCAAAAGTTTACGAAGGTGGATAAGTTGATTTAGTCATTTACAAATAAAAGAATTAGTTATATCATTAGTATTATATCAAAGGAGATAGAATAAAGATTACTCCCAATATATGAGTTAGATAGAGATATGAAGTAGAATATCTTATTAGATTGTGAAAATGAGTTAAAATAGCATTTACATATTTATAAGTTATGTGGATAAACATGTAGTAAGTGTTATGCATTATGTACTCAATATAATGGACATTTAAGCAAGAATGGAATTAAGATTGAGAAGGTGAGAGCTATTATTTAGAAAAAGAAATCGAAGATTCAAATGATCTAGAAACAATTAGATTTAGAAGATGGAGCAGATTTGGAGTAATTTGAGGCAGCAGAAAGACTAAGTTTATAAGAATTGTAGGTAAGTCTATCCAGGATTAAGGGAGATCGTACTATGGTTTAGAGGGCGACAGCTTTGAAGGAAATACAATAGAAGATATATAATGTAGAAGGAAGGATCAAGAAATTAAAAAATATGATAGAGTTATAGGAGAGTGTAAATAATGAATAAGAGTAGATTTAGTAATTTAATAAGTAACATATCTGTTGGAGTGAGACTCATTTATGTGAAGAGAAAAACTGTGAATTATTACAATCCCATTTTGGAGAGCATTTTTCTAAAAGTTTAAATGATGATTAATGTGATAAAGAATGCATATTATGTTAGAATCAATGTATACTGAGGAATGGTCATTCCAATAATTCATTGCATTATTGTTATAGTAAACATGTATGTTAAGAGACTTGCCTATATTGTGCAGAGTAATGTACTCAAGATCCTTTTGTGGAACATAAACATATGTGCAATTTGAGATATTGCAATAAATCATGTTCATTGGGTTGTTAAAGACAGTGTTCAAAGTAACACTCTCATGAATTAGAGAATGAGCACTTTTGCAATTGTCATCATTAATGTGATAAATTATGCAATTTGCCTGGGATTTGCACAGTAGATGGTTATGTGAAGAGAGTGAAAATGTGGAAGTCTAATGCAGGTTCCTTATATGGATAGACTACTTATGAGTAGGTCAGAAGGAAAGAAAAGTGTTTTAAATTAATTCCAATAGGGGAAAACAGCCATGATTTAGGACATGCTTGTTCAAATAGGAAACACTTATGTGATTAACAATGTCCTGGATGTAAAGCGTATTGTTATTTAGAATCTGGTCACACAAACCTTCATCATACTATATATCATAATGTGATTGAGCCTTAATAATCATGCTTTAAGTTGGATGAGAAGGATGAAAATATCTAGTATTGTAGACCTGAAACATGTGATGAATACTGTATTCGACTAGGTAGAGGACATAGCCATGCAGTAGAATGTGTTGATGAGTTTCTTTGTTATCAACAACAACTAAATAAGTCTTCCAGATATTACAAGGCTGTCCATGTTTCAGATAACCTAGATCATGTTCTCTGCAAATAGTTTTGGGAAATTCTAGGCTGGGAATAACCAGTCAGAGGTAGTAAAAGAATGGAGATCTCAAAATGCAATGCCAAATGTTAGACATGCAACAAATTCTGTAATTATTTGGCATGGCATGATAAAGGTATGAGTATTATGAATCACAAATTTGAATGCTACAATTCTCATTAAATTAAATCAATCAATATTGCTTTGATTGTCGATTGGACAGATGAACAGAATATCCAAATCGCAATCAAATTGTTGTCTATGTGTAATAGTATCAAGGGAGAATTTAATTCAGGCAAGACCAAATTCGCAATCATTTTGTATCATGATCATCATCCTCATAAGGAAATCTCCTCTCCAACATTCATTCTTAGTGATTTCACAGATTCTGCTACTCTACTATCAAAACTTAAGGATGTCAAACCAAAAAAGGCCACTGCCATATCTGATTATCCTAATGCTGTGCTTGATGGACTGCATGAATAATCATAATTGTCTTGGTCCACTAAAAATTCTCAGAAAATAGTTATTTTATTAACATAAGCTCCTCCTCATGGTCACTCTAAATATCACAGTTTTGATGATAATTATCCCAAAGGATGTCCTTGCAAACTGAAAGAAGTGGATATCTTGAAAAACTATAGAATGAAATAAATTCATTTGATTATTCCTGAACTCAGTAGCCATCTAAATTTAATGATCAAACTCTTTTAGAGCTATTTACCTAGTTTACATTCCATCAATACAAATAAAAATATGGCAGAAACTATTATCAAATATTTATTCAAATATCTTTAAATTTCCTAATAAAGCAAAGTCTGATTGATGCCATCAACATAATATTATAATTTATTTTATATGTTCTGCTTATCGCAATTTATTTAATATATATATACGAAATTCATTAAAACATTTAATAATAATACTATATCATAAATATTTCTTGTCATCCTCCTCTAACCCTTTCTCATTTTACAATCTGAACACCTCCTTAACACTTGCTATCTAATCCAATCCCAATAAATTTTGTCTCTCAAAAATTTGTTTGCTTGTCTCTTGCATGGCCTTTATACTTGCCCTTAAATTGTGATTAGCCCATATTGCTAAACTTACATCTACAAATCAATGCCACATCCTTACTGTTTTTTCTAAATTCCTCAGTTGGAGTCTTGTAATAATTTGTTGGAACCAACACAACTGGCAATCGATTATTCCAAGCCTTTAAAAATTACTCGATTTCTGTAAAATCACTTTTCTTACTGTGAATCAAAACAGCATCAACCCCAGCCTTTCTGTAAGCTTCGCATCTCTCTAAGGCATTCTCCAAACCCCATCCAGCAATGAATGCTTCACATCTAGCCACTATCTAAAAGTCTTTATCCCTCTAATGGTCTTTGCATGCCTAAAAATAAAGGAAATTCATAACCTTAATCTTATTTGAAAATTCCTAAATGTTTGCCAATTCTTAGGCCCCATCACCTAATGAGTTTCTTTTGGGGAAGATCTTATCTTCAAAACACACTCCTGCAATTCCTCTTTCTTCCAATTTTCTCACTAATCTTCTTGCATTATTGTAATTTCCAAATCCTGTATCACCATCCATTAAAATTGGAATCGTAGTTCTTTCTGCCATGAATTCTAAGACTTCCAACAATTAAGTCCAAGAAGCCTCATTACAATCTCTTACTCCCAATTATGCTGACATTGATAATCCTGAAGCCCAAATGCCCTTAAAACCTGCTTCTTGCACTATAAGAGCTGATAGTCCATTATGAGCTTCCATGATAAACTCCAATTCTTTTGATTATATCAAATGCTTGAGTTTGGTTGTTCTTTTGGAAAACAATAATGAGGGCCTAAGAAGAAATTTGAACATCTAATTAAAATTTAATTTTGTATAAATTTCATTTTATTTTCTTCTATTTAATTAATTTCTTAGATTAGATCTTGATTTAATTGACCACACAATCGTAGTTGTTCATCGGCTTGAATTGCTAATAGATTCCTATCTAATCAATGTCAAAATTGTCTTTCACATCATATCTAAATATCACATTATCTAAATCACTATAATGTTGATTCTATCTAGAAGACAAAGCAGAATAAGATCTTGAATTTGATCCAGAAATTGATTTCTTCTTCTAAATATCTGGACTCACAGTACTTGTAATAGTGTTGGTCTACTTCTGAGTCATCCTTCGTGGACCAGTATAAGTATTGTTTTATCCATCCCTTCTTTAGATGTCATCGATGCTCGAAATACCAACTGAACTTATAGATATGGCTGATGCATAGGGTACATTCATCTACGGAATGTTTAATTAAGAATCTCTTTCTTCTGAAACTACAGGTAACTGAGTGGGACCACTAGGAATATAATTAGTGGATGATCTAAATTAAGGTCTCATCATTGCTTGATATTCTGGCTAAGGTTAAGGTAGAGTTTGTTTATTGTTTTGTTCATGATAGAAAGGGTCATATGAGAATGTTAATTTTGGCTAGGCATTCCTATTATTTGCAATTAAGAACTGGTTTGTGCCTAAAGGACTTTGAACATATGTTTTTGATTAGTATGGTATTTGTTATTATACTTATTGTTATTATTATTATTAGTTTTGCTATTACTATTTTACTTGTTGACTCTTTTGACTTTGGTACGTTTGTCCACTCGAAGATTTGAAGGTATTGCTATTCTAAGTAAATTATTTGTGTTATAGTGGGATGTTAATTGCATCTCCAAAATATAGGTCTTCATTTTGAAATCCTGCTGTTTATATGGTTTATTTGACTGCTTAATGACGATTAATATCCTATTACTGTTACCATTATTATTGATAATATTATAACTATTCTTCATTGTCTATATGATCATGATAGATAATATCTCTTAAAGTTTGACCTGACACTACTTCAACACTCTTCTTAAATTAGATCAAATTCTTACCCTTGATGGATTTGTCAGGTCTTTATAAGAAAGATGTCCTTAATAAACTTCCTCTTCGTCCTCTTCCTCATATTCCTGATCTCCTCTTTCATAGCCCTCAGCATCCCCCATTACAATCCCATAATTTCGTTTTAGTCTTCTTCCACAACTTCTAACCAATTTGAAATTATAGAGGGAATTCACTCTCTGATCCCATTTCCTATCAAACTTTTTTCTCTTCTAAGGCATTGTATACAAATGTCTACTGATAACTAGATTCTTATTCAAACTAATATGAACTCTATTACATAAAGAACTCAGATGCTAATATGATCCACAGACATAACAGTGTTGTAGGAGTAGTTCAACTCTATTCATAAATAATACTTCATTTTTTATAGAATGAAAGGTTTCCAAATCGCAATTGATTTTTTTAATGGTTTCTAAAAATTTGGTATGATTTATTTATATCAGGATTGAATTTCCTTTACTTCTCATAGTTAAATTGTGTCCTTGATTCATTATAAGGTTTTCGATTCCAAAAGCTTAATTCATTGGAAGACTTTGGAGGTATGTATTGTTATCATATATTCCCATCTCACCTTATAAGACAACGTAAACGTATTCATCTTGTTGTCCTTTTTCTACAATAACTTCATTGGGCTTGCAAAATTTTAATACTGATTCAAATGCTATTTCATCGATTGATTATTTAGAGAAATATTGAGTAAAGAATTCAATTTCATGGAGTTTCTTACTCTTGATTAAGAAGAATAATGGTTTTTAAATATTGATTGGTAATTACTGCATTAAATTGTTAACCTATTTTATTAGATATACATAAGTTACAGTTTGCAATTCATTAGAATGAACATTTGAAATCAATATATCTTGAGCTTCATCTATCAGATTTTGATCAACCTTATTTACCTTCAAAAAATCAATGAATAGTTCTTATCTAAGTGAATATAAATAATGGATATGTACTCGTTAGTTGAAAATGAGAATTTCACAAAAATTGAAATGAAAAGTATCTAAAAATAAAAGGATATGATTTAAAAAGCCACACTGATAATCTTGTTGCTGTAGCCTTCTATTTGGGCATCAACTGCAGTAAATGGTAACTTTCTATTTATAGTGAATATTATACACAATTATTTATTGTCCAAATAATGGAATCCAAGTATGTGTTGTCATTATCATTTATCAATAACCAAAAATTAGCGAAATAATTGATATATATTAAGAGTATGATTGCAAGTGTACATTTGCTCCACTAAAATTAATATTAAACACCACTCAAGGATAATATCATTAAGACTATTTTACCCTATTGATTTATATCAAAATTTAACAAAAGTGTACTTGCTATGTAAATGAAGTTACAAACTACATTTAATTTAACCAATTTTATTTTGAGTAACTAATCAATAAATTCAATCACCAAAAATAAAATTATTAAACCTTGAATCCATTGATCTATATACAGAGTTCCAGCCTGAATTGGCACAGTTAAAAGTGATAGTAATCTAATATAATGAAATGATTGTCTCATATATGAAATATACTATGATTATAATCTAACCTCATCTTGAAGATAGGTTTCTTTAAGGTAAGAATACTTATTGTTAATTTGATCCCAAATATTGGCATTTCTTTTTAGTTTCACCAAAAATGTCCTGAGTATTTATTGTAAATCAGTTTGTTTTGGCAATCCACTTAGCTCTTTCCACTTCAGTTGATAATATTATTTTGTAGTAGCAGTGTACTGATGCACACTCAGATTATGATCACTCTAATCTCTTTGTCTAGGATTGAAATTAGAAAACTAAGAGAGTCTTGATTTCCGTTTCTGACTATAGATGGTGGGATCTTTGACTTCTCCACTATCACTCAGTCTTTTTCTGGATAAGTCTGAAAATTCAATTCTGAAATTTCTCAAGCCATCCTCATTCATTACCGGAGATGTATGACTATGACTCTAGCTTTGACTCATTTCACCCAAATTAGTTCGAGATTTTCTTAATAATCTCTAAGACATTTATATTATAATTAATATATAAGTTTATTTTAACTGCTTTTGACACATAATATTTAAAATTAAATAACATTTCAGACTTTGTATTTCTAATGGTTTCTCTGCTCTTCTAAATCCGCTATGTCATTGATTTATTATAATATGAAACTACCATCGATTCTAGGATGTTTTGTTTGCAAGTAATTGAGTAATTTATCAGTTTTCTATAAACCTATTATGATACAATACATTAAATTTAATCTAAGATCGTAAGTACATATACTCAGTTTCTCCGATCCATTGATCACAAACTTACTTTTTATTCTCCAGAAGATTTTAGAACACTGGGTCTAATTATCTTTAATAAGGAATGGAAAATTTCGGTAATTCAGTACTAGGAATTGCCTATTGTTTCTTATGAAAACTGATGGGTTTGACAACACCTTAGATATATTTATTTGTATAGGTTTTCGACAACAATTATTATTGTATATACATATCTTCCTTTCTCTTGATTTCACTTTTGAAGTTATCAGATTCTGGAAATCTGTCAGTTGATGATTTTTTGGCATTTTAATTTTGCTGGAAAATCTCAGGTAATTTAGTATTTTTGAAATTCTTCTTGACAATTACATCTTTTTGAATCTGTCTTGGAGAATGCAAGTCAAATTCATTGAAAGAATATTGAATTGGATTCGAAATAGCAGTTTCTGAACTATTAATCCAATACATAAGATGTCTCCTTTAATCTAATGAAAATTCATAATATGGTCTTGTCAAAGCATCCCTGACTTCTTTCATCCTCAAAATCTACAAAATGTTCGGTCTTTGATTTTCTCTTATTGTCAAACAGACATTGATTAGTTATATTAATCCTGGAGAATAGGTATCAGGTATATTAATTTAGATCCGACCTCTCCTTAATTGTTCCTTCACTTGACTCTCTAGAGCAGATGTTGGGAATAGCAAATTTTGTGATACCATAAAATACAAGATATGACCAATTTACCAAATTTGTGATTTTTGAGTATAATGTCCTTCAAAAAAGTATTCATATGGTAAGTAAATAGCAGCACAGGGGGATTAACAGAGAGTCTGTCTTGAAGATTTATGGAAATCGGTAATTCGAATTTAATACCCTTCAGTTCTAACTAGTAGTAAAATATTCTCAGGAATTAATACTCTGTGTTGTATTCCAAGTTCATTTAATTACAAAAGAACATATGCCATTTACAAGAAGAGAGACCAAATTATACTTTCTTGCATTCTGTAACCGATGTGTTATAAAGTAAATGTTTTAAGATCCCCTTAATCACAATATTCTTATATTATAACTAAATGTTGTTCTTCATTTTCTAGATATTCAATCACTTATAATACAAATTGATTCTTAATTTGAGCTAACATTTTAATTGCATTCAATCCTCACAATCATTATAAACTATACCTTCATTTTTATTTTACAGATAAGTTTTTTAAATATAAGTCTGGTTATCTTGCAATGATCTTACTTTTTAAATCCTCACTCTTGGACTTGAATAAATTTCTTGAAGAATTTCATAATTTAGTTACATAATTATATAAATATCAATTATTTTAAATATTAAGGTCCAAAGAGTATTACCCCTAGAATAATCTCAAATTTGAAATAGATTTTAGTGCTTACTCTATTTTAAGTAAATAAAACAAAACTATTAATTTAATTGAAGTTAAACACAAAATAAGAGAAAATGATTCATGTCATAAAATATGGATCTATAATAATCAATACATGATTTGTTTATTATACTGCCTCTTAAGTCTGTATATCAATGTGCATTTGTAGTGATAATACAACTAAAATCAATCCAATAATTAAAGAGCTTCACTCTTTTTTTGCTCCGCTGATTATAGTTATTTGAGCTGCAAATGTTTTATTATATCAATACGAGAAAATGCTGAAATGGAAATAAAAAACCAAATTTTTGAAGAATTTCAGAATAGAAATAATTAAAAAATGGAAACTGAAATAATTTAAGATCAAGAATTATGTGCATTTAAATAGTTCTAAGAATATTTTAATTTCTTAGTCAATATTGATATTTTTATTATCGATATACTTATAATTGTGTAAAATAACTGTTCACTGAAACAGTGCGATTAGTGAAATATAAAATATTATTCTTGTATTTCATATTTTAGATAATTCTAATATTAATATTATGATTATAACAAATTTATATTTATTAATATGCAAAAAATCAAAAAGGTAATTAGCTTAGTGTTAATCTTAGAGTAAATATCGATTGAAAGACGTGATTGAAGGTAAGACTAGCAATGATGAAAAATCTGCTTAAAAATTTGTTCAACTATCCCATATAAAAAAAAATGTTTCAGAATTTAACGAATTGAAATCAACACTTCAAGATCGTAAAGTCACATTTGCTAAATTTGCATTTAGATAATAAGAGCTGATTGATGACAAGAAACTTGGTCCTGTCTTAAAAGGAATATGTACAAGAACGAGAATAGGGTCTATGTAAATTACCGAGTTAATCCCAAAGTTCGATCTTTATAAATATCTCAAATAATCTCAGTAATTATATTAACTTAAAAAAGTTTAGAACCTTCCAAAAGAGTTCTTAGAAGATATGCTCATTGGGAATGGGATTAAGAACAAGAAGATAAAAAAGAAGTACCTCCTTCTTATAAGTTTACATCAAAAACTGAATTTGAGTATAAGAAGAAATTGGAAATTAAAGATGCCGAAAAGAAATTGCGAAAAGATATCATTAAAAAGTGGGCTTCAAGTCTACCAGACGTTGCAGGATTAACTGCATTTGGTAAATAATTTACAATGTAATCATCTCCTTTAAGGAGCACAAAAACTACACTATCTAAAACTCATACTCATTTCAGTCCAAATCCAAGGAGTGAATCGCTATTGTTTGTATCTGGTCTGATTCATGAGTTAGATGAAATAAAATAAGACAACTCCAAAATAAGAAAGTAAATTTTAGTTTAAATTTAGAAAACTAAGAGGAACACAGACAAGCTTATAAAAGATGATTGAAAAGTAGTAACAACAAAAAGTAGCTAATATGGAAATTAATGGAGAATGATTGCTTTATATATATTTAGATGATTGATATGGTAAATAACTAACATTATTGAATATATTTTGTTATTATTACCAAAAATATAGTAAAATATTTTAATAATGTTTGTTGATAAGAATTTAGCTTCTACCAAATCAAAACATTAAAAACTTGATATTAGTGAATTAGGTAAGTAAAAAATAAAAATTTAGAATAAGTAACAAGAAAAAAAGTGATGTAAAATACAAGCTTAAATCCATATACAGGAAATTAATATTCAGCTGACTATTATAAAATCTTAGCGGTTAGAAAGTAGTTACCTGCTTGGGATGGTAAATCCTAATTTTTTATTTATAATAGCAAAGGAATAATTGTTTATGTTGATGGAATAATATTAAGTAATAGTTTTACAGGGGGAAACTGGAAGTGGAAAAACAACGCAAATACCATAATTCTTATTAGAGAAATATAGCAAAGGTAGAGGAATTGCATGTACACAACCAAGAAGAGTTGCAGCAATGAGTGTTGCAAAAAGAGTAGCTGAAGAAATGGATGTTGCACTTGGTGAAGAAGTTGGTTATTCAATTAGATTTGAAGAAAAGACTTCAAATAGAACCATCTTAAAATATATGACGGATGGTATGCTTCTAAGAGAGTATATAACATCATTAGTTAATTAATTAGAGCTATGCATGATCCAAAGTTAGAAAGGTATTCAGTTGTCATCTTGGACGAAGCCCATGAAAGAACTCTTAATACAGACATATTATTTGGACTCCTGAAGGAAATCATGTTGAAAAGACCTGAAGACCTGAAAGTAGTGATTATGTCTGCAACAATGGATGCAGAGAAATTTTAAAAGTATTTTCATAATGCTCCCCTTTTGGACATTCCAGGGAGAGTTTATCCAGTGGAAATATTCTACACCTAAAAACCTGAAAAAAGCTATCTGGATGCAGCAATTAGTACCACAATCAATATACATGCATATGAGGATCCAGGAGATATCTTAGTATTTCTCACAGGAGAGGAAGTACATACTATAATTCTATTATTTCCTATAGGAAATCGAAGAAGCCTGTAAGAAGATCACTTCTGAAATATAGAAGTTGGGAGATGATGTTGGACCAGTCAGATGTGTACCGCTTTACAGCACATTACCACCAAATTAGTAATAAAAGATATTTGAACCTGCTCCTTAGCCTAATAAAAAAGGAATTCAAGGTAGAAAGATTGTAGTTGCAACCAATATCGCAGAAACATCTATTACTATCGATGGAATTTGTTATGTTGTAGATCCTGGGTTTTCGAAATAAAGGTTTACAATCCAAGATTGAGAGTGGAATCATTGCTTGCTTCTCCAATTTCTAAGGCTTCTGCATAATAAAGAGCAGGTAGAGCTGGTAGAACAAGACCTGGTAAATGTTATAGATTATACACTGAACAATCATTTAATTCTGAATTGATTGATAACACTTATCCAGAAATATTAAGAAGCAATCTATCAGCAGTAGTGTTACAATTGAAGAGATTGGGAATAGATGATTTAGTCCATTTTGATTTTATGGACCCACCTGCTCCAGAAACATTAATGAGAGCTCTAGAGTAATTATACTATTTAAGTGCATTGGATGAAGAGGGAAATCTAACTAAATTTGGATAATAGATGTCAGAATTTCCACTTGATCCACAATTATCAAAAGTACTTCTTAGCAGTAAAGATTTCTATGTTACTGATGAGATATTGACTATTGTGGCATTATTGTCTGTTTAATAAGTATTCTAAAGACCTAAAGATTAATAATAGTAAGCTGATGATGCTAGATACTAATTTGTCCATTAAGACGGAGATCACATTACATTCTTGAATGTTTTTAAATCATTTAAAGAACACAATGAAAGTTCTGATTGGTGTTATCAAAATTTCATTAATTATCGAAGTTTAAAATCAGCAGATAAAATCAAGGATTAATTAAGACAAATTATGTAAAAGTAATAAATTCCTTTGACTAAAACTGATCCATCAAATGCCCTATATTACACTTACATCAAAAAGGCTTTAATTGCTGGAATGTTTATGCAAACAGCTCATTTGACTAAAAATGGAGCCTATATGACCGTCAAAGATAGTTAAATAGTTGCCATACATCCATGTTCAGTCTTAAATCATAAACCAGAATGGATACTATATCAAGAATTTGTGCTGACTTCAAAAAATTACTTAAGAACTGTGACAGACATAGAAGGGAAATGGCTGTATGAAATGTGTCCGGAATATTTTAATCCAAAAACTATAAAAAATATTGAAACAAGAAAGGAATTCGAAAAAATAGAGAGACAAGTAATTATAATTATAAAATCTAGGTCTTAGAAGAATAAAGAAAGAAACCTGATCTATTGACAGTTGAATAAATATAAAGATTGCACAAAGATGTAAAATCAGAAAGAAACTAATCAGTTTCTTCTTCAAAAACCATCCAAAAATGATTAAATTTTTCATGTTGTATTTTACATTAAAGATGATATTATAAATTGTTTATTTATCTATAGATATATATATTGGTTTCATAACTATCTTAATGTTCCATTCTTTATCACATATTTTATAAAATCTGCATATGGGTATGCTTTAATAGGATTTGGACTATTAATTCCAGGAGCATGATAAACGTAAATTGTTTATCCAACTTTAATAATCACTCCAACATGAGATCCATTTGTAATTATATCAGCATTTTCGGGATCTTGAACGACACTACCTTACTTATGCCAGCCAGCAGCACCCCCATGATTCTTAGATTTGTCACCATAGATAACATATGCTACATATTGACAACAATGCCATCCTTTCTGGCCAACTAATGAATCTGCTCTTTACTTACGATCTTACATTAGCTTAATTAATTAATGGGTTCAGAACTCTAATTTTCTATAACTATAATTATAATTCTATTAAAATTGAATAGAAATTATATGTATATTGTAATTTATTAGTATATAGAATAATAAAATATCTTCTTAAAAATAATAAAACTAAATCAACAGCATAATGTATTGTATTAATTTGTTATTATTCAATTTAATTTTACTTCATATATCATGTATTTATTGTTTGAATTACTTTTGATTACTAAATATTTAGAGTCATTTGTTAATGTTCCAAATATCACATTTGTTTAACAATTTAATTGATAACATATCTTGAGCTGTCCATTCTATTGTCTTTAAATAAAATAGATATGTGTTTTATGTCTAAATACCATAATATTTTGCTATTCCTAATAAATAATAGGAAATTAAAATATGTCATAATTAGATGTATCCTTTATTAACTAAACTTTTGCCGCTGGAATTTCTTCGAACACTCCTTTATTTAATCCAAATGTGAATATACAATCCTAACTTTCCTAACCTCCACTTACCCAAATAAATTAATCATCATTAATAAAATGAACTTTACATCCAAAATCATTTATTGATTATTTAACTATATATTTAAATTCCCAATAACTATTTAATCCTTTTCCCCAAACTATTATCGTGTTATCTTTAGAACATGAGATAAATTAAGTTTCAGATTGATTTAAACTTAAATCATAGACAGTGCCTGTATGTTTATCTAATGATTAAGTAAGTTTCAATTCATTTCCCCTCTATAAAAATCCAGATTCCACATATTTATTTAACCATGAAAACTACCTGAGATAAGTTGATTTTCATCATTATATAATTTGAATGTGTAAACATAACTATTACATACAAACTCTTATGAACTTATCCATTCTTTTGAACTTATTTATTTCCAACATCTAAGACAATTATCGTTTGACCCAGAAATAAAATTATTTGACTTTTTACTAAAGCTTAAGCAATTAACATCTTCTGTATGTGTTGCAATGCTTTAAATTAATTCCATTTTACCAAAATCGAACTTCCATATTAATATTAAATTCTCTGAGTTTGTAATAAGAATTGAGTTGTCTTTATTAAATGCTAATGCATAACAAAAATCTCTTTATTAAAATGAATCATCTATTAGGTTCAAACTTATCGATTATTCAAAATTATCATTCTTTTCCAAAATAGATTGTTAATTCATAAATATATAATAATAAAAGATGAAAATTTCAGAGAACTTTAGAGATCATTTAATTCTAAAATAATTAATTGAAAACCAAATACATTTGAAAATATCAAGGGTTCAAATCTTGTATAAATTGAAGAGTTTAATTATGATTCAACTTTCCTTCAAAAGTAATACGAGTAGTATATTATAATTTTTTTACCAAATTAATATATACTAACCATCATTTGTTGCTCGAAAGATGAAATTTGAATCTACTAGAGAAATCAGTTTTTGTAATTCAAAACTATCTTAGCTCTTAATCAATAATAGGTTGATACAATTATCTTTTCTATACATTAAACATTATTTCTATTATATCATTTACAACTGAAATCGTTAAGGAATTTTAAGTGAGTTATTTAATTTACCTTCAATTATTGGTTTAAATAGTTCAAAGTGTTAATTCCCTTAATTCTGATGATAAAATTGAAAATTTTCTTCCTTGTATAATTGTAAAATGAAGATAGAATCGTTAATGAAACAAGCTTACAATGCTTGACTCTCCCTATAATTAATTGTTTAAAAGATCGACCACATATTTGTCACCTGATTCCTTCGACAAATAAAAATTTTATTTTCAAATTCCGATAAGCATACTAAAAAATTTTCAGACTCATTAAGACTTAAACTAATGATATAGCCATAGTAAGAAACTTCAAATTTTTAATGAAAGCTCCATTAATTATTATGTTTCCTCAACATTCTAATCGCTCTATCATTGCTAGAATAAATTAATAAATTCTCATCTTTATTAAGTATTAAACAATTTGGTTTATGCAAATCACTTTGAAATATATGGCATCCTCGAACAATACCAACCTCAGAAAATATTTACATCTTATTATTCACAAGTATAATTTGATTTGATTTCTTTGTAAACAATAAACTAGAAGCTATCGAATTCTGACCATATAATTCTTTAATAAGTTTTAAAGCCCCAAATTTAAATTAAAATATTTAAATATTCCCATCTGTTTTCCCTATAACTAAGATAGATGATTTTATATTAAATCCCAGCATTTTAATATTTATATTTTCTGTTACAGGTAGTTTTATTTGACTATGAAAATGGCAAAAGTAATTTATTTGATGTTAACTATTTTTTATCATATAGATTTTAAACAATAAAAATATTAATATAAAAATATAAGAGAATAAATCATAAATAAAAGTTATATTTAAACAGTAGTTTTACCATTCTGAATTTTCTAAAATTTATATTTGAAAAATACTATTAAAATGATGTTCTTTAACATTTGTATGCAAAACTCTTAAAAAAGATTCAGAAATGTATTGATGTCTTATTTACAATCACATCTTTTTATGAATCTCCCATTTTTGCTTTGAACATTCAATAACTTGCTTTAGTTCATTATGAAGATATCAGTATCAAGTTGATAATTTAGAAGTATATCTTTTTTCTAATACAAAAAAAGTTTAATGATATTGATGCTTTTTCTATTTATGATTCTCAATAGAAAATTTCCACATTATATTACTTATAAAATTATGTTACTATTGAATTTTCTTAATAACATGAATACTCCTAATCAAAATATCGTTTCAATGATCTATTAAATATATTTGCACACTCTAAATTTAGATCTAATTCATAATTACGAATTTGTAAAATATTGGAATTATTCTCCTCACTATGATTTAAATATAATATACTTTGCCCTTTCTTTTTTTAATATTATTTTTATGTATATTTATTATTATTGAAATATTATTATCAAATTATGGATGAAGAAAATAAATAAATATATCAAAATATTAAACAAGAACAAAATTCTTCTCTATGTAATTGCTCCTCTTTCTTCTTTGGTAATGATTCTACTAAGATTTTCGCTATTTCTTTGAAGACCTCATCTATGTTTTCTCCAGTTTTGGCTGAACAGGAGAAAAAATGGCAATCTTTGAATGATTCTTTAACCTTAAGCTAAGATATAATCTACTTATAATTTATAATCTTCAATCTACTCATCATTTTCTCTCAGATCTATTTTATTCGCTATAATTATCTTTTTTATATTCTTAAGTTGACAAGTCTCTTAGTTCCACTAATTATTATGATTAGTATATATATTACATGTTATAAAACATTATGGAAACTTGCAATCTAATTGATATCAAAAACAATTATAATGATATCCTTGTTAATGTAAGAGTTTTTCCTAATTGATAAATAATGTTCTTGACAACAGATATCTGTGAAATTCAAATTGATTGAGATGCTATTAATGTCGATCTTTTTTTTGACAGTAGCCCAAATAGTTGGTTCATACTAATCAGAAAATTAGTTTACGGACAACCTATATTAGTATATAATCATAGAAAAACCTTAACAAAATGGAGGACTTTCCTACTTTTTGATCTCCAATTATTATCAAATTGCATTCCATAATTTATTTAATGAGATTTATTCACAGAATAATTAAAAATTCTTATATTTATGAGTATCACTTTTTTATGATAAATTGTACTCATTATTAATATTAATATAAAATAGATGGATTAATAAATAAAAAAAGAAGACGAGGAATTTTAAATAGACGAAATACAGTATTAGATAAGTTCTGCAAAAGTGGATGGAAAGGAATACTATTTGTATGAATACAAAAAAGAGCTTAATAAAGATGAGAATGACAAATTAACTTAATTTTTGTCAAAATTAGAAACTGGATTAAAAGGAGAAGAGGGAATGGAAGGTGTCATGAGTATTTGTAAAGGATGGAAGAAAGAATGTGAACAAAAGCAATTTTAATGAAGATTGTTTAGTTAAAACAAAATCACACAAATAATAAATACCATTTTCATTAAGAGTTTTTTTTCTTATTAGTTTTAAAATTAAATAACAATTGAGCTTACGGATATATAGCTTCCTAATTGTTTTTTTCTCGGATAAGAACATACTCTAAACTCATTTTTTGAGATTTATTTGGCTATATAAGGAATTTAAGAATACTCTAATACGACTAACTGCATTTTCAGTGTTAATTTTTTATGCATAGACTTATGTATCAAATACTCTTGGTTCTTCTGTCTCACCATCATCCTCCTCTTCCACTTTTATAAGATGTTTTAATTGATCTAACTCTCTGATTTTGTCAAACAGGGTTTTCTCTCTCAAACTCTCATTTTTTGAGATTTGGTAATTCAAATATTTCGCTGCTTTCTAATCCTCAGCTTCTTCTTCTTTAGAACTAGTTTCATCCCCAGAGTCATCAGTGAACACTACATCCGCTTCTTCCTAAGATAAAATATAGGGTGAATATAAACTTTTTTTATGATTTAAGTATCTACATTAGTTTTAATTTTCTTAACTATAGCAGGTTCTTATTCGATAGGCTTATCAATATTTTGCTTTATTTAAGGAGACAGTTTAGTTTTCAATCTATTTTCTTAGCCGCCTTAAATTGCTTTTAAACTACTTTACCAAAGCTAAAAAGTATTTTCTAAATTTATACATCTTTAAAAGTTTAGATCTCAGATTCGCTCATTTATAATTACCCTTTATCTGAATTTTTCTTTAACTTGATAATCACTTCATTAATAATTATTTCGTAATGCATCTATGTCTCTTATACTTATTAATCCATTTTTGATTAATAAATTTTTAATATTATTTATTAATACAAAATTACGTCTTTTTCTGATTATAAAGCAATTATCATCCTATTTAATATCAGTAAGAAATCTATCAAGAAATCTCAGATGAAATTAATAATTACAATTAGATTGTCATTATCTACAGTATTAAATATTATAATATTATTTATTAACTGTTACTATCAATAAAATAAGAGAAGAATAACCGAAATTAAATTTGATAAGACCCACTTAATTAGTAGACTTCTAAGGTCCTCTCATAGCTGAATCAATTATAAAACAATAACCAGAACAACTAAAGGAGGAATTTAAAATACAAGATAATATTGAAATGAGATAGAATAAAAGTGGTTGAAGTTGAGTATAAATTTGAATCCTTTAGCATTTGCTAATTATGAACTGTTTAAGAGTACTAATAAAGACATATCTAAATCTCCTAATCCAGTATAATGTGTAATATGCTTTATTCTCAAATTTATTATTCCGATACTCTATTTCTTTACTCCTTTTTATCAAACTATGAAACTATATGAAACAATTGTGGTCTTGGGAGCAGTAGATTTTTGGATAAATAAAAATATAAGTTGAAGGTATGAAAATAGATAAGATAGAAAATATTAGTCGGACTACGTTGGTGGGTTGAAATAAATCATTTTGGAAATGAGAGTAGGGTTTTTACGACTTTAACTTAGGATAAAGGAGAAGTTCTAAGGATTCATAGCAGAATATTTTGGTTCGTTTAGATATTTATGGTTTTGATGTTTGTTGGAATGTTTATAATCAAAGCATCATACCTACGAATAAGTGTCTCAAAATATGTTTTTTCCAACAGCATTCACTGGACACAATTTTATATGCTTTTAATTTGTGTAACTAAATTATGATATCAGAATTAGGGGAATCATTCTTGTAGATGAATGCTGGAAAAAGATCAATCAAAATGCCCTTAAATTTTGATTAGTAGTATATTCGTAATTCTATTAATAAATTAAAAAAGAAAAAAATAAAAAGTAAAGGCAGCTTCTATATAACACTTAGTTTTCATTTTCAAATAGGCTAATTCGTCTGAAAATGGATTCTATGGCTTAAATTTAAAATTTAAATGAAGAAAAGTCAAACAATAGTAAAAAAAGATTGCCTATCTTATATGATAAGATTCAGAAATTAAGAAATTGTAGGTTAATCCATTTAATACTGTTAGTGTTCATTTGAACAAAAATTAAATATATTAATAATATTAATACTAAAGGATATATTGAAACAATATTTCCCATAAATATTAATCAAATTACTTTTGAATTAAAGAATAATCTCAAATTAGAATGATTATTGAATTCGTTCTCTGCAAGAGAATAGTTAAAAAAAAAAACAACTTTAAGAGATATTTAAATCAAGAGTGTTAAATCATAAAAAGTATGATCTTTAAAAAATATAGCTAATTCTAAGAAATCAACTTTGAATCAGGTATTTTGGTGAAAAGGAAGGAAGCACTAAATGTAAGATATAAAATAAAGAAAAAGATGAGCAATTTGTAAAATTTAAAAGAATAATCTAGCCAAAGTAAAAATACATATGAGATATTGACACGAGACAATATGATTATACACTCTTATTTAAATAGAGTTTGACAACAATCAGATTCACCTGTTACATTTAGACTTACTGTTTATATCATTGTTATATATTTTATTTTATTTATATAAAGTTAAAGTAGGAAAAAAGAAAAAATACACCTTATATTCTTCATAATTTTTTTATTATCTGGTAATAAAATGAATAATTCCTAATAGTCATATGAAACAATAAAACAATAAATACTTAGCCACCTCAATTCAACATGCACTTTTGGCTAAGTCTTTGCACTAAATTCCTCTGAAGACTTTCGATTTGAATTACCAGTAGATCACAATTTGTAGTTAAACCATTTACTAGCAAGATTAAAACATGCTTTTTAAAAATTATGTGCTATATAAATTAAACAAATAATTGGAATAACAATTCCAAATGCTTTTAAATTGCAAATGTCGTTTGATGCTGTAATGAAGAAAGCACTTGCAATTCCATTTAAAGCTTTGTTTAAGGATAAATTGATATTAAGCCCATTATTTTGTGATATCAGTGTTATTGTTTAGTAAATTTCAATATCAGAAAATCCCTATGTTGAAATATAAAGAATAGATGCTGATGAGTTTTATGTTATTTTATTATTCTGGTAAATCCGATAGCTATTGATTAGAGAACATTAGAATAAGGCTACTTTTGAAATATTTCTATATCCAAAATAGCATAATTTCGGCATTTCTAAAATAGAAAATAATAAAGAAACTATCTACTTCCATTCAATGGATCATAAGTTGCAATTCTTAATCTAAAATAGCTTATTTCACACCACAATTTCTAAAGCTATTTAATAAAACAAATTAAAGGAATTTTAAGTATAATTGTTTGAAAAAAATGATGAAAATCTATAAGAATTCTATAACGCTGAGATTCATGACTAACTTGTAACAATATAAAATAGTTTTAATAACAAAATTTAACATCATCCAAAAAATAATATCAACCTCAAAATAAAATATGAAAATAGAATAAAGTTAACTGAGTGGATATTCAGACAGTTAGGAGTTATTTATTATAAAGAATTTGAAATATTTGAACAAAATAATAATTACCCAAAACTTAGATATGAATATTTATTTTTATTTAAGAATTTCCATATCAAAAATCCAATAAATTATTACTAAAGTACTTTATGTTTAAGAGATGATGATTGGGAAAATAATTTCAAACATTTTATCAAATTAGATTCAAACGATAATCCTAAATGTGAATGTGGAAGGTAATTTGATCCATCTGATTGTGATACTTTTATCATAGATTCTCAGATAAATAAAAAATTTAGTTAAATTACTTAAGAATTAATTCCGACTATAGAAAATTCTGTTCTCACTGCATTAATCTCTTAACCAATATTTGTATAAATTGAGACACGTAAATATGGCAATTAATTTTTTGTATTATATCATTAGAAAAAGGATAAGGATAATACGATAAAAAAGGAAAAATTGATGGAGTATTTGTTTCAAGGTATGATGTTAAATTATGATGTGGATCAAATTAAAGATAGGGTAGAAAGATCTCTATTAGAATAAAATAATGAAGATTATGATAGTTAAAAAAATAACTAATCAGCTGGATTAAATTAAGTAATAAATGATTAGAAATTGCAAGAGGAATGTAAATTATAACAAAAATGATTTTATATATTATAAATTAATTTATGTTAAACACTATTGAATACATATTATCATGGCATTGTAACAACTCCTACTGATAAAATAAATGATAAATAGCGAGAATAATCATTAATCAACTAAAAATAATACTTTATCAAATTAGTTTTCCATAGTTATATTAAATAGAATTGTATAAAAATATGAAAACTAATTTTGGTTAAGTTGAACAAACATAATCAGAAAACTTGTGATGTGTTCGAATAAAATCACATACAAAGTAATAAAAGTAGATGATAATTACAATTTCTATATTTTTATATAAGATAATTCAAATTTTAGGTAATTCTTATTCTTCCGAGTTCTCTTTTATACGCAGTGTGATTTTTCCACTTTCAAAAGTCAATCTATCTGTCAAGGCAGTGTAGCAATACCAATAAGCATCAAAAAAACCAATTAAACTTCCCAATCCAAAATCAATGCTTTTCCATATTACTGATTTAACTCCAATAATATTCACAAAACCAGGCTAAATTTTTAAAACATTATTATACAATTATCCAGCAAATAAGCAAAATCATAGGGTACATAAATAAGGAATACAAAGATTAATTTATAGAGCTATTCTGAGTAATCCTTCTGATCACAAGGATTATTACAATAATATTATATAGAAACATTGTCCATATAGGGATATCAAAAAATATCAATATATATAGTTCCATATTTTCGTTATAGATATCAAAGAAACAATTTGTTTGAGGCATTGGGTAGTATTGACCATATGCATCGATAATTATTGGACTTTTTCACAAACAATACATACATAATAGATATTATAAGGGGTATTCCATAGCCTAATCCTGGATAATATGATTGCATATACTAATTAGGTTCACTCTCTCTTAAAGAAATATACAAACTATGAATAATGATTGAAGTCCAAAAAGTGCTTGATAAAACACTATAGACAGAGAAGAACGATTGGGCCTAACATAAAACAGGCTTCTCACTTAATTGAAAAGTAGTGTTTCTCAAAAACAAGTATCCAATGGAGTCACTAAATAGTATGAGATCATATATCAGATCGAATAAAATAATCTGTAATACAATTGTAAATTGATCATTCCTTAATTCTCTAAATCTTCCATAAATATAAATTACAAATCCACAACTTAGAATTGATATAAGGCTTAAAACTACTGTGACTATTGGAACAATTAAATCATTCATTATAATCTATTTATAATAAAAATATATATTATTTTAATTTCCTGAAAAATGAATTAATAGAATTCCACTAATTTTTAACCTTTAGTGAATAAGACTTTGAATTATACTAAATATGGATAATTTAAACTTACAAAAATGATAGACCAAGGTGCAGACGAGGCTGTGTTTGAAGCTTAACCTACAAACAACAATATGTCCTAATTGTTTGCCATAAAAATTTACAAAACTATAGCTGATCAGGAGAAATCTTTCATTCGGGAGGTGATTGATTATTAAGAAAAGTTTGACAACGATCCAATTAGGACATCAGGAATTATTAGGATTTATGAAACAGGTTTATTTTCAAATTTTTACACATTACTTATGGAGATGGGGAAATCTAATCTACAAGATTATATTAAAAGCATCCAATAGATTTCATCAGAGAAAAGGGTTGAAATTTGCACTGATGTAATTATTCTCTAAATTCTTAGCTTTTTAAATCTATTAAATTTATGAATTCTAAAAATATATTCCACAAAAGCATCAGGCCAGAGAGCTTCATCCTTGTAGAAAATAAATTTAAATTAATTAATTTTGGTTAGGCCATAAAGGGATAAGATTCAAATAAATATCAAGTTAAAGGGGTTCAATAGATGTTATATTAAGCTCCAGAAATCTTAAAATAAAAATCTGATTTTCTTTAATCTGTGGATACTTGGTCATTGGGTTGTGTAATTTATTGGACTTTTACAGGCAACTCATTTTTTTAGTCGGGTATCAATTATTATCTGAAATTTTAGCTGACATTGAGGATCTAAAAGTTAAAATCAAAGATTATAAAAATAAAGAAGTCAATCAATATTATTTAAAAAGAATTGACCAATTGAATGCTCCTTAATATGTAAAAGAAAATCTGAAGTCAATGTTGGAATATAAAAGATACAGGCGTATCAAAATTGCTGATGTCTCAGAATCTTTTACTAATAAATAAGGTCCAGCTTAATAAAATAATTTAGTATAACCTCAAGGAAATCCACCAATAAATCCATTATTTTAAACTCAAATAAATCCAAATTTATAAAACAAAACCAATCAACAATTTTAACCCTAAATAAATCAAGTTTTATAACCTCCACCAAATTCCGTTTAATAATATTAATAACAATTTTAATAACCTAATCAACCCATCTAATTTAAATAGCCTCCATAATTATAAGCAGCACCCTTTCCATAATAAAACATTTAACAATAATAGTAGTTATCTTCTGGTCATATTGAATAAGTTTGTCAATTACTTCTAAGTGAAATAAAAAAATAAGTTTCTTATAACTAATAGTAACAAATAGAGGATAGAGATGGAAAAAGTCTAATCACAGATAGTGGTTCAATATAGTCCTGCAATTATATTGAAAATGCTTTTAATGAAATTGTTAGAATTATGCAAAATTTAAATGATAATATATAAGCAGTGCAAACCCAATAAATTGAAGATATTAAAAATAAATATGAATAAAAGTTAGAACAAAAAGATTAAGAAATTGATCAATTAAGACAGCAATTAAAGAATACAGAATAATAACAATAAGTTCCATAAAAAAATGAATTCGATTAAAACAATATGGACCTTCAAGGAAGTGCAATTTCTTTAAATACCAATTTACAAGAATATTCAATATTAAAAGAGTAATAACCAAAGGAAGTTTTAGAAAAATAGAATTTGGATCATTTAGTAAAAGAAGTGATAGATCGATTTTAAGAGTGGATATAGTAACCAAAAAATTTAGAGAATCAGCAGAATTAAGATGATAACATCTTTGTCATACTTTTGAAAAAGTTAAATGAAGGATTAAGTATGTGTTGATTTATTTAAACATTATATAAATAATAGTGTTGTTAATTTTCATTATAAATATTTAAGTTTAATGACTTCCAAGAAGCAACTAATAGATGAAATATGTATTAATAAATAGATAATTTAAGTTGAGATATGCGACTCTATTCTTGAGAAAGCATATAAGAATTAACAGAGTTTGTAGATATTGATTCAGAAATATCCGTTGAACGAAGGAATCTAATCATTTTAATTAGTGCCAGTGAGTTAATTTGAAGATTAAAGCAGAAACTAATTAAAGCAATTAACTATTGAACAGCTGACATATCTTTTAGAGGATGTCCAACATTCTTTAGATTAAGTAATGTATGAGGAATTGTAAATCAATAAATTGGGATTGAGAGTACCTAAAAAGTCATTAACAGTTTAAAATTATGAACAATGGGATTTCTTGTTATAATGGCCTAAATCCAATAATTTGGAAAGCATAATAATAAATGTTTAAAGCATAACAAGTAATTTGTATATTTAATGATTAAATTGTTAGATAATATTTAAGCATAGTTGCAAAGATCGAAATAAAAATCTGATGATTAAGATGATCTCCAGAAGAAATACTAAGAGGCATTAGAAAAAATAGAATTTTTGGAAAAGTAATTAGAAGAGGAGCCAAACAAAACCGAAACTCAGAAAATCATAAATTAAGGAAATATATTGAATACAAGAAATCAAATGAATCGATCCAAACAACAAAAAAGAGACAGGATAGAGTTGATGGATGAGCTTGAAAAGAGATTATAGGACTTAGAAACTGAAAAGGAGAAAGTGTCATCCTATAGCATGGATGCTTTCTCTAAACTGCTGTAGACAAAATTATAATGATTATTATTTATGCCAATTTAATCAATCACTTTACTTATCTAATATTTTATCTTATGATCCTTTAATAATTTTGATCTAAAATTAAATTTAAATTAGTTAATTAAATACTAATATATGAATGTAAATATTGAAATTGTTAAAAATTTACCTTAGGCTTTACAGATTTTCTTAAAACCTATAAATTGTTACAATTACTATTCAAAGAAAATACACCATTAAACATCGATATCAATGCATCACAAGTATATATATTATAAATAACTTAAAAATTAATCTCATTGTTAAATCCCTTCATCTTTTATAATTGATCTAAAATTCCTATAAAACTAATCATCAAAAATTAATGTCTGTCTTGGAAATAAAAATATCGATTGCTTAATAGACTAAAATTGTTATTTATGATTTTCATTCATTATGGCAATATAAATCACTATACAAATAGATTGAAATACTAAGAAAATTATACATGGTATCTAAGTGAAATTAATCAACCTTAAACACGAAATGAGTAGATTATCATAGAGTTCAGATATTACAGTTGACATTACATTACCAATAATAGTTGCTCCTTCCAATTCAAGTCTTGTGTTTGTAGGTAAAATAGTAAAGTTTTTACTATCATCATATTAGGTTTTCAAAGTATATAAAATGTATGGTAAGATTTATGATAACCCTTTTAATAAGTTACCATTCATTGCTAATCCACAAGTGGAATTCGCTAGCTCTTTAAATTATTCAGTTTAATAATCACACAAATTTCCTATGTTAATAGCTTCATAAAAATTGACAGCGTTTTCATCAAATAAATAGTCCTCTGAACTTAAATCAATATTTAATTATGTGAACTCTTCTACTTTATTATATGCCTAAAAAAATACATCATACACTCCATCAATTTCTGCATCTGTTAAAAAAAAGTATCTTAGTGTCCTTCTATATAAAACTTCTCTTTGAGCATATAAAGTCGGAATGTCAACTCCAAGATCACTAATCCTTTAAAAAATGATAGAGGTTTGATCATATTTCTCAAAATATCTTTCAATAATCAAATATATTGTTATGTAGAATGTGAGAAATAACAAAAAATGGATAAGCCCTATTGCAGCCGTTGTTCTTAAAAAATTATTCGTTATCTTGAATCTCTTTCCATCTCTCTTTGTATTATTCCTATTGCTTATAATGTTAGATTCCTCAAGCTCAGCATCAATAGCTTCAATATCAAACTCAAACTTCTTAACTTTCTCTAATTCATTATTTACTATGCTCAAATGCTTTTAAAGTCTCTTTTTTTCTCCATCCAATATCTACTGATCCAAATCCATCAGGTATTAAAAGATTGAATTCATAATTTAATTATATTCTCTATAACTATTAATTATTATTATGCACAAAAACAAACTTATTGTAATAAATGGTAATAACACAGATAGCCATTTATCTTTCTCTAATTAAGATCTCTGTAAAGTTGCATCTAATACAACCTTATTTAAACCATCAAAAGTATGTTTTATTGTGAGATAGTTTTTACTTGTAAAATAAAAAAATGGACTGTCAAACGCCACACTTCGAATGGTTAATCCTAACTTAAAATCATACTAATAATTCATCAATATATTTGCTAAAGATCTGATAGTAACATTCTTAGTATATCCAACATATGATTTATTCAAAAAACTGATTGTTATATACTCATTATCCGATAGTTAATCGATTTCCCTTCTTTCTAATATACTGTACATGCTATTTCGCAGGTGATCATACATAAGGCCAAAAGTTGAGAATGGATATTTTGTCAATTAAGCATAAACACTTGCATTAATAAACCCCCCACCTAATTGCTCTCTGTAATTAACCTAAGAAAATCTAGAAACATAAAAGGATTCATAAGGCTCTACAACATCATATCTTATTGATAATGTTTTGATATCTTCGATAAATTGTTCTAAGTTTTAAACCATTAAGATTTGCTATTAAATAATTAAAATTATAGTTTACTATTATCAATCCCAGTAATATTACAAATGTATACAAAAAAATGAATTTATTCATTTTTACAATTTTTTATGATTGCTTCTTTGATTTCATTAAGATGGTTATTATCTCAAATTTTTTATAGTATTTTGATCTTCTAATTGCAGTAACTGAAGATGTTGATCCAATCTCAAGAAACTCATCTTCTTCGACAATTTTATTTACTTATTTTTTCATGTTCTCATCATGAGAATACTTTGAGCTGTGCAATAATCGTTTTTATGATAAGGGTTCAAAAATGTTATGACTCTTTCCTAATTCCACCATTTATAGAGTGCAGACCAAATTTGTATCAATTTAATTTATTGTCTAACGCTGTTGTTCTTATTGAATAATACATAGAGAATTCTCAGGAATTGGATGGTTTTCAAAATTTATATAGGGTATCATCTTTTCTTCTGAATCATCAAATTCACTATTTATATTGAGTAACTTCTAACTTGATCCAGGAAATTAAGTAAGAGAAGCCATATACAAAGTAGAATTCTCATCTTTAAACTTCTTTGATATTGCTCGAATATTATCTAATTCAACAAAATAACACTTATATTGATTCTCAAATTTTCTGTCTATTTTAATATTACCAGTAAAGGAACAAGGAACTTTTTAATGATGATATTCTTTAACTAGCTTTATTTCTTAATTGTAAAATTAATGTTAATGAGTGGATACTAATTATTGAAAATTTGGTATTATTTTAGTTACACAACTTGAGTGAATCTTAGCTTCATTAAAAAATAAGCTTTCTGAAATGTTAGAACTTACATTCAAAATCTCTAAATGTTTATCAACAACTATGTATGATCGATAGTCAAGTGACTCATAGAAAAAAGTAAGAAAGGAGAATTTATCATAATTTGTTTAATTCATGCTAATCATTATTTGAATTGGCATCATTACCTTTTCCTATTATTTTAAAAATGATAAATTTTATTATTGGTAATATTTATTTTGTCCTTCACTCAAGAATCTCTCAATCAAATTGCTATGTTTCAACTGCACATACTCAGGTAAGAAAGCGTTTAGTTCAATGTTTGAATGGTATTTTTGTTCATGTTATTAAATTTTCCATTATTCCAATAAATATTACGCCCTTTAAGATTTCTTAGTTATTATTACTTCTAATTCAGAATTTAATTCAGTAATAAAATAAGCAGGATTAATTCCGAAGATTTTATGATACATTTGCCCTGAGAATTAATTAAATTTATCATCTTCAAAAGCCTTACCCCTATTGATGTTGAAAGAATCAATGTAATCATTTAGAATATGCAAAGTGAAATATTTCAATATATTTTAGTTACTACTAGCTAAATATATTATGTATTTATACTTGGGAACTAATTATATCGATTTAAAAGCATCTCCTTAAATTGTTGTATTTGTTAGATAAATTGCAATGCATAATTGACATTTCCAAAACTAGCATTTTGATGTTCGACAAAATTATAATAAAATTATATTTTGGTTTGAATAATTTTTTTTAAATTGGCGATTATTTAGGAATCGGAATTTTCATTTAGTACAAATGATTTCAAGGATTCATCTAGCAATTTATTATGTTAATTGGATAAAACAATTTTTTCTGTAATTTAAATCATAACTTAATTTAAAACCTCGCCCTTTAAATATTCTAGTAAGAATATTGTAATTTTTGACAAAGGATTTTATTTTTTTTCATAATTAGACTATTATTTTGTCAGAAATCTGGTTATATGTTGTTGAGCCTTGACATATTAGTGACTTCGAAATAAAATCTATGCATAATCTGTACAAATCAAGTCTTTTGATATTTCAGATTTACCATGAAGTTTTTCTTCTATTTTACCTTCAATTATTTTTATCAATGCAATAAATTAATCGTTTTGATATTTCGTACAAAAACAAGTTTTCTTATTATCACAACTCTACTAATGACTTTAGAAAAGCATGAAAACTTAAAGTTTTGTTCTAGATTTTTCAAGATTACTTAAATCTAAAAAAGTATATAAATATTTTAATTGATGGATTCCATAATTAGAAATTTTATCAATTTAAAATTCTTCACAAGACATTAAGATTTTGATCATAATTATACAAACTAATATCCAATAATTATTGTTATTTGTGGATTGGGTTAGAAGTATATCAAAAGAAAGAACTAATCCAATCGAACTAAAAATAATTGTTGTGTTCGAATAGATTTTTTAAGCATAAACTTTGGCTCTAATCTATTCAGCTATAAAGCATAATTATATAAGGATGTTAATTACGCATTAAATCATTTATGAGAGAAATTTTGTTTGTAAATAAAAAAAAAAAATGATTTACATTAATTTTAGAATTTTGATTATGTATGAGTATGTGGTCATATTAATATACAATTGAGATGTTGATTTAAGTATTAAGCCTCTTCTAAAAACTAGTTCTCCTAATATCATAATAATGAGTGTTTCTAACATTACAATTATAGAAACACAAAATTATGCTAAATCTGATGATTTAAAAAGGCAAATTTCAAAGATAACAGGAAAAAATGCAGTTGAAAAATAATAGATATAAAAAGAAAAGATGACAGAAATATATCTAGTCCAAAAAGATAATGCACCCATTTTGTATTGATTTTTATAAGCAACAATACTAGCGGCAAGGAATATAAAATTTTGGACAATAGCAAGTAACCAAAACAAGCCTGATTTAATATTCGGATTGTCAATATATAAATACAATCTTGTTAGTAAGGTAATTTTAGTAAGACTATGTCTGAGTTGCTCATCTTAAGTATACTAGTAGTAAAATGAATAAGAAATTGATTAGGTAACAGAGTAGATGATAATGAGCAGTTAAAACAGTTTAGGCATGTTGTATTCTAAAGTTAAAAGGTGTGACAGCATAAAAACTACCTATTTCTCAAATAGCTTAATTTAAAAAGGCATAAAAATAAGTTATATGGTAAATATTATTATGAATATTGGGTAGTTATGTAGAATAGCATACTTATATAAGAAATGTAAAAAGAAATATTAAAATGAATTTTTTAATTATTTTTGGAAGATTATTAATGATTATTGATATTGCTGATGAAATCAATTTCTGTTTGCAATAAATTAAGCGGTGGTTGACAATTTTCCACTAATATGTTCTTAGAGTCTGTCCACAACTTCTTCTTAAGCAGTTCTACATAATAGAATATTGAATACCTTTCAGTAGTTTAAGTTTCATATATTTGAGATTAGACAACAAATCATGCTTACTATCCAGCAAGTCTTTCTTCAGTATTTTCAAATTCCAAGGTATGGAATTCTATCCATGAGATAACATCTTCTATGGTATTCTTTTATTCTTAGATTTAGACTTCTAATTATGCTTTTCTTTCAACTAACCTAGTATGTTCATTAGCCAAGTGAACTGAAAATTCAGCCCAGCGGGCAGCTTGTCTTTCTTCAACATCCTAAATTATTTATAAAGATTAATACTGTCTTAGCAGCTTTCTCTTAGACTAATTTATTATCTTATTTTGCTCAAAAGTTGGGCAATTTTAGTCAAAGCCTTTTAGTTGAAACCATGAGTAGCAAGTTCAGTCAAAGCTGTGATGACTGGCTATTAATTTATTATAAAATAAAACTTGTAAGAGAGGAGTATATGATGTGTTATCAGATAACTTCTTATGGAGTGTATCAATTTAATCTTTATTTAAGCAAAGGAAGCATCTAAACTTAAATGTTCGATAAGTTAGCAGCATCATCAATAGCATCTATAACTTCATCAATAGCAGCAATTTTAGCAACAAAAGTTTCGTGTTGCTGATTTCTAGTAGCCTCTTCCCTAGTATAAATGGCTTCATTGTTTGCAATATCTTGAATAGTAACTCTGATATCTTCTTCAGAAACAGCAAGTGCTTCAATTGTGTCATCTCTCAATTATGTGTTAGCTGCTATTTAATTCTAATGATACAAGATCTCCTTATCTAAGTCTTCCAATGTTTAAAAATTAAACAAAACCTTACTCTATTGTTAGTAGTTGTATCCAACCAAAAGTGCATGATCATGGTCATTTTAGTCCTAAACAATACCAGCACCTACTGCATTTAATAACATGTTAACTTCATTGGCTGGAGTCTAGGCTTAAAGATGTGCCTTAATTGCAGACAAAACCACATTTCAGAATGGGTTAGCATATATTTAGGCCAAAGTTGTGTGAGTGTCAACGAACTTAGCAGCTGTTACTGCAACTACAAATGCCAAGATGGATAGTTTATACATTTATATTTTAATATTGATTTTAAAAAGGATCGAATTAACTCACTAAAAGTAAGTAATTCCTTCTTTATTTAAATAAAATTTTCCTCATTTTCTTTACTAAATATTTTTTAAAAAATACCTTTTAAATTTTACACTCCCCTTAAATCAATCCTCAATGTTGAAACTGAAAACATCATAACAACCTAAGAATTAGGCACCTAAACCTGAAGTAAACTAAAACTTTAAATTTAGGCTTCCAAAATTGTGAAGAAGGATGATCAAAAGCCTTCTATTGATCTTGAGGAAGAATAAGAAGAAACCAATCTTGTTATTGTTGCAAAAAAACCAGAAAAAAAGTATTTAAGCCCATATCATGTCTAGATAACCCACTATTTAGCAAACACCAACTGATGGTTGGTAACAATCAGAAGAGTCTAAAGAGCTTCCAACTAATGGCATAGGCAAAAAGCCAAATTCATCATTGAAAAAGAATGACGACCCTATCATTGAAATTAGGAATGAAGAGTTCCCTGATCTTGCTGTTGCTGCTGAATTACCAAAACAATCTAAAAAACAAAAGAATTTACAAAATTAACCAAAGCAAGACTAAAAAATTTAACCTACCGCCAATAATGCTATGATATTTACTAATTCTAGTTCTAAACCCTAAAGCTAAGCAACTTCTAATGTTTAAACCAAAAATACTCAATTAAATTCTAATTCAGGATCTCTAACATTCACAAATACTAAAAAGTAAGAAAACACTGTTTTATTCTAATAATAACAATAAGAATAAATCAAAAAGGCATAATAAGAAACTTAATTCCAGCCTTAGCCATAAATTTAAGAAACATAGAAATAGAATCCTCCTCAAAGATAAATCAATATCACCAGAAACTCAAATACACTAACTTCTTAAGCAGTCCCTGAATAATAGAAACAATTGAAAGTTGAGGAATCTATTCCCACTTTCATCAACTCTAAAGCTAAAGTATTTATTAATTTAATTCAAGGGAAATCCACCTGTAGTCCAATAATAAAAATAGCAATAAGAATAATAATAGTAATTACAATAAGAAGAATTACCATAATAAAATGAAGATGAGGATAGTGATGGTTGGGAAACTGTTGAAAAGAAAAGAAAATCTAAAGGGGCATTGTAGAGAAATTAAAAACAGAACTAATGAAAAATTAATATATTATACAATCGAAAATTTTACAAATTTGAATTTCATTTTTATCAAATCTTCCATTTACAAATTTATATTGAAAGCCATTTAATTTTATGATTCTAATTTTACCCATAAAATCTTCTTGTTATTAGGAGATATTAAATCATTTATAATTTAACTTGTATTTTATGCCAAAACACATAATGATATGCTCGATCGTAATAACTATTGACACATCGGTATTCTCCAACATAAAGATATGGTGAGTATAGATATTTAATTAAAATTGTTTTATAAAATTAAGAACGACACCAATATTCTAGGTACAAAAATTGCATCACTTATACCAATCTTGACTACTTTATATTAATCTACACATTATTGTAAGTTAATATCTATCATTACATATAATAAACAAAAAGGAATTAGTTTAGAGAAAATAAACAGAAATATTAATGTAAAATGTAGCTTAATATAATATATATTTATAGAGTAATAATAATAATATGTAATTTTATAAAAAAAATTAAGATTGATAATGATTCTATCAATTTAGAAATTTCTAATAATTATCTTTGATATTTAATAACCTAAAAAGAATATTCATTTTTTCTTTGAGGATTAACCAGGCTTTTTAATTTATATTGATTGTTAAGGAATATGTATATTAGGCATTTTTTCATTAATACTATCTGCTAATTTCATATAATTAAACTCTTGCAAGGCTTAACATCAAAATAAATAGATACCATCAGTAATGGCTTCTTTTCCTTGGAGCAACAATCCTTTAGGCAGACGTTTATCCGGACAAGCTCCTTTTAGTTAAACAATACTTTCGTTTTCTTCTCTGAAAATACAAATATATTTGAAGACCTTAACGTTTTTTGCATTTTCATCATTGTGGCCACAAATTTTAATCTAGATCTCAGTTTTTCTTTTCCGGTTTTGGAGAGTTACTTTTGAAGTGATTTATTTTTATCAAAAATTTTTGTTTTTTCAGACTAAGTAATTTGTTTAAACTTTTCAATATCTTCTTGGTTAATTTTTTCATCACCGCTTTCTTAATCTTAATCCTCATGCCTAAGGAGCATGTATAGCATTTCGGTAACTAAATTGATATTGATCAAAATACCTTTTTCTGTAACAAAGGGTATTGACCAGGAGAATACATCCATAAAGTTTGGTAAGAGATATGGGTGAGGAGTATCTTTAAATTACTAAATATTAAGGGTGTTGTTTTCAAATTTGATTACAGCTCCTTTGTTTTTATAAACATCACAGTAATTAGGGGCGGAAAAGATTGTAATAACAACTGGAAAGTCTGAGCTTCCTTTCCACCTGTGCATTTTATATCCGTCTAACTATGCTTCGTGAGCTCTAATGACAGAAATGAGATTGTTTCTTTGTAAAAATCTATGCACCGCATCAACTCCAAAAAACCAAGAACAACCTCTCACTTCATTTCCTCTCCATCCATTTTCTAATGATCCTTAGTCATTATCAACAGGGTCGCTCCATAAAATATCACAAAAGAGTCCACTTCTGGGTGGTTCATGGTATCTATCAATTTTTTTGATGTCTTCAAGCTAAAATCGGAAATACAGAACCTTGTTACCGTTTTTAGATCTGGAGAGATACCTCCATGGATGGCTAGAAACTTGTTGTTAACTACACAGGCAAGGGGGAAGAGATCGAACGAGTCCATCAGAAAATCGTAGGTTTCTTGGTCATACTTATAGAGGCCTTGATGAGAGGGTTTTTTTTTGTATACATTCGTCCTTAAAATTGAAAAAGCTTGTGAGCTGTCTACATTCATGGTTCCCCCTTAGGAAAAAAACAGTATTTGGAAAGTNATATAATATATATTTATAGAGTAATAATAATAATATGTAATTTTATAAAAAAAATTAAGATTGATAATGATTCTATCAATTTAGAAATTTCTAATAATTATCTTTGATATTTAATAACCTAAAAAGAATATTCATTTTTTCTTTGAGGATTAACCAGGCTTTTTAATTTATATTGATTGTTAAGGAATATGTATATTAGGCATTTTTTCATTAATACTATCTGCTAATTTCATATAATTAAACTCTTGCAAGGCTTAACATCAAAATAAATAGATACCATCAGTAATGGCTTCTTTTCCTTGGAGCAACAATCCTTTAGGCAGACGTTTATCCGGACAAGCTCCTTTTAGTTAAACAATACTTTCGTTTTCTTCTCTGAAAATACAAATATATTTGAAGACCTTAACGTTTTTTGCATTTTCATCATTGTGGCCACAAATTTTAATCTAGATCTCAGTTTTTCTTTTCCGGTTTTGGAGAGTTACTTTTGAAGTGATTTATTTTTATCAAAAATTTTTGTTTTTTCAGACTAAGTAATTTGTTTAAACTTTTCAATATCTTCTTGGTTAATTTTTTCATCACCGCTTTCTTAATCTTAATCCTCATGCCTAAGGAGCATGTATAGCATTTCGGTAACTAAATTGATATTGATCAAAATACCTTTTTCTGTAACAAAGGGTATTGACCAGGAGAATACATCCATAAAGTTTGGTAAGAGATATGGGTGAGGAGTATCTTTAAATTACTAAATATTAAGGGTGTTGTTTTCAAATTTGATTACAGCTCCTTTGTTTTTATAAACATCACAGTAATTAGGGGCGGAAAAGATTGTAATAACAACTGGAAAGTCTGAGCTTCCTTTCCACCTGTGCATTTTATATCCGTCTAACTATGCTTCGTGAGCTCTAATGACAGAAATGAGATTGTTTCTTTGTAAAAATCTATGCACCGCATCAACTCCAAAAAACCAAGAACAACCTCTCACTTCATTTCCTCTCCATCCATTTTCTAATGATCCTTAGTCATTATCAACAGGGTCGCTCCATAAAATATCACAAAAGAGTCCACTTCTGGGTGGTTCATGGTATCTATCAATTTTTTTGATGTCTTCAAGCTAAAATCGGAAATACAGAACCTTGTTACCGTTTTTAGATCTGGAGAGATACCTCCATGGATGGCTAGAAACTTGTTGTTAACTACACAGGCAAGGGGGAAGAGATCGAACGAGTCCATCAGAAAATCGTAGGTTTCTTGGTCATACTTATAGAGGCCTTGATGAGAGGGTTTTTTTTTGTATACATTCGTCCTTAAAATTGAAAAAGCTTGTGAGCTGTCTACATTCATGGTTCCCCCTTAGGAAAAAAACAGTATTTGGAAAGTTGATCTTAATTGCATATACTAAGACGATCACTTCGATGGAAAATGAACCTCTGTCAACAAAATCACCCAAAAATAGATATTTTGTTGTTTCTACATTGCCTCCGACATCAAACATTTTAATTAAATCATAGTATTGGCCATGAATGTCCCCTACAACTGTTAAAGGATCATGCAAATAAATGAGATTCCCCTCATTTTCTGTTATTTTTTTTTTTAAGAAAATGTTACTAAATATTTTATTGCATTCTTAAACTAATTTGAAAAGTTCTTCTTTTGCAATTCTACCCTCTTTTGATAAATGATCTAGTAATAATCTCCAGTCAGGTTTATCTAATAATTTCAAAGTTAGTTACTCTTTAGTTTTTCTGGAAACATGAGTTAGCGAGAGAGGGGATGATGAGGAGGTGGCTTCAAGGTTTTCACTACTCTATCATGCGATGGATCTCTTAATAATTCCATAATTTTAATAAAATAATTAATCACACTCCTTGTCAATAAAATATATACAACAAAAGTGATCATAATTTAAAGTTTTTTTAACTCCTCACAGTAGGAAGGGTGCTTTATTCCGATAACATTTTTCTTTCTCTTGGTCTATTGGATCTTGAACCTATTGAGGATTTCAAATCTCTAAAATGTATATAGTTTTACCTTGAGTTGGCTTTTAGAGTTTTTAATTTCTCATAATTTATTCCAATTTCACTTTATTAATCTTTGCCCACAATATTATTTTTATATAAGGATAAGTTAAACTAGTCTATAGGGCTTTTCACTCCTTTCAATGTGTTTTCTTAAGAACTCTTTGATGTTTATTAATTAATGATTTTTGGTAATTCTTCAGGCTCCTCAAAAAAAGCTTGCGCTAATTATTCAAATATTTTTGTAGAATTGATTCTATCCACTTATAAATTAACATTACTTTATAACTCCTAATTGATTGTTTGATTACTAACTAAGTCTCTTTAGTCTATCATAATTGAATCCTTTCCCTTTATCAATCTCTTTTATTGGCTTGTCTTCTGCTTTAATTTAAACATTATGGTTAATAGAAGAATTCATTTGTTAAGTAAGACTAAGATATTCATTCCTTGCCATTCTCAGAGTTGGATTATTCATGTTTTATAAATCGACAGTATTTGGCCTGGTGCCCTCTTTGATTCTCCCTTCATGAATGACTACAATTCCTGGTTATAAATTCATATTCTCTACAACTAAAGGAGCTATTTAATTAAACTTGAATGTATCCTTCTCTTTATCCTTTTCATCATCAGTTTTCTTATTATTCCATGGAACTTTATTATATTTCTTTTTTGGATTTACTTTTGCAGTTTGATCCTCTTCGAATTTAGATCTTAAAAAATATTGAACTATACCCCAAGGTTGATGCAGGAGGTGGTAATTTAGTACCTTTAGCCAAGTTAACAGATATCAGTTTGCCATCATAATCATATGTATATTGCTTAGATTTCTTATCTTTGGCCATCAATTCGTATTTTAATTATTCTTCTTTTTCTTCTTTTAGTTTCCTTCTTTTTTCAGCTTCATTTAATTCTAATTTCTCCTTTGTTTATCTTTCCTTCTCATTTCTCAATTGCTCCTCTGTAATACTAATATCTAATGGATCTACTAAATCTATAGGCAAAGGATCTAACTATTTCTTTTCTTTTATTGTTTAAGTTTAATCCTAAAATGAATAATTAAATTACAAAAACTTTCGATCTGGCAAAAGTCATTGGACTTGAAGTTTAACAAGTGTTCGGTCTAATCTCTGGCTTGATTTCCATATTAATTTTAGATGTCAGCCACTATTCTTGTTAAATGTGAAACTTAAATTAAATAGATTTCGTACAGGTTCAAAGTCCTCGCCTAATCCACCACTTTGAATATCTTGATTTGGATTTTCAGGTTTACAGAATGCTTGCACCAAAGGCATAACTAAAAGACTTAATGAATTTGTAGCAGAAACAGTAGGTAACTTTCTTAAGATTTCATTTTCTTATGCCTTTTCAATTACCTTCTTTATCAAGCGATTAAACAATTCTTTAATATGATGTTCACCTTCAATTTAGAAGACTTGAGTTGATATAGGATCTATCGCAGTATAATATTCATAACAATTCATTTTAGCCATGTCTATTTATTCTAATTCTACATCTGATTGAGTATTTGATTATTCAGCAATACTTGAAAGATCAACTTATGAAGTTTTGTAATTATTTTATTTCATATATAAATTAATAATTAACGATAATGCTTAAATAGCAACCATAATCGGCAAAGAGCGGAAACGCTATCAAACAAAAAAAAGAAACTTTAGAAAGATTTGCTTACTGCAATAGTTAATAATTGTTCTAAAATAATATATTTGATCTGAGATAATTTATAAAATAGAATTACGAAAAATATTGTGAATTATTGGATAGAGTTGAAAATGCTAAACATAGTGTGAAATAGAAAAAAGAGAATTTAGAATTGCTGAAGAGCAAATCCGAAAACAAAACAATAAAACCAAGAGCCAATCTTTGTGTATTGGATGAACTATCGTAATTAAAAAGATAGATAGAAGTTAAACAGTCTGCAAACAATGAATTGAAATCTTAATTAGAACAAATGAATTAACTGACTAAAAAATAGGACTTCTTTTAAGAATATTAAGAAATTTGTAAATAAGTTGACGATTTAAGAATATAAAATGATTAATTATTAAAAGCATGAATAATGTGCCCGTTTTTGACAATATTAAAAATTAAAATTATGAGAGCTCTTACCATAATTTGCTTAGTGGCTGCAATATTTGCCTTAGATACAAACAAATTTGCTGTCCTTCTTTAGACAGGAACAAGAGGAAATGATGCTGTCGAATCAGTATATAACCTTTTGCGAGATCTTAAAACAGAGAATGTAAATGTTCAAGCTGCTGCTGATAAAAAGAATAACACAGACGAAGGTACCTTCATCTTCCTATATCCTTCTAGAAATCTTCTCTTAAGTTATTGGTGACTTGACAAATGTTGCTTCACTTAACAAATAATAATGGGAAGCTTTAGGAGCTGTCAGAACAGATGTTGAAGCATAAATTAGAGTATATTCCATATATATCTTAGGATGGATATTCATGGTTAGCTTGGGCTGAATCAAGACTTGCTGAAATCGAAAGAAGAAATGCTCAACTCCAAGATTAAAGATGTTGGGCCAATGGACTTTTTGTTAAGTCACTTGCTGATCATGCTGATGCAATTGGTGTTGTTTAACTCTTGGAATAAGACGTTGCAGGTTTTCTAACTAATAATGCTGGAGTTGAACTTGTTGAAAAAGCTTAAACAATTGCTGATAAATTATCTGCATACAGTCATCTTTTCTAATAAGATGCCCTTCAAAAATTCCAATCCCTTGCAGAAGTGAAAAGAGATGGAACTACAGGAGAATAAGTCCTTGCTATCTTATAAGATTTATAAAGTGAATTGGAATCTACTCTTGCCACACTCTAAGAATAAGAAATCCATGCTGCATTCGCTCTAGCTAAATATGTCTCAGACACCAATTCTGAAGTTGACTGGTTGAACTCTGAACATGAAAGAAGAACTTCTCTTGTTGAAAAATTAGAAACTGTATCAGTAACATCTATTTTTCAAGTAACTCCCTGCTGTCCTTGCTCAATAAGCCAAAGCCCTCAAATTGTGGAAAGATTCATTAAATGCAGTTGCCGGAGCCACTGCTGATTTGGAAGAAAAGAGAGAATTTTATGCTTCAGAAACTGCTAGAAGATAAGGTATCAATATAATTTATCTTTAGAGGAAAACGCTATTATTGATGTTGTTATTCAACTCTTCAAAGATTAAGTCAGATCATTGGCCTCACAAACTTCCCTTGGAAGAAAGTGATCTGTTCACATTAATAATAATAATATAAACAAATTTATTGTAGTTTCTTATGCCCAATCGATTTAGTGTTTTGCAACCTTTCTTCTTATGATTTTCCTTGTTACTTTGAAAATAAGATTCATAATAAAAAGGAATCAGCTATACAAAAGAAAATTTATGATTGAGTCCATTAATTGACTATTTCATAATATAATAGTTAAGATAAAAACAATACTAAAATTTATGAATAATATTATATTTATACAACTATTTTGGTGTTAACTGCTACTCAACTATTTAATATTCGCTAATTTTTTTGTTTGTTCACCTTTTCACAAAATATCACTAAATATGTAACAAATAATTTGCTTATTTTTGAATATATTTAACTTAAAAATAGTTTAAATTTAAGTTTTCTGAGGAAATTCACATTTTGGAGTATTTTATTTTTTCATTTAAAATGATTAATAGTGTTTTTCCAAATATTTGAAACTTTAAAATAAATTTCGTTTCTAAATTAAATTAGTTCATACATTCATAGCTGTTTTAAATATTAGTTTAAAATTTAGATTTCTCAATTAATTTAATGCTTTTTCATTAAACAGAATTCTAAACTAATCTAAATTATTTATTTGGTAGAATTGTCCACAAACATCATTAATTTTTAATTTTTAAGCGAAAATAAATATGTTGAAATGTAAATTCAAGTAAAATTATTCTAGAAAAGTACTAAAAAGAGATTAGCGATAACAGTAAGCTTCTTCTTCTTAACACTGTTTTACTTCTAAGAAAGAAATGTAAAATTTCTAAATAACATTCTTATTTAATTTGTTATATCTCATTTCCTTATCTTTTAATTAATTATTATTAATCTTTGAACTTATTCTCAAAAAAATCCATGTTTAAGATAATTAAACGAAAGTACTCGATATAAAAGTAATTTTAGCTGATGATGACAATTCTAGATAATGTAGCCCTGCTTTAGATTCAAGACTCTTGGAAGTTATCAGGGATCTACCCCAACATTTAAAATAGAAGTTAGACAGTTTAATTCAAAAAACTAATTATCAGTTGATTAAATAAAATGATGATTGTATTTATTATGGAATAATGGAAAATTACCAAAAATAAGGGGTAGGAGTTTAGATATGGCCAAAAATAGGAAATTTATTAGAAGGGTAAAGAATATTACATGATATTTAGCAAATGGGAAAATGATCAATTAGAGGGTTATTGTAGAATGAATTATGCAAATTGAGACAGGTATAATTTATTTCTAATTTAACTCTGTTTTGAATGCAATTTTTAATATGGAAAAACAAATGGGTTCGGAATCTTTAAATCTTAAGATAAATTATTGAAATGTATAATAATGAAAAAATGAATAGGACTACGGATTGATAATGCAATATAGGGTGAAGTATAGGAAATTAAATGTGATGGAAGCAAATATTTTGGTTAATTTTCAAATGGGAAAAAGGAGGGAGGTATTTTAATTTTGAGTGATGGCTCGAAGTATGAAAATTTATATTTTAGATATGAAGGTTAGTTCTAAAAGAAAGCATTTCATGGACAAGGAACTTTTAATGGAATGATGGCTCACTCTTTACAGAAATTTTACAAAAGGATAAATTTTAGGATTTGGTTAGTATATGAATAGTAATGGAATTTAAATGATTGGTTATGTATTAAAGAGATATATTTAAAGTTTACAGAATTGAAATAGTCAAGTGGAGATAGATTAGAAATAAATTAGTATTTGCAAACAATAGTATTTGTTAACTAGTGCAACTAAACTTTAATTATTGATAAAACTCGTACACCCTGAAGAGATTCTTATTATCATATATATTTTTTTTTATTAATCTATGAATGTACCCTATAAATTTTTAAGATCAATAAATCGATAGGTCCTTATTCCCTTAAAGATTATGCTTAATTCTACATCATTATCTTTTATCTTCTAAAGTTTATGCTTTATAGATAGATTGAAGAATTCGTATTGAAAATAAGCACAAATAAATTAAATTTAATGAAAACTCCTAGATTTTATTTAATTAACTAAATTAAGGTTCTTACTTTTAATATATATCAAAAAGCTGAGACAGATTTAACAATTCATATATATATGTTTGTGCATTAATAACATAATCGATGTTAATACTCATCATTATCCTGAATTAAAATTATTCATGTTAGTTGTTTATTGCTGAGTATAATTCCTACTTTAGGGGAATTTGCCATTATTAATAATTTAATTTGATACCTATAGACGAGGTCCTTAACAGAATTAGGGGTTTTTTTACGATGGATTCCAATTATTTTGTCCTAATGAATGTTATATTAAAACATCTTTAATATTCTTTTGTACTTCTGCAATTTTTTTTTAACAATCTTAATTGCAATTTTCAAATGATAATTCGATGTATTCTTTAATGTTTTAATCTATTTTAGATAAAATTTCATTTTATTTCTATTGTCTTTCGTTATTTTTGGGTTCATTAAACTTGATTTCATGAGTTGTTTAAAAAATAGCCATTGTTTTTTGTTCTCCTGTTTAGTTGTTACTAGTGGACATAATCAAATTTGANAATTAAATTATTAAATTAAGAGCAATGTGTGCAGCTTTGCAATAATGTTCGAATATATGAGATAACAACATCAACTTCATTGCATAATCATATCTACATTAATACTCATTTGGATTCCAAAAAGAATTTATTCCCCAAGATGACAAATGTATTGTGAATAAAATTCCAAAAATGAGTTCCTTTCTTTAAATTATCACATTAATAATAAATTCGAATTGGAAAATTACCTAATTGAAAATTTCACTGAATAACTGAATTTTTGTTAAAAAGGAAGTCAATAACAAAAAGATGGATCTTAAAAAACCTTCATTGGTCAACAATATATCACCAATCCCTTATAATATACTAAAGAAAATTTGATATTCAATCATACCTTTTACAGGGATTAATCGCCAATAGAAAGGATATTGGTATTAAGATGGCTACATCAGACATCCTCAAAAGAATTCAATCGAAACAATTTATCAAATAAAATGATACATTTAACAAATGATGAAAGGTTCCGAAGACTATGTCAATTTTGAGAAAGGAATATGGTATCTTTTGGAGAATTTAAGATTTACTATAGAATTCAACAATTTTTAAAAATAGAATATAGGAAATATAGTAATCAGTATGGTCTTAAAACCAACTTTACAACTAGAAATAATTCAATCAAGTTTATGAGAGAATGAAATATATTGCTTTAGAGTATTTTAAAGTTGTTGCTGAGCTTTTAGGTCAGTTAAAAGAGAAAATACAGAAAATACATTTGAACTATTTGGCTTAGATTTCATGATAGATGAATCCTATAACACTTGGTTAATCTAAAATAGACAAATCCTTGTTTGAGTAAAAGGCTTATTATTGACTGCTTTTATGCCATAATTAATTGATAATCTCCTAAAACTTGTAATTAATCCTTTTACCCTCCTTCTTAATTTTACTCCCAGAATATGTTTGCAAACATATACTGGAATAATAAAATAAACTTATTTATGATTCAAATCAAAATTAATTAAATAGAAAAAATATTGCAATTAAAACGAATTGTGAAAAATGGTTACATATTATTTTGATTTAGTAATTAAATACATTATATAAAATTATATCCTCAATCATTTTAATATATAATGCTATTAAACTTATATCAGCAGTTTTCTCTTATTTAACTCAGATTAGCTGTTATAAAAATTTAAAAAGTCTAAAACATTTAAAAAGATATAATTTCCAACCCAGATCGACTTGCTTATCTTTAAGGAAATTTAAAATTATCCTTTTTTTTTATTGTTTAATGAATTGAATTGTATGCAATTATAAATTTATACTTTAACTCTTCAAAAAATAATTTCTAAATATAAATAATGATATAATCATTTACAGGGACTACTTCTCTAGAAGTATTGTATTTTAGATTAGAATTTGAGTTAGAATTGTTTTTGGACATAATCGATATTAGGTCTTTTGTGAGGTATTGGATCAATCATTAATGAAAGTAAATTTTTTAATTCTTCTCTGATTGGTAATTATTGAATTTAAAATTGTACTTATTGTTAATTTCTGCAATAATTAAAAATTGATTATTATACTTCCCTTATAGATAAACCTTAATATAGAATAAAATGAATACCATTAAATAATGGTGATTCTTTGAATATTTCAAAAAATAGACATCCTAAAGACCAAATGTCAACAGAAGCTGTATAATCATCTGATCCATTGATTATCTCTGGAGCTTAATACTGTGGGGATCCTACCATTTTTGTCTATCTTAAATTTTGTTCTCTTTGTTTTACTAAACCAAAATCTATTAATTTGAAAATGGAACCTACTTATATAAAGTTTTCAGGTTTAATATCTCTATGAATAATTTGGTATTTATGAAGAAATGCAATTGATTAAGCAATCTAAGATCTAATATCAAATTATTACTTATAAACATATTTATTCTTTTTATAATTATGTTAGTTGACTTTTTTTTAAAACAGAATTCATATCTTTTCCTCCAAGTTCCATAATCAATACTTATTACTATTAATATTCAAACCTTTCATAAACTCTAATCAAATTGCTTTTTTGAAATGCACTTTATTCTGTATTTTTCTAGTAATCAATCAAAAAATCAATAAATTTGAGTTCACCTTCTTTCATCTTTTATTACATTTTCAAAGCAACATCTGTAGAGTAAATTGTTTCATTTACTGATCTTGCTTAATAAACAGCTCCTTCTCCTCCATCTCCTAGAAGTTTACTTAAAACAAAATAACGTTTCGCAAACTAATCTGTCGGAGCTTCCAAAATTGAATTAACTTGCTATTGAT